CTGCAGTCCTTCAATTATCATACAGGGAAATTTTCATCTTTCTAAACATCCCAACGAATGATTTGACAGGTTCTTTTATAAAAGAATTTATTCGCTCTTACTGGAAAATTATACACTGTAAGAAACGTCTCATTGTTATCAAATAAACTACACAACATCTAATTAGTTATTACCTACTGACCACCTAGCTGGGAAAATGACAAAGTCTGCAACAGCTGTTCCAGGTTTATTGCTAGGGCAGGTCAACACAGTGAATATACTGGGGTCAACATGATCAAAACTAAAAATAAGTAAAGGTAAAAAACGGATTACTCTCATCATATTCTAATTTGCAAATCCGTTAATCTTTTCAACCTGATATTCTAGGCTTTTTTATGTTTCTCCCCGTAAATACTGCTATTATTTAATAACAAAAGTCATTAATCACTGTCAGTATGCAAAGATAAATGAATTAGATATCTTAAGTTTAAAAAGCATAATTAGGTTCTTTGCAGTATGGCGTTATTTAACTTGATAAATGTAAAGTTTCAACAATTTACCGTGAAACTATTAAACTAAGTTTTACGAGGATTGTAAAATTAAGTCAAAATTCACTTTATTATTGTTAGATTATTAATTCTAAATCTAATATGTTGTTTAAATAATTTAAAGTAGAAAAGACACAGGGTTACCCACAAAGGATAACACTTTAGAAAAGTCTTGGTTTACAGCAACTTGAAATGTGTTACTTTCTTTGCCAAATCAAGAAGAAAACCCAGCTGTAAGACAAAAGACTAAATTCAAACTTCAGATCATTTGAAATTCAACCTTCAGATCGTCTGAAATTCAACCTTCAGATCATGTGAAATTCAACCTTCAGATCACTTGAAATTCTAAGTTTTAGGTCATCATCAAAGTCTTAACTTTTGAGATCAACCTTGAATTAAAGAAAATGAGTTTTTGCCACAAACTCAAATTTTATAATCCCTATATCTTTGCAACCTGAAGGTGTAAACCTATGATATTTAAAACTTAGATTATGTGATCTAACAGAATTCATATATAAAGTCTACACCTTTGGGTTGCAGAGATATTGAAGTTAGAAAATCAGAGTTTGTGGCAAAGACTGAATTCCTTTTTAACAACTTTATATCTAAGTAAAAGAAGCTTTGACTGTACATTGTAATTAAATTTTGCATAATTTTGTATTTAACTTCTTAGTACCATGTTCAATTAGTAGAATCACCTGACTGAGTTTATAGTGCAGAAGTTTGCTAAATCGTATTTGTATGGAGCATAGTTGCCGTGCCATCCAACCACGTCAAAGGGAGAATGATCCTGAAACAATTTAAAATAAAGATAAATTTGAATTCGGCTGCTGAAGTTCAAATTGTTGTCTATTTTAAAGGGAGTGTTCTCAACAAATTTTTAAGGGGTTAAATCCGAACCGAATTTGGATTCTATCAATATTAATTTTGCTTCTGTCTGTGGATTGGAGGAAATGTTGAAAACGGTTAATTTCTTTCTTTCCGTTGCGCTCAAAGGAAGGTTTGAACAATATTTTTTTTTTGATTGAAAATGTCATTTTTTAATAAAAATCCACGAAATTAATTGTGTCTTTGCCACAAACTCTCTTTTTTTATTTCAATATCTTTGCAACCCAATGTCGCAGACCTCAGATATTTCAAACTTTAATTTAGTTATATCGAATAATTTCAATTTGAAACACAATCAGGTTGCAAAGATAAGGGATTCAAAAATTTTAGTTTGTGACAAAGACTCATTGAATATTTTAAATGTAATGATCAAGTCCTTTGTAAGGTTAGCTAAAAATATATAGATGGCGGCAAAGAGTTTTGTTTACTCTTATATTCCCTAATTTGGCGGCAAGATGCTGATAAGATAATTCAATTGTCTCTTGTATGGTCAGGACTCTGAATAAGGTGAAAACATATTGTGTTGGTTACCTAGCTAGTAACTTATAATTTAGGAAATAATAATAGTCGACTCTTGATTAATCAAGAATATACAGATGAGGTTACAAAATTAAATTTTGTTCAAATAATCTTAACATTAAATAACGATGGGGGGGGGGGTTAGAGACGAAAAGCTACACTTAATCAGCTACATATTAGAAATAACTCTTCAAAAAGAGGATGATTGACCATACTTGATCATTCTTCCTAGAAATGATTAATGTTTCTATTCTAGCTGAATAAGTTAATGTCATACAACATTTTAAAACATAAAAAAATACCATAGTTTAGATTTGTACAGAATATAAAGAAGAAAATTCAGAATGAATAACATATTAATTTATAAAATCTATTCAAAGTTCATTTGCATATCACTTGCAGTAAGAATACAATAAAAGTATTTTTGTCCTTTTAGAGCAACTTCTCGCATGGGACGAATGTTTTGTATTTCTTCCATTTATTACAACTATAAAAATAAAACATAAAAGAACATCAACCCAAGAAAATTCTAACAAAGTACTATTATAATGTATATAAGCATATATCATTATAATGCAAAAAATTGGTTTTCAAACCTATTGCAATCTTGTATAACCTTATCCCGCGCGATTTGGCTAGTTTTGTCTTATATATATTCATGAGAACCTTTGATTTAGCCCTTAGAGAAAGGGGAGTTTGATAAATGTCCCTGGCCAACTTTTCAAATGAAATATAAAAATACCTGAATAGCCTGGAAGAGATGTCCTTGATATTTGTTTACAATTTTAAACTCTGCGGTACGATTCTCAAACCAAGCAACTGGAGTCAAGAAATCTCTAAAGATAAATTCAAATATAATTAAAGATCTAAGTTAAAAATAATCAATGAATAGCTGAACGTAGTTGAAAAACGTTGAACCACTTCTTCTGAACTTGAACTGGTCCTACTGAGTACAAGTTTAACTACTTAATATTCTCTTCTAAATGGTTCATTGTGCCAGGGCCAATAGAGCAGAAATTGCGGTTTTACACTCTTTTTTACTTTATATCACTTAAATATTCTCTTCTCTATGAATAAATACCTAGCTAGATGAACTATACTTCTCGGCGTTAATCATTAAATAAAGCCTCCGCTTTTGTTCTGTTATATTATATATTTAATACCTTGGATTTGCCAGACCATTGGCTCCTATGGGTCCAAGATTTGGGAGAACAAAATGGTTGTCAAACACCTCCAGTATGTACCAAAAAAAGGATAAAAAATCAGTCAAAAGTTCAAAATTTGAAGACTTAAAATTTACCTAAAATAAACCCTCAAGAAAAAAAAAATAATCAAAACATTTAATCATATAAAATGTTTTGAAAAGTTATAGATTTAATAATGATAATATTTAATATATAAGTGCAACTTGAAATTAATCGCTTTTCGGTCTGTAATTTAACAATCTTTAAATTTGGATTGAAAGGCAATGCTTGCTGGGAAAAAAACGTTAATCTTGACATTAATCATTGAATTAATCTGAAAAAAGGTTTTCAAAAGTTTTTGTAAGTTTTTAAAAGTTTTCAGAAGTTTACAGAAACTTAGGATTCTGAAGAGACAATAGGAATGAACTTTCCGGCTTTGGGGGAATTGTTGGAGAGGGGGGTATGATAATATAGATTTTTATTTTTCAAGGTGGGAAGGAGAAAGTAAGGGAATATCATAAACTTGAAAATTAATGAAAATATAAAAGTAGATGTGTACCAAAACAAGACCGAAGCCGTAATTTCAAGTGAACCTTAAAGGGACTGTTAGCGACCTATAATAGTTTTGTTTTTCGAGAAATTGATAAAAACCAGTGTCAAAGTTATACAAAAACTCATATGTACAAAATATAGCCGATGGAGCCATGTGACCAGATACTTAACGGCCATTGGTGAAAATTCTGGTCACGTGACAATTATATCACAATAAATTTTATTTAAAATGACTAAGTATTATATTCAAATTAGGAGAATACCTAAAGTTTTGAGGCACTTCTGGGTTATCCTAATTTTCAGATTTATTCCGTATTTGCTGAATATGATTTGCTTAAAACTTTGATTCATATACAATATAACATATGTATATGAGTTTTGGTATAATTTTGACACAGTTTTATAGATTTCTAGAGACATGAACATCAGATAGAACTAATATTGGTAGCCATCAACTCCTAAAACTTTTAAGCTTCAGCCTTTACCCACTTTCATTTTACCTAAACAGTCCCTTTAAGAATTCTCAGATATTGATCAGATTAACTTTTGTCCGATCCAGAATCACGGAGTTATCTTTATTTTTCTCTTTGAAAATTTAATTATCTTGTAATAGTTTCAAGGGCACATTTGAGAATCGGACAGAAAACTGGGTTGACTTTACATTGTTGCAAATCGCATTGCCTTAGGCATTGATTTTACAATTTTGTTGTCATGGACAATAGAAAAGACATGTACATTTTAAAATTACAAGATCTTTTTAGCTTCAGTTTAAAAAAAGTAATGGCAAAATTCGTTTAAATTCTTGCACCCTTTGGATCACTGTGTGTTGGACTGTCATTTATAATATAAAAAATGCATGGAAAATATGTCAATTTTAGATGTTTGAAAATCAATCAAATAAAATCGATAAAATCTGCAAAATTTTGAGTTTCAACAAGAATAAAAATGTAATATTGAGCAACATTTATAATTATAATTGTCAGAAGGAAAGACCCGAAAAGCTACTATATATAAATAACGAGTAGTCTTTGTTTTGAGTGGGTTTCTTTTTTTGTTTTGAGTGGGTTTCTTTTATAGTTAACGACCCCAAAACAAAGGTAATTTGCTCCTCATTTTATCTTTTTTTTTATTTTTATTTATACAATTTTGAAAAGAATTATTTTTATTATTGTTGTTGGAAAATTTTGGATTAAACGGTGATTAACTTAATGCACTAAACCTTGTAATTGCTTGTTTTTTTACTTACCCTCGAGATGGCCCAGAAACGTTAACACTAAATCTGATTCCCTAAAAATCAAACGCTGTAAACTAACTTCGACATTGATTTATGAATTAATGGAAGTGCTGTAAAGTTAAATAAGTGCTATAATTAATTATGATTTGATGTCCAATCTTAATATTTTTGGCCAATTCCCAGAGAGACCTTTTAAAATTATGAATAATAATAATAATGAAAAAACTAGTTTTTCATTGCACTTTTATGTTTTTTATTCAAGTTATCTTTGCAACCCAATGTCAATTTTAAAAATCAGAAAGCTTACATAATTGATTTCAAAATTCAATTGTAATTTAAAAACTATACCTGCTGGATAACACATATTTGGTTTGGATTGACTTTCAGCTTTCCAAACTCAGTTGTAATATCAAGTTCTCCTGCTTGGGGCACTACCAGCATATCTCCATCACTAGACAATTAAAGATGAAAAATATATATTGAATTTTATGAATAATAAACAGAAGTTAAAATATGTCTGGCTGGTTATAATACTTCTGTAATAAACTGTCTGCTTCACGAAAGAGTATGTTGTTCTTTCCATGTTTTACTTTTTTCTATACATTAGGAGCTTGGATATTAAACATTATTAATTTTTTTAAAATATGGTTTCTCAGTTTCGACCCAAATATTTGTTTTTGCTTAGTATCAAAACTTACTGAAAGCATATGGAAATACGAATTTATTCCGTACTTGCAGTACAATTACATTCTATTGAATGATCCCGTTTAGTGAAAATTATGTGTACTGTACGTGTGAAACACCCTTCACGTGATCATCTAATTTATTTAATACATTTTTGAAACATACAAATAATAGAATTCCTAAATTAAAAATCTTCATAAAGCTTGTTCGTGTTTACCTGTTGTAAAAAGCTTTGTCTACCATGTTAGAATTGCAAACGTAAACATGAACAGTTAATCCAGTTCTAGTTCTAGAATCACCAGCACCTACAAATTTGGATATAAATATAGTTTTTTTGCTTTGTATCCCTTTGAAAAATTCAAATCAGATTTGTTACATTTTTTTTACTTAATTACATAGTGGAAAAGATTTACTCTGACAAAAGATATTCATCTTACCAAAAATTGACTTGTTGTTTAGCTAAATCGAAAGTTTGGCACCAATGTTTTAATATAGACTACTGGGTCATCAAAAAATTAAGCCGTGTTGACATTATTAGGATAAAAACAAACAAAACAAACAAAACTTAATAGATAAATTGCACAATGAACTAGACAGAAGAACTTCAAATTTAAATTTGTACTCGTTTGTGACCTCGTAACTCCTCTACTATTAAAAATTGTTGTGCTGCATTTAGCAGCACAACAATTTTTTAGTCTCATTTACATTGGTTGGTGTAAGTTAACTTATCAACACGAGAAGTGATTATTGCCAACAAACAAATTTCTATTGTCCGTTCAACTTACATTAGTTTGGCGTGATTGACGAATGTTCTAGTTTTAGAGGAAAATACGCACATAATACTCGAAAACCCTAGTATTTTCTGCAAGCAAATTTTATCTTTTTTTCAAATGATTTATATTTATACTTTCTGATTAGCTCTGTAAATCGTAATTTAGAGCTATTAACGATCCAATATTATGTTGCACACCCGGATAAAGCTGGAAGATAAATCTTTAGACACAAAACTCTTACTAATTACTTTGCTCAGGGAAAGTTAGAAGTTCAAAGTTGAACCATATTCTTGAGATAAATTTTATTTTTTTTTTTGCCAAAAAATAGAAAAAATGACAGAAATGCAATAACTATTTCTAACACTGTTATTTTTGGTTATAAAGTTTTTGGAAAGAAATTTTCTCTTTATCGAGAAGGCGAGAACCATCGAGATATAGAAAACATTAAAGTCCAAAAACTTTATAGAACGTTGTGCTCAAAATAAAAGTGTTTTTTTTATAAAAAAAAATTGTCTTTTTAAGAGATTTTCAAAAATAAACTATTTGTCATATTTATCTTTAAACCTACGAATTTAGATTAAGGGGGGGGGGGCTAGCGTATCCTAGTTTTCAAGTACCAAAGCAGGGATAGGGGTAATTAATCATCATAACTCCTCGTTTTAAAGAATTATTTAAAAATGTGGATTCAGACGTAGACCAGAAGGGATATGTTAAACTAGTCAGGCAAAATGCGCCAAAACATAATTTTATCGTCTTTTCTATTTCATACTTTTAGTTGGCATATGCATTTTTGATGAAAACGTGCACAAGACATATTAATAAAAATACAAAAACAGAAAACCGAACGCAGTTAGTCCAGGGTGCTATCTAAAGTACTAAAATTTGTATTACGTTTTTTTCCTTTTTGAAATCTATGTACCATTTTCAATCAATGAAATAAGGACGTCATCACAAAATTTGAAGTTTTCCGATTTGGCTTGGTTGAAAATATAGGAATCAAGATAATATAAAAAGTCAAAGAAAAACTTGTTGTTTTTCTTTATGAAATAACAGATGCCAGAATAACAAAAAGGAATACATTGATAAGAATCTATTTATCTGGTTCTATTGTATTTTATTAAAAATGTGACCATGGTTTACCATGAATTTCTTAGCTAATATCATTCTTCACATTGTTCCTTCACTGCAAAAAAAATGCTATTGAATTCAACGGGAAAATCACAGTTAGCTATATCGCACACTCTGTGCGATATAATAATAGCAAATGTTGATAAATCGCAAAATATGTTTGTTAAAGGAAACAAAGATATCTAACTGTAAATTTCCTGTTAAATGTTACAGATAGAAATATCTATTGGAGCAATAGCTGTTTTTTTTGGAGTGAATTGAATTTTAGATCGTTATAAAGAATTTTCTCTTTAAAGGTCCTAAGGAAATCACATAACGTGGTCGGAAAACAAAATTAACAGCTTCTATCTCTAACAAGTTAAAGCTATGTGGCGAACTCAAAACTGTCATATTTTCCTCAATTTCGAAAAATTAAAAAAATTTAAACCACTAGAAATTCAAGGCGCTTCGCGCCCTTCTTTCTAGCCTTAGAGGGCGCTTTGCGCCCATCTCCTAAATTAATTGTGAACATGTTCTCTTTGTGTACATCGTAAAACAAAACAAAAATAATTCGCGGATTTTCACAAAAATTTCGCGGATTTTCAAAATTTTAAAAAATTTAATGACGATCGAATTTTGATGGAGACAAATATTTGAAATTTTGATGATTCATAAACCTTCCCTGGAGTCCCTAGATGTTCCACAAAAAATTTAAGCCCGATCGGTTCAGCCGTTTTGACGTTTATTGGATACAAACAGACAAACAGACAAGCCAAATACCTTACATAGCATTTTTTGGGTCACCTTGTTTGTATCCTTGCAATCCAATGGTGCACACTTTAACATTTCAAGCTTAAAATATTTAATCTAACAGAATTTTTAGTTTGACATATCAAAAATAGGTAACATCGGGTTACCAAGATATAAATAAAATATTAAATAAGTTTTGTGGCAAAAAATCAAAGTTTGTTGTAAAAACACAGTTTCTTTATTTTTACCATTTTTTAAATCGTATAACATATTGACACACTGCATAAACTTCAGATGTGCCAAAATAATCTAAAAGACTTATTTTTTTCTCTCAATGACATTATTTTTTTTCCCAGAGTACGTAAATATACCTTGGTTGAAATAGTGGCGGTGTAATTTTTTAATATTTCAAAAATTACTTCGGAGAAATGTAAAAATTATTTTTCAAGTGTTTTTAAACATTAGTGTTTTAGTTCTGTTCTTATCTCTAATTCTCATAAAACAACGACCAGTCATTATTTAACGTTTTTTTGCAACAATCTAAAGTTTTTATTATAATTATTTTTGATAATAACCTGCAATAGTTCGTAGACCATCAACCCAATCAGTTTTCTCACTTAACGAAAAATCAATTTTTTGGATTAAAAAATTGATATTTTTTTATAAAGAATTGAATATTTTGAGATAAAGAATTAAAGAATCTTTAATAAAAAATTGCTCATACATAACCCAATATCTAAAAGAAAAGTTAAACATTTTTTATATTATATTATAAAGAATTAAAATATTATGGAAGACGGAATTTGGTTGGCAAATTCCGTAAGAATTAAAATAATTTTGCATGGTCTTTTTTAATCAATTCTAAGGCGATTTGGAATTATTTTCCATACTTTTATTGAGATTTTTTTCCTGGGAATATCGAAGGGGTTCCATCTAAGCTGGTTTGGGTTTGGGAGTTGCTCATTCCAATTACAGGATACATAAGGGTGCGCATATGTTGAGAATGGAGTGTGCCTGAAAAAAAATATCATTCACCTTGCTTGAAAATATTGATTAACCCTATCCCTGCTGGGGTACTTGAAAACCAGGATATGCTGGGGGGGGGGGGTCAATTTGCCCCCCCCCCCTCTAAATCCCATGTTTTATGTCCAAATATGACAAATGATACATCATTAGAAAGCTCTTGTGCTCTACTTTTAGAATCTGCAGCAAAAAAAATTTGCAAATTTGCAAAAATTGAATTTTTTATCGCAAATTCAAGTTATATAGTAAAAATGTTTGAAAAAGAAAAGTTGTCCAAAAAATGAAAAATTATACATTTTTGAAAAGCCCTTGACCATGCCATTTCAAATATGGAAAAAAATTTGCAAAAATTTAAATAACCTGATGTTTGCAAAAAATTTGCAATTTTTTTCGCAAGTGGGTCAAAACAAAGATTTAGTTTGTTACAGGCAAAAACAGTCATTCAGGCAGTGTGCCTGAGGACTCAGGCAGTTAGTATTAAAGCCCGATTTTAGGCCTAAAGGGAGGGCTTTGGGTATGTAAGAAAAGTCAGAAAATTTCAACAGCCTCAGACCAATGATTTTTGAGTTATGTAAAAAAAACTACAGGGGGGGGGTAAAATTGACCCCCCCACAGCAGGAATAGGGTTAATGAAAAAAATAATTGCTTTGATTTCTTAGATCTTTGATTTTCCAAATTGTGATAATCAAAAAGTCGAAGTCAAAAATATGATATTGTTACATCATCAGATTGCAAGATATAGTGAAAAAAATTGAGTCTTTGCCATAAACTCTGAGTTTCTAACCCTTATATCTTTGCAACCCCGTTTGCTTAGGATATTTAAATTATGCTAGATAGTAGATAAATCAATTATGGTAGATCAAATAATCTAATTTTGAAATGTCAAAGGTTAGAAATATGAGGTTTCAAATATATGAGGATTACAAAGCTTGGGTTTGTAGCAAAGACTTAATTTCTTTTCTTTTACAAAGTTTTTTGAAAATTAACAAACAAAAAATTTGCTAAAAAATTACTTTGCACTGGGAAGGATTCTGTAGAACCAAGTTCTCTGATTTGATTCACGAGGAGCAGTAAAAGCGGTTCCACTCAATTGTTCTGCGTAAAGACCGTAAGCACATTTCTAGAATAATGTAAAATTAAAAGCCGAAATTGAAATTTGAGCCGCGGCTTAAATTTGAGACAGGCTCAAATAAAATTGTATTCAAGATTTAAGCCGGCGCTCAATTGAAACCGGTTCTTGGCGGATTTGAGATGTGTCTCAAATTCATTAAGTTCGAACACAGGGTTTGTAAATGAGTAAATTTTGAATATCTACTAATCTACGCGATGTTAAGAGAATTTTACCAAGGGGTTCCCAAGTCCCATGGTTAAGTAAAATTTTTATTTTCCCGAAAAAGTAGTTGTACACTATTTTATCGCCTTCTGAGATGAAAATGCGCATATTTTTCACTGAAAACTTCGCAGAACGGATGATTATTTAATTAATTACATTTATTTAATTACATAACTCTCCCAAGGAATTTAAAGTAACTTAACCTCACTCTGTTGGGGAATCATAGGTCGGTAATGTTGATCAAAGGGCGTTATAAAGTATAAATGTCTATTTATTTCTCCGTCATGACACAAGAAAAACCATAGCAATTTGACTCAAATTTTGATTAAAGATATACAAAATTTTAGTTTAAAACTTATTAGTTGAATTAATTAACTTTTTTGGGGAAAAGTAGTTTCCAAGCAAAGCTGGGTTTTCACAATTGTATATTATACAGGGTGGCCCAAAAAACAGGGATGTGCTGTTGTACATTTTTAAAATTTAAGCAGGGGTCGTTAAAGCAATCTTTTTGTCATTTGATGTTTGACTATTTGGCGTAAAATTATATGGACTGTTTGAAAACCTCTCTGTTTACTGTACACAGTTAATAATTTGCAATATTCTATCTATATCTATATTGCACAAAGAGAAAATAATTTACTTAGAAATTATGATTATGAATACTTGATAAGAGTACTATAATGGTTTTGTTCCGAGGTTTAATTTAAAATCTCCCAATTTGATGCCATGCAAAGCTATTTGCAATCAAAGCTCTTTTTAGTTTTCTCTTCATAGAGTTCTAGGTTTAGGACTAAGGGGGTTTGGCAATATGTAAATAATTTTTTTTTCTGAAAAATATTGGTAATAGTCAACAGGGGATTTTCGAATAATCGAAACCGTTTTACACAAAATGAAAGGATCTTATGTCAAAATCTCACTTCAACGACCTCTCTAAATTTAAAACCATATTCTAGGGTACAATTCTAATTTTTTTTTCGGCTACACGAGCCGAAAAACCCTAATCCTTGTTTTTGGGCCACCTTGTATGTAAAGCAAGTTTCTTGCCCCAGTTCCGGGAAGGTTAAAATAAAGTTACCAGCGGGATGGAAACAGATTCCGTAATTTACGCGCATATTTTTCATTTAGTCGCAAATCACACTTTTGTGCGCTTTCTTTATCCTTATTTAAACAAACTTATCGAAAATTTCAGGTTTGTGCGGAAAGGAGTTCTAAAGAAAATACGCAATTAATGTACCCAGTATTTTTTTTAATGAAATTGTGCATCATTTGCACCTGTTTTACAAAGATTCAGCCTGCTTATAAACAGTCTCATCAATTTCTAAAACAGGGTTGGCTTTGAAGTGTGGCAACGCCCTAAGATTAGATTTTACCGATCTATTAGCTCCCTTATGCTTTTCTGTAGCCCTTTACATGTACATTTTAGCACTGTTAAGCACTTGTTGTTAGCTTTGGTTTTTTAGAAGTAATTGGCAAAATTCTCAACAATTTAAGCTTGAGAGTGTGAGACCATTAAATCGTATGGTTCTTATAAAAATTCATGCAAAAATTCAATGAAAAATTAAAAAAAAATATAGACTTTTTCATCTTTAAATATTCATAGTTTGGAAATTGAATGATAAACTTTAAAAATTTTAACAAAATGCAATGTGTTACATGAAAAAAAAACTATTTTTGAAATTTAATATTAATTTGCATTTTGAATTTATATTTTACTATATATATAACTTCAGGATATTAAACCACATGCACAATTGCCCAGGAGGGGGGGGGGGGTTGCACAGCTGTGGTATTTACGAGGTTTTATTATTCTGTACTCTGTGATTAGTCCAACCTCTTAACTTTACTATGTCACGTAACATGATTTTCCTTCTTTTTATGTTTAACCATTAAATTGTATTATCAAGTACCGAGGTTTTAACAAAAAAGGATCAATGTATGCAATTCATAAATGAAAACGTATTTTTATAAAATTTTCAACATTTCTTAATTCTAAAAAACGATAATACTTTGCTCTTTATCTTTATGTGTAAGCTGTTTATATTTATTATTATGACTGCGGCAGTCACAAAGATGTCAGGCCAAAACCATATATATGTACTTCATTCTTAGGTAAAAAATTTAAATTGTTTAAACTTAAAAAAATCGTAAAATTGTGTATTTCTTAATTGATGGTCCAACACTTTTTTTTTAAGGTTAGGAACCATGTTGAATTGTAACTTTTAGTGACCCTCGATTTTAGGAGGGTTGGCTCAACGATATCCTTTACACATGAAAAATGTAAATTTTTCCATTGTCTCTAAAGCATTAAGTGCTTAAGTCACTTTTGTATTGAGAACCACAAATGAAAAAAATTAAATTATCACTTTTCGAGCACAAAACCATGAATATTTAATTTATTTATTTAATTTATTAATTATTTATTAATTTAATTTATTTAATTTATAATTTAATTTATCAGACAAAGCTTTCAAGGGTACTGTTGTGAATCAGACTTATCACAATATCAATTAAGAGGGTCACTTGATATTGCGTTATCAGTCCCGATAACTTGAATTACCTATTAAACCTTTAAGAAATCCTAATTTTTATTATTTAATTTCAACTCAAAATATATAAGATCTCCCAAAAAAAATTTGATGATCAAGGGTTAATAAAGGAAAATTATTACTTTAAAAACAAATGTTGTGATTTTATTATGAAGCTTTGTTACACAAAAAATGTAGTTACTTTTGTGCTTTGACAAGATAAAATTTGGCTTTTGTTAAAGTAAGTTATGCCATATAAGCGAAGTTATCTGAAACAAATGTATGGATAAAAACTGACAACTGTTATGATTTCTGTTTATTTTGAAATATTTGTTTTATTCAAAATATGATATTTCAATATAAATATTATTTTGGAAAGTTATTTCTCGATTTTTTCAGGTATTATCAAATTTTTCTTACATTTTTGAAAATTATGCCGTTATCATCCTTTCTTATTTTTAATTTTTTTCTAATAAGTAATAATTATTTGTTTTGTATTGATAACTCGCCTTCTTTATCTACATAATCAATTGAAAACGGATCACAATGTATTCTATTTTAAAAATGTTCAAGTTAAGATACAAAAGGAAAATATTTATTTATTTTTAAATGCAGAAGAATTGAATTAATGCAAATCTCAAGTTTTTTTGTGAGGAGTGCCATTGTTTATTATGATTGAAAGCCCCAGACACTAATTTTTTTAATACATCGAAACCTGATATTGCAAACCTTTGATATTTTTAATATAGAAATGATGATACAGCTTATTTAAAGTTGAAAGAATATCAGGTTGCATAGATGTATGAATTATAAAGAGTTTGATGCAAGTAATCAGTGCAAAACTATAATCATAATTTAGTTTGATAAAAATAAATTTTTTATGTAAAAGTCTCAAGGATTGTGTGCTTAATGGAAAACAATATTATAATTAAGCTTAGAATTAAGTTGTTCAATATTTAATCTATAGTTAATCCTTTTATCGACATTTACAAGGCTTTAAAACCCACATTGAATCCGTTTTATCGAGTATCAAAAAAAAACCTGTTCTCTAGGAAACACCTAATTGTATAATTAGAATAGAATATAATTTAGATTTTAATTTTTTTAAATTTGATATTATGGAGTTTGTATTTCAGAAGTTTTTATTTTCAGGAGTTTGTCTCGTCAGGAGTTTTTCTCGTCAGGAGTTTGTCTTTTCAGGAGTTTGTCTTTCAGGAGTTTGTCTTTCAGGAGTTTGTCATGGCGCCCCATTTTAGAGATAAACAATAATATAAAGAGATATATATAGAAGATATATATAAGAGATAAATCAATGATCAGACAAATGCTTATCGGCACTGTGAATCGGCTATGACCCTCTATAAATAAAAGTTTGCTTTAAATTTTGTCCGAAGTCCCTTTCATGTATGTTATCATACCTGGGGGTTATTTTGTCCTTTAGGAACTGCCCCTGGACATCTTGGATCCTCGGATTCAAACTCGTTTCCAAACCCTGACTGATACTTGTAGTCTGACGTCATTTCTAAAATTTATAATTAAAAATTATTAGTTACTTTTTATTTATAAGGTTTGGTATGGTAATTTGTTGAACAAAGACGTGACATATACATTTTAACGAAGTAAATACCGAAGATAAATTTTTTTTGAAGTATTGGAATATACAAAAATAGCATACGTTAAAATGTTAACCCCTACTTGCTTAAGGGTTGATAGTATTTTTTTTTAAATCGAAAAATCAAGCGTTTTTCGTTTAATTTTTTATTTTTCTAAACATCTAGCATCTAGCATCGATTTTTAGAAAAAAAGACTTTGGGTCTAAACTAACGAACCATTAGTTTTGAACTTTTTAAAACGATCGGTATTAAAGATCAATCCCTAATTTTTCATTCATCCAATATAAAATGTTTACGGAAAGTGTATTTGATTTAGACTAAGATCACTTAGGACTATATCATTAACATTATACATGCATTATGAATATCATTATGATTATCATTATGACTATCATTATCATTATCATTATCATTATCATTATCATTATTATTATCATTATCATTATCATTAGCATTATCATTATCATTATCATTATCATTATCATTATCATTATTATTATCATTAGTATTATCATTATCATTATCATTATCATTATCATTATCATTATCATTATCATTATCATTATCATTATTATTATCATTAGTATTATCATTATCATTATCATTATCATTATCATTAGCATTTTCATTATAATTATTATTATCATTATAATTATCATTATCATTATCATTATCATTATCATTATCATTATCATTATAATTATCATTATCATTATCAGTATTATTATCATTAGTATTATCATTATCATTATCATTATCATTATCATTATTATTAGCATTATTATTATAATTATTTTTATCATTATAATTATTATTATCATTATCATTATCATCATAATTATAATCATTTTTTTTACTATTATCTTTATCATTATTAGTATGATTATCATCATTATTATTATTCTGACTTAAAACAAATAAAAGAATGTTTTACTGATTGAGTTGTTATGAAGTTGGGTTATTATGAAGCACTGTCTACATAAATGATCTGAACCTCTGCTGTATCTCTAAGATCAAGAAATTCTACTTTTCTCCTTCTATCTTTCTATCTTCAAACCTTGTTGATCCTAGCTCAGGCAGAAGGTAGGAGTGGGCAAACATGTGTTTTTAGAAAACGCAAATTAAAAAATATTATAAAAATTCAAATAAATAAAATATGAGTATATACGAATGCATCGAATAGAATTCAAATATTTAGGTTGTAATGAATGATTAATTTTTAATTCAATTGAATTATTTACGTTTTGAGTGCAATAATTCAACTCCATGGGTTTGTATCACACCGGACTAACCAGAGTGAGAAGCATTCGGTTTCTTCTACTTGAAATCAAACGTGTTTTGGTCTATAATTCAACAATCATTTACTTTACGGATTTGTTGTTATTATACTTTTTCATTCAAAATGCATATGCCGACAAAAAAGTATTTTAGAAGAACGACTAACAAATTACGTTTAATGGGTCAAATTGTGATCGAAAGTCACAGCTTTCTGGAATATTGACAGAACCATTAAATCCACTTGGTATGGGTCCTACGCTCTTGGGTAGAAGACTTTCTCATTTAATTTTTCTGTTCAAGTAATGCATTGAATATCAATGTTTACAATTTTGAAAACTAATATATCAATTGCAAGGTTTCTCTACAGAGTAACATATATATGTAACATAAGAAAATTTATTTGAAATATCAGAATTAAACACATTAAAATCTAGAAAAACGACAATAAGTTCTATCATAATGGAAAAAAACATGGTGTCCAGGGTACCATTGTGAATCAGGCATTGCCATCTTTGCATGGAGGCCGGAGGTTCACTATACATTACAATTGGGTGGCTGTGTGTAAAATCTGATATCGCTAGATTACTGAAGTTAAACACACTTGTCCGTAGCCCTTGAAAGGATTGATGTCCAGGCTGGTGTTCACGGGTTTGATTTCCGCACTTCACACACACCTATAAATTCTAGAATATCTGAAGCTAACATCTGGTCAAACAGTTATGATCACCTAACGTCTGTAGGAGGACAGAGGGGCGGCTGTAAACAAATTTTGCTGCGAAAGGGTGATGATGAAGATAAAAAAAGGTGGAAAAGCGGAGAGAGTCTATGGTTGCAATATAGGTACCTGATTGTACCCAACCAAACCTACAAATGATTGGAAGAAATGAGTGAGATTCCAGTCTGTATACCTCTGCCTATCATTTTCCTCATGGAACCGCTCGGACACATTCTAAGGGTTTTACTGTAATTAACAAAAAGGTTGAATTTCTATATTTGTGGAATTCTTCAACAAGAATATTTGAAATTTTTCGCATTTATTCGCTAAATTTTCACATTTCTTTTTTCGCGAAAATTTCGTTTTTCGCAAGACAGATAAAAGCGAAATTTCGCTAAAGTTTTTGCATTTTTTGCGAGCGAACGAGATGCGAAAAATGAAAAAAGTTTCGCGAAAAATGCGAAATTTTTGCGAAACGATTTTTCCATTTTCGCTGCAAACTCGACTGGTAAGACTTTGAGTCATCAAACCACACTCGCAAATTTCGAGTTTAAAAAATCGCTTATTGGGCTGCAGAAAAAGTTGTATGACTGCCAAATAAGCGTTTTTTTGTTGAAATTAAGTGTTTTTTAGTTTAATTTAGAGTGCAATATAGAATGACTAAAAACGGTCCCATCCCTAGCTGTAAGGCAAGACATTGAAGTGAGGGCCGAGGGGAAGCATTGCGAGGGAAGGGGAGGATAGGACTTACTGAATATTGTATTATTCTTCTTTCTCTCTTTACAAGATCCTTTTTCAAAGGATCTTTTCATTAGATATTCTTTAGTACTCTACAGTCTACAAATTCTCGAAGTATTTCCATTATTATATCCAAGAAAATATTCAAAGTTTTCTATAATATTGGTTCTTTTGTTCTTTTTCCAGTAATTTGTTAATTGTCCTGAATGCATGGCTTTATTGTTACACTTTAGTTTATCCCTAATATTATTACTTTTAAGGCGAGCTCCAGCTAATTTTATCAAATAAGTAAACAAACATTATAAATATTCAAATAAAAGATCCAATTTTTTAAAAAGGTTTCCAAGCTTTGATAAATCGTATGATATGAATAAGGAGGAATTGCTAACAATAATCAAATGGAACTGAATATTATCCTCAAACTCAAATATCCTGATCCTTATATATTTGCAACCTGATGCTGTTATCCTTTTATATTTCAAACATGTAAATTCTGCATAATGTAATGTAATTGTAATGCAATGCAATGTAAGTAATGTAATGTAAATATGTAATAAAGGTATGAAATAATATAAATTTTCAACCTCGAATTTTCTCTTCATATCTTAAGACCGATTTACTCTTTAAAACACTCAAACTTCTTCATTTTTTCATTGATAAGAAAAATCGCGCACACAAAAAAAGGTTATGCAAACGGTTGGTCGGTGCTTCAAAAAAAATAAAAAAGAGTAAGTAACTTTATTACTTTTTGAGGTACAGGTCTAAAATATTGAAATATTTTTAAAAATTTTTCTAAGGTACTTTATTATTTTCTAATTCTGTTTCCTAAGCACACATAACCAAAAAAAGGGTTATGCAAACGGTTGGTCGGTTCTTCAGAAAAATAAAAAAGAGTTAGTTTTTTTTTAATCTTTGAGATACAGGTTTAAAATATTGAAAAATTAATGTAGAAACAAATGTCACAATTTGTCCCAAAAAATATTTGAAAACCTTTTTCTAAGGTACTTTATTATTTTTTAATTCTGTTTCCTAGCACCCATAACCATTTAGGTTTGGGCTAGGGACATGTCTCACACTAAACATCTCTAATGTATTGGGTTACCCCATCATAATGCATAATTTATAGGTCATAATGTATAGGTCATGATGCAAAAGTATAGCGATGTATTTGATGCAAACAATAAGTTCCTTAATTAATTCAATTTTTAAGGCTGTTAAACATTTTAATTCCTTTCTAAAACAAATTCCCTCACTTCAGACATAACATCTGAGGGTTCTCCCTTACTGCTTGAGATCTCTGGCTTGCTGCCTGAAGACACTGCCTTATTTTACCCATTGTAGACGAAATCTGTATTTAGACATACTTTCATACATTTGATTTCAACTTCAGTGATTTGTAGTACTCTAACCGAAGAAATAATGGGTTTTAGTGGAGAGTGGGTATCACAATACGGAAATAGATGAGGATGGTCGGCTGTTGTATTCCTCCCCACCCCCTGGATAGTTCGAGGAGAGGGCACCTCCCCCTGTAATTTTTCTAAATTATATTAGGTTTGCCAGGCCTCCTCCAGGAAACAAGAAACAAGAACAGGTTAAATTTCCAGGGGGCAAATATTTATCTGGTTAAACTGCTTCTAAACTTTTGCGGTCTATCTATCTATCTATCTATCTATCTATCTATCTATCTATCCTTCTATCTATCTTTCTATTTATCTATATGTCTATCTATTTTTTATCTAAATATTTTTTTAAACCTCAGATAAAAATTTAAAAATTGTCGTGCTGTCTTATCCATCTTTCTTTATTAGTCGAAGGTTATCGATCTATTATCACATTAAATCTGTATGAGTGTTTGTTTCTTTGCTTGTAACCAATAAAAGTCAAAACAGCTGAACCAATAGGGTCAACATTTTTTGTGGTACCTCAATGAAGGTCAATGGAATTTAGAATTGAAAAAAATTGCCTTAACAAGTTTCGATTTTTAAAAATCAATGAAAAAAAATCGATAAAAAAACATCGAAGATGGATGCAAAGCGCCTGGAACCCTAGTATTTTTAATCTCTCTTTCTTTCTTTAGCATTAAAAAAAAATTACTTTTAACAATTGGTCAATAAATATAATTTCAACAACATTAAGTAAGAAATAATTTATACAATTATTTAGTTTCGCATTTTAAAATTTATTTCTGTGTCTATCGACGAGTTTTTCCAAAACGTTTCCAATTCATCCAATTGGTCCAGAATGCCAAATCAAAAACAGAAACTAGTGACCACAGATATCTGCAACAATAAAATTATTTGTCAACATTTTAAAAATAAAATTTCAAGCTGAAGTGCACATCCATTTTTGAAAATACAAGTTTCGTCTTTTTTTAGCCTTTGTTACCTCCTGGGTATCCATGGGTTCCCTAAAAAAATTCAACCCATTTGGTTTAGCCGATAGGCCAGCCATAGCTAACAAATATTATATTTATTTTGGTTCTCAGAATCGAACGAAACTCATTCGAATATTTCTAGAAAGGGGTAAGCACTAAGCAGACTACATGTTTTAGGTGGAAATCAAAATCTTCAAGTTTAAACCATAATCTTTAGATATATTTAACTTGGCTTGGCTTAAAAGCTAATAAAATAAAATGACAGAAATGCAAAATACGTCATTTTCAGTTAAAAAAATGTTTTGCTAATTCGTACAATTTTTTTTTGCAAAACTATTTTTTTAACTGAATCATGGACTTTTAAAGAGCTTCCCCAAATTATACAGTTTTGTAATCTTTATCTTTAATATTCCTACTAGGAGGTTTTAGAGTATTGCAAAGTACTGTATTTATTCTTCACAAAATTTAACAAGTGCTATTTCTTTTTTAAGGTTGCTGTAAAATGTTTTTAAAGTTGATTTGTTCAGATAGCAACAGAAAATAACAAAAATATTTTGTTTTTCGTTCCCTCAGACCTGAATGGTAATGACACGGTATCCAATACAACATCAGATACTCCATGTACAGCTTCTTGTACAGCCTCATTCACTTCATCGTACTCATTCTCCTGTACATAAACAAAAAGATGGATTCTATTGCCACATAAACAAAAAAATGAGTTCTGCTGTACATAAACATAACTTTAATTCTCTATATTCCTGGAGTGAAATCTATAAACAAAAAAATGGACTGCTTTATCCTCACAATTTCCCTAAAATATGATTTGAAAATAAATGACATTTTTCTAAGCTTTCAACTATAAATCTTATTACGAATTTTAAACAGAAATTGATTAAAGATTTTTATCAGCAGAACCAATGTTTTAATTCTAACATATGCTATGTTTGCAAAAGAATCAAAGAAAGCAAAGACGATTTTGAAAAGAATGACAAAAATGGTTAAAAAGAGTAAAAGATACAATCAAACATAAAGAATGCCAAAAATCGGAGGCAAATTCAAAAGATTCTTAAAAATGCCTGTTTTGTGAAAAAACGATCGTTTCGTTTTTCGATTTTTCTCGACGTTTTCTTAACGAAACGATCGTTTTTTTCAAATATCAAAACGTTACCATCCCTATGTGTAATGCATATATTTGGCTAAACAATATTGTTATGGACGGTGGCTGGTTTGTGATAAGAAATACTGCAGCGCAAAAATATAAATAATTTGTTTAAACAAATTTTCTAACATATTCTAGATTTTTAAAGCTCCCAGGCTATTTTCCTAACCATTAAAGTTATAGGTAAAATTTATATGGTAAAATAAAAAAATAGAAAACATAGCCCAATCTGGATAGGGTTAAAAATAAATAGGATATTAATGTAGATACATAAAAGATAATATCATCGTATGTTTTTCTTGTTGAAAATTGTATAATTGAAAGAATTCCTTCTGCAGAGAGAATTCACATCAAGTCACTTATGAAAATGCTTATTTTTCAGGAGAAAAACATTCAGACATTAATGTTTATAATAGATGAGCCAAAGCTTTCAGAGTATTTTACTCCTAGGAAATATCACTTTATAAATAGAGGGTCTCTTATATATACTATAATTAGTTGTTCATAGTCTATAGTAGTCCATAGTAAGTCCCAGGTCCATTAACAATAAATCCGTACCCTTCATAGTATTCAATATTTACTCTAGGTCTATAAACTCTAAATACTACCCGTCTATAAGAGTCCACGTAAGTCCTAAGTTCATAAAATCTAAATCCTACCCGTCTTTTGTAGTCCATAGGAAGTCCTAGGCCCATAAATTCTAGATCCTACTCGTCTATAATAATCCATAATAAGACCCAGGTTCATAAGCTCTAAATCTTACCCGTCTAATGTAGTCCATAATAAGTCCCAGGTCCATATAATCTAAATCCTACCCGTTAATAATAGTCCATAGTACATCCCAGGTCATATCAACTCTAAATCCTATTCCTATATATTATACCATAGTTGGTCCCAGATCAATCAAATCTTAGTTACTATGTCAACAGTAGTCATTTTAAGTCTCAGGTCCATAAGCTCTAAATCCTAATCCTCTAGTAGTCCATAGAAAGTCCCAGGTTCATAAACTCTAAATCCTACTCCTCTATTGTAGTCTATAGTAAGTCCCAGGTCCATAAACTATAAATCCTACTTCTCTATAGTAGTCCATAGTAAGTCCCAGGTCCATAAACTATAAATCCTACTTTTCTAGTAGTCCATAACAAATCCCAGGTCTATAAACTAAAAATCAAACACCTCTATTGTCGGCCATAGTAAGCCCCAGGTTCTGAAACTTTTAATCCTACTCCTCTAGTAGTCCATGGTAACTCCCAGGTCCATAAATATAAATCTTACCCCTCTATAGTTGTTCATTGAAAGTCCCAGGTCCATCAACTATAAGTCCTAATCTTCTAGTAGTTCAATTTAAGTCACAGGTCCAAACAATATAAATCCTACCCCTCTATAGTAGTCCAAAGTAAGTCCCAGGTTCATAAACTATAAATCCTACTCCTTTTGTAGTCTACAGTAAGTCCCAGGTCCATAAACTCTAAATCATACTCCTCTACGATAATGCAAGTATATACCAGGTCCATAAACTTTAAATCTTTTACCTCGATAGTAATCCATAGTAAGTCCCAGATCCATAAACTTTAAATATTACTCCTCTAGCAGTCCATAGTAAGTCCCGGGTCCATACAATATAAATCCTACCCGTCTATAGTAGTCAATAGTAAGTCCCAGGCCCATACTCTAAATCCCACACGTCTATAGTAGTTTATAGTAAGTTTCAGGTCCTAAGCTCAAAATCCTACCACCCTAAATCTTACTCCTTTATAATAGTTCACTGTAAGTCCCAGGTACATAAAATATAAATCCTACCCCTCTATAGTAGTCCATAGTAAGTCCCAGGTCCATAAACTCTAAAGGAACAGACTGAGGATCAATCCAGCTGTAGTGAAGTGTGTCAACCATTCTTTTTTTTGAAAACAAATAGGTTTTCCAAAATTGTATAATGTTTTGAATACACGAAGGAATTGCATAAAAAACGAAATTTCAAGCTCATCCACAAATGTCAATCTTGCAAAGCTTTTTAAATTCTCAAGTTTCTATAGAGGAAGGAGGGGGGGGGGGATTACGGTTAAGCCTCCTTCTAAAGTAACTTGAAAGGAGATAAGAGTATTTCTAATCTGTTTCTATACTAAATATTCTTCACTAAGACAAGCTTAACATCACACTTCAGTATTTAATATAATATATTAATCCTTCAACCGAGAAATTCGAACAACTTCACTCATATTGGTTTATTTTTATGTATTATAATGCTTAGTATCATTGAGATATCCTAAAAACTCCCGTGTTTCATATCAGTGTTCTTTGAAAAAATGTATGTTTTGATTATTAAGTAAGATAATACATAGTGATTTAGTATCAAAATGTTTCGATGACATTTTTAAATTTTAAATTAGTTACCACTGACAAATTTTGAATTTAAAGTTTTCAAATGAAATATAAAACACTTTGATACAAAAAATTGTGCTTTTCATCAGCAATGGCAAATACAAGAGGGGTGCAGAAAAATGTTATGCAATAATTAAAATTGCAGAAAAAAATTATGGAGATATAAGCGAATCAGAAGAGTTAATGAAAATGAAAGCTTTGAATATTATTTTTATTTTGCTTCCTTCTACCACAATGCAGGAGCAAAACTGCCTTAGCATGTTAAGGAAATTCAACAAAAAATATATTCATTAAATAATAATACGTATATATAGATATTTATGTAAATAAATCGCTATTATTACTATTTATTATTTTTTAGCCAATAAAGTAGGTTAAATAAAAGATTTAGATTTTTTATGTTTTATTGACTATATTGGAACATCAAAGTAATTTTAAATTTTAAAATTTTTAAATTGTAAAGGTTATGTTTGACATGTTTTTGATGACTCTTTTTTGGATATTTATGAATTCTATCAGCAGTGCAACTTTAGGTGATGTTCATTTTTTCCCTTAAAAATAAACTTTTTGAGAAATAATGAAAATTGTTTATTTTAGATGCAATTAAACTTACGTACTCACAAAGCACAGCGAGTTTTAATGCTTCATTCGATTTAAAGGTATACATTTTTACCAAAAGTGTTGTAAGAATTTTTATATTTATCTTTTTGTAAGATATTTTATTGTTTTTGTTTTCTCAATTGTATTAAAAATGATCAATTTTTTCTTACTGTTGTTGTTATTTTCAGTGACTAATATCCATATTATCTCTTTAAAAGTTCATTAGTTCCTCTACAGTAGTAGTAGGGCAGACGGAGCAGAAACAATGTGTGGAAATTATCAGAATTAAACCATTTTAAGCTAAAAAACGACAATATTTGCCACATGATTAATCAAAAAAGGTTTAAGGGTACCGTTGTAAATTTGACATTCTTCTCTTTTAAATGGAGGGTCTCTTAACATTACGATGATAGTCCTTTTTATGTTCAAAGAAAACATCTTGAAGTTATTCATTATATTGTCAGGGTAGTTTGGCCGCCTGTTCTTCAACATCTTTAAGGTTGGAACTATGGAGGCCAGGAAATTAAAATTAATAAAAATAGCAATATTACTCTGATCATTCTGTCTGGTACAAAATAATAAAATAGTATAAATAAAAATCATATTAATCTTTTTGGTCTTTATAAAGTTTCCACACATTTTTATTTTAACCCTATTCCTGCTGGTGGGGGGTCAATTTGACCCCCCCTGCAGTTTTTTTTTACATAAATCAAAAAGTATTGGTCTGAGGCTATTGAAATTTTTTGACTTTTCCAACATACCCAAAGCCCTCCCTTTAGGCCTAAAACCGGGCTTTAATACTAACTGCCTAAGTCCTCAGGCACACTGCCTGAATGACTGCTTTTGCCTGTAAAAAACTAAATCTTTGTTTTGACCCACTTCCACTTGTCAGATTTTGATAAAATTTAGCTTTATGGAAAGCCTTTGACATAAGGAAACGAATTGCACAAGTTTTGCGAAAACAAATTGCAAATTTTTTGCAAACAACCTGTAAAAGGAAATTTGCACATTTTTAGTTTTTCTTGATTAAAAATCAGGTTATTTAAAATTTTGCAAAAATTTTTGCATATTTAAAATGGCATGGTCAAGGGCTTTTCAAAAATGTATAATTTTTCATTTTTAGGACAAATTTATTTTTGCAAACATTTTTACCATATAACTGGATTTTGCGATAAAAAATTCAATTTTTGCAAATTTGCAAATATTTTTGCAGATTCTAAAAGTAGAGCACAAGAGCTTTCCAATGATGTACCATTTGTCATATTTGGACATCAAACATGGGATTTAGAGGGGGGGTCAAATTGACCCCACCCCCAGCATATCCTGGTTTTCAAGTACCTCAGCAGAGATAGGGTTAAAAAGCGGAAACTGAAAGATTTATATTCTTCTTAAATTACTTCATTTTCGTTTAAGATACAAAAACTTTTATTGTCCAATAGATAACTACAAGGGGGGGGGGTAGCAATCTTATTTTATCCCGTAAAAAGGATTTCATGTTAGTGACACCTACTATTTTGCTGAACTAGTTGAAGCATTGCATTTGCCTTATTTTTAATGGTTTATTAAAACCGAATTGATTATTTTTAATTACAGAGGATTATGAAGCATTAGGTAACATATTTTGGAATGAGAAAATGCCTTTAAAAAATCAGAAAATGCATTCTGATGATCTCACACTACCTCTCGACCAGAAACATCCCTCCACTTACCAGAATCCGACCTCTGTTGACCAGAAATTCTTCTCTTTTGATGAAAAATTGTCAACAAGCTGTTCTGATCTAGATGAGCGGGTTCTAATCCTCCACTACCAGTCTCAACCTATTCTAGGTATTTCAACTAAAAAACATATTTTCGTGACAATATTTAGTTTTTAAGCAATTTCTGCGGCAAAAACAATCCTATTCAAAATTATCCTATTTACCCAAAAAAAAATACATGAAAAGAATAACTTAAACTAACATTTCATTTATTCAACAGTAATAAAAATCACTTCACAAGTTTACTTAAATAAATTTTTTTGCAATTTTTTAGAGAATTCTAGTTCAACAGTGATGTTTCCTCATATCTATCAAAGGTACTGCAAATGTTCTTTGTATTACATATATACAAATATCTATGTACATTATACTATTATATATTTTATTCAGTAAATACGAGGTATATTCAATAAGTTTTGCATAACAATTTTAGGGGTTCTATTTATTTCAAAAGCTCACCTTATTCATCCCCTATAAATGAATAGTAATATTCCAAAAATATACAATTATTTTTCTGTCTCATTTAAAAATAACAATTCCCGCAAACAATTTTTTTCAGAAGATTGTTTTCTTAATGTATGAAATGCACTTTTCATCTTAATCATATGTAAGATTAATTATAAGTAAAAACCTTGCCCTTAAATTGTTGATTGCATATTTTATCTTAAACGTCATTATAATCTTGAAAACCTTGTTCAAAATTTTTAACAAAATTATTTGTTGCCAAGAAAATCATATCATTTTTTAATAATTCAGTAGTATTTTCATCTCTTAAGAACTGTTTTACCGCAAATTGGGGTTCTCTTTTCTAAAGCAGTCGTAGAATATTTTTATTTAGGATTTAAATTCTTAAATTATGTTTTTTAAGGCAGTATGAAGATTTTAAGTTTTGCACCTTGACAAATTTTCTACTAGAAACGTTTTTAAGTTAAAAATTCGATCTGAATATAATGAAAGCACGTCATTGTAGAAAATGTTCGATTACAATTTATTTAGACTGATGACACATTCATATATTTTATTTGAAAATAATAATTTCCGCAAATCTATTTTTCAAAATTATAGTTTTAAAACCTGGTGACCATTTTTTATCAATTTTTTTCTTCACAAGGAAAACTTCTAATTTGTCATTTATGCAGTATAAAATCGTTTTTTCATCTTTTAAAACTTATTTACGGGGAATTGGTATCTCTAATCCGTTATTTCTAAGGCAGTGTAATAAATTAAAAATTGAAAATACGATTTATTGTAATCTAGGAGCACCCCATAGGACAAGTACTCATTACTTATGTCACAAAATTAAAAATGCAATCTGAATAGGAAGTAAGAACATCATTTAAAATTATTTTGATTAATACATTTCAGACTGGTTGCACCTTCACTTTCTTAAAAAAACATTCTTGAAATCAAAATTTTTTCTTCAAAACAATGGTTTTCTCAATGTATAGTATGCTAATTTAGTTTTAAAATATTCAGATTTATTTTGTAATGTTAATAAATTCTAAGACTGATTATAAGTGAAAAAGTTGACATACAATTTTTTATCGAATTTCGTCTTCAAAACGTCATAAACTTCTTTCTTTTCTTTAAAAAGTATGATGTTCTCAATGTTGAGAACACAAAAAAATTTAAATATTATTTTAAGTTTATTTTATTTGATATTATATAATATTCTTTCTAAATATTCACATAAGAGGTCTAAAAGTATCCTTTAAAAATGTAATTCTAAACTTATTTTGTTTGTGTGTCTGTATGTCTGGATGTATGATCATAACTCATGAACCCCTTGACCAATTCCCATCTTGACTGGGGAACTCGGAAGAACTACGAAAATATACATAACCTTGTTAAAAAATTCTAAGTTGAGTGGGTTGACTTTTATAGGAAATATTCTAAGCAAAGCTGGGTTCACAAGCTAGTAGTGCATAAAGTACCAAGAAGTTATAATTTAAAAAATACAATACTCATGTTAGATATTTACCATACACTGTACAGGATGTATGTACTACGGCTGTGTTCCTGCGGAAGATTACGAAGATGTGTGTGCTCTATTTCAGGAGCGAAGACGGCCATTTGTAAAATAATATCTTTACCTTTTCCAACTTCTTCTGAACCCTCATATTTCTTTTCTTCTACCTTTTACACCAACGTAAATCCCAGCTGCAGGGGAACAAATGACAGGTATGCCTTTCTTTAACTTTATAATCATTTTAAAAGTAAGAATATTCTTTGCTAGAATATTTTAATATTTTCTATAACAAAATTTAAAAAACTTAACACTAAGACTTGATTTAAAAGTTTGTTAGACAAACATAAAATTCTGATCTGAAATCGTAATAAAATATTTGTAATTTTGAATTTCTTTCAGTTTTTTGTAGTATCGAAAAAAATTTTAATAAGTACGTTACTTTAATTTAAAATAATAAAAAAGAACAAAAATAACTGAAAATACATAATACCTATAAAAAATTATGATTTTTTTTAGAAACTTGTACATGGTATATTTGTTTGATGCAAAATATGATAAAATCAGAATATAAAATTTCACTTTAAGGTCTTTGTCGTCATTGATTGAATCACGTGGAGAAGTCCCAGTAGTGCATAATCCTACATGGCATTTGACCGCTAACGAGCTAAGTATATCAGGTGGATAATTTGAACTTAATTTCATTTAATTTTTTAATTGATCGTTTCCTTTTACAGGAACAATTCCGTCATGCAGTACTGTACAAATATATGACGAGGTAGGTCAAATATATTTATTGATTTACATGAAACCAAACCAAACCAAACTGACAAAAGTTGCATTATAAGAAGTGACCTGCAAAAAGGAGTAGTTGAGCTGAGAGCAATGTAATTGCAAAAGTTGGTTCGTTTTTGAGGTTTTTTGGACATTTAGAAAGTTCCACAAAAATATGGTAACTGTTAAAAATGTCAAAAATTGTTTATTGTTAACATTTGCCAAATGTTGACCCTGAGACAAAATATATGCAAAAAAAACAGCAAACAACGATAAAAAACTAACCTTAACGAACGTGTTTGAATTATCGGGTTTTTTTATTTGTGTTTCCTTTTTTCCTGCAAAGTTTTTTAGAAATGATATATTATTACATTTAATTTTGAAAATGCAAAATATGATAATTTTTTTAAAACATAGGTTTAAAAGTATTTTTTTAAAGACTAAAATACCTTGCAAAGCTATACCATGTATATGTATAAAACAGTTAAAATGAAATCTTGAGAATTTGTTTAATTTATATTTTCTTACTGCTTAGGTGCAAATTACATTATACGAAGTATCCCACAGGAAATCAAAACAAAAACTATTTTTAAATTAACAATTTTTCTTTTGATACAAAATTATAAACATTTTTTTGTTATTAACTTTCTTAGAATTTTGAAAGGTTAGGTTAGGTTAAAATCTGTTGCACACATTTACATACCTTACATTCACCTAACTAACTAACGACGTGTACATTTTTAAAAGTATAAAGCATAAATTAAAGTATAAATTTTCAACAATATTTGCGTGACAAACTGTGACCTTTGGATCATTTTCCGCAGCATTAGACTTTTGTCGAATATCAAACATTCTTATGCTTGTAATTTATTTGACTGGTGCTAATAATAATTTTAAAAACACAAAAGTCCATTTTGGTTTTGCATAGAGATGAGACATGTGATGTTGGATCTAAAATAAAAAGATTCGAAAATTTAAATCCCAGTTTTGTTACAACATCAAGAAATGGTATTCAATCGGTTATTTCTCATCTTAAACCAAATAATAACACCTCAGGAATGTTTTATGCAAGGTAAAAATTTAAAAGAATTAAATTTTAAAAAAAATATCGTTTTTAATCCAATGATCTAAGTTCTTATAGTTTACATATATAGAAGACAAAAACAAAACTAAAAGTATTCTTTTACCTTTTACTTAAAACTTATCATCTTAAACATTTAGATTTTTAAATATAAAAACGGTTGATGTAGCATACTGCATTTTTATCAAACTAGGTAACATTTTTGTTAACTCTTTAAGGGACTTAAAAACGTAATTTTGAATGACCCTGATTTGAGTAAATTTGTAAAATTCTAAGAACGTCTTGAATTCTCATATTTTCTGCATCCATCAGTCAAAGTTTGAATTGTTAATTTTCAACAAAAAATATTTGCTCCGACGAGCGTTTAAAAGTTTGAAAGTATTTTTTATTATTATTGGATCACTTAAAATAACGTGGACGGTCCCTTTTACAACGAAAATAAATAAAATTTAAAGATAATTCAATATTTGTTTGTAGTTAATCACCCTTACTGTAATGTTGGAAGAGTATCAAGGCAATCCTATATTTGTAAACCAATTTCTTTAATAAGGCCAATCCATTTAGGTAATTTTCATAAGATTACACAAGATATAATAAATATTTCGATCAGAAAATAACCTATTTTTAAATCAGAAGAATGGGATTTTGAAATCATTTAATGATTTATACGAAATTTTTTTCTAAATAATGTTTATTTAAAAAAACTAACCTTTAAAGTGTAATAACTATTAGATATAGACTTTTTTAAGTCCACTGAAAGGATTTTAGTTTTTAAATCATCAACAATAATTTTATTATATAAAAGAATAGGAACCAAATTCTGCAAAGTTCTCCAAATTAATTTTAAAGCATAGGAAAGTTTTTATTTATTTTTTTTTCGTTTGTTTTCGTTTGTTCTTTCGGGTTGTAAACGGATTGAAAATCAACGTTTGATAATTTTTAATTTTTATAAAATATGTCTTCCATGTTAATGATTTGTTTTTAATGAATTAGAAAATTCCCACAAAGTTACCTCCAAATAATGATAGTGTAAATAGACTTAAAACTCTTCATATATGGTGATCCCAAGTTAAAATTAGGTCTTGTGCCTTGATGTTGGTTTTGAAATGGCTTATTTTAAGATTTTTCAAAGAAAGAAAGAATCATGAATATACGGAAACCGACAAAGGAATTGAGTCTTTGCCACAAACTCTGATTTTCTAATCACTATATCTTTGGAACCAAATGTTGCAGACCTTAGATATTTCAAACAATGAATTCTGTTAGATCAAATAATCTGAGTTTGAAATAACAAAGGTTTAAATATTTGATTTTGTTCCAAAGACTCAATTCCTTGTGTAAAGTCTATGATCTAAGGTCTAGATGAAAAACTTGAGAAAATAGAGACAGATTACTGGATGGTTTTTGTTATTTTTACGGTTCTCTTTTTCATCTTTATTCTTATCCTCGTTCTCATTGTGGTTACTAAAGTCAGGAGCTGGGCAAATCTTTTAAGGTAACTGTCATTTTTATATTAAAGGGACTGTAAGCATATTTTCAAGTAACCCTCTTTGAAATAATGGCTATGTCTGATTCTCAATGGTACCCATAAAAAGCTTTGTCTGATTAATTTTGAATTAGACATTAATGTTTATAATTTTAAGAACTGATTATTTTCGACTTTGGGGACAGGGTTCGTACTAAAGTGACTTGGGAAATTTTACTGCAGGAAAATAGAAAGTATTTATCGGAATTAAAATACTATACAAATTAGAAAAACCACAATAATGTCCACAAAGCTTTTGTGAATTGGGTATTGTCATCTTTAAATAGAGATTCACTTGTAAAGAGGCATGCAGGCCCTTTAACTCTTAGCCAATTTTCTAAATCTGTTAACAGAAAGGTATTGCAAAAGGTGTCTCAAGCTGTAATTTTTTATCCCTTTATCCACGCAACCTGAAACATTTTGCAAACCTTTTCTATTTCAAACTCTGTTTGTTCTAGCATGATTCCAAATGTTAAAGGTGAACAGTGAAAAGATAAAATATCATATTTCATTATAGAGAAGCATTTCTTCTCTTTTAAAACCATAACTTCATTCTTGTGTTCGTGTGTCAGTGCAATCGGTTCTTCTAATTTATTTAAAACCAGATTTTTATTTATTCTTTTTTTAAAGCCCCAATATTTTTTTAAAAGAAAATTATGAACAAGTTCTGACTCATTTAAACAACACACGAACCTTCATCAGCATTTGTAATAAAATTATGATCTGAGGATTTAACTTTAGAAAAGAATTTAAGCCAGCAGAAGCTGAGAAGGTGGAATTAATAAATTCAGTGTTTACAATAGCACTTCTTTACATATCAGAAAATCAAGAAGAACAACAAACCATGGAAGATTTGCGTAACCACCTGTCAGGTTCCTGAATATGTATTTTTTTCTCAAATTCATATTGCATTGTTATTAAAAGGATTGTTTAACTATTCAAAGTACAAAAATACCAAAGTTTTTTACTTAACGGAATCTTTAAGAAGCTATTCTTCTGGAAAGAAATGTAAGTCTAAATCTGCACAATTTACATGTAACGTAAAGGTTCGTGTTTAAAAAGTTCGGACAAACTTGCGCAAAAGGAATTGAGTCTTTGCCACAAACTCTGATTTTATAATCCCTATATCTTTGCAATCCAATGTCGTAAAACTTTGATATTTCAAACTTATATTATTAGATATAACAGAATTCATAGTTTGAAATTAAGGTCTACGACATTGGAATCCAAAGATATAGGATTTAGAAAAGCAGAGTTAGTGGCATAGACTCAAATCCTTTGCTCGAAAATTTTAAGTGTAAAGGAATTGAGTCTTTGCCACAAACTCTGATTTTATAATCCCTATATCTTTGCAATCCAATGTCGTAAAACTTTGATATTTCAAACTTATATTATTTAATCTAACAGAATTCATAGTTTGAAATTAAGGTCTACGACATTGGAATCCAAAGATATAGGATTTAGAAAAAAGGAGTTTGTGGCAAAGACTCAAATCCTTTGCCCGAAAATTTTAGGTGTAATGAATTGGGTGAACAATACCTTTAAAAAAATGTAAAACAATATTTATTTTTAAAATAGAATATTATTTGGAAATCTTCAACTTTCCCAAATTATATTAAATTTGATATTTGAAAAATAGAAGCTTTAAACATAGGTATTGGACATAAGGTGTTGGATTTATACTCAGAAATTATTCAGGTCAGTTCTTTTGTTCATATATTCTTTTAAAAAAATAATTATAACTTTTCATCATCTATCACTCGACCTTATTTTTCTATTCAATATATCTTTGCAGCCCATATTTCAAGATTTTTTAAATTTTTAAATTCTGCGCCATAAGAGATTAAAGAATTAGATTTTTGTATGTAGCTTATCAGTTCCTTTGCTGTTTTTTCTATTTTTTTATTCCATGAAAAATTATTTTTGAACGAAAAATATGTTTCCAAAGTTTCCTTTCTTTTGTGATTAAATGGCGATCAGTTTAACTCTGAAGAAATATTTATTTTAAGGGACTGTAAGGCTTTCTTTCAAGTCAGTCTCACAGACTTGCATGTTTAATTTACAATTTGGTACACGTTCAGCTTTTCTAGGATCAAGGATGATTAAACTATCTGAATATAGATTTTTTAAATCGAGGTTTATCTTGAAAAATTGTAACTGTGTCAGATTTATGCGACAATAAAATAAAGATTTAACGATGATATCAACCTTGATTTATCTAAATAGAGATTTAATAATAAAAGGGGTATCGTTGTGTCATTATTTTTTTTTTTTTTAAATGGAGGGTCATTTAATATATTCTAGTTGAATTGATCTTACCAAAACACTTTAAGAAAATTTGTTTATTATTTTTAAGTACATTACTTTTTTTTAAAAACATTTTTTTTGTTGGGTCCAATTCATCTTTTCTATATTTTAACATAATTTGAATAAAAAATGAACTCTCTATGTATGTCCAAGTTTTATAGGAGGAGGCATGTTATAATCCTGAATCCTGGCTACTAGAAACTATACACAGCCCTGAAACAAAGGTTATTGAATATTAATTATTTCAAACATTTTTAAACTATAAAAATTGAATATCAATTTAAAAACTGGGTCGACTTAAAAGTGTTGCAGCGTCTTACCAACCTTTTTTGTGTAAGATCTTGTTTCGAACATTTAAAGAAGTAATGGGCAAAATGCTGACAGATTTTGTGTTGACGCGTTTTGATGGAATTTATTTTTAAGATCTTATTTTAGTTTATACATTAATTGATTTCAATGCTGTTAATTCTTCATTTTGTCTTTCATTTTTAATGTTACTGAAACCCTACTCATACTTCATTTCCAGATAAATTTTTATAAGTGGATATAATTTTTAATCAAGTTTTTAATATTAGACATTTTTTACATGTTTTATTTTGTATCTTTTGTAGCTTTAAATTTTTTCTCATTTAGAATTATTTTATTTGATTTTTTTGGTAGTTGTTAAGAAAAGTAGAAAAATACATATTACCGATAGTGTGGTGTAATCATTCGTCAATTTCCTGGTAAAAATAGTAAAATTGTTTTTACAACAGTTATAAAGTTTTCTGAAATCAATAGAAGGTGAAAAGTTTCGTCACCGTGGGAAACTGAATTCAATGGGCAAAAAATGAGGTCCAACAAAACTAATTTTTGACAGTGAATTAGTTAATGATAAAAACTAGAAAAACATGAAAAGATCGGCAATATGTTTTTTTCAGATCAAAAAACCCAATTGTCAAATTCTCAATTTTTAAAAATCGTTTTTTTAAATTGAAGAAAAAAAGCTTTAACGTTCCTTCTAACTTTTAGTATACTTTTTGTCGGCGTAAAAAGGATAAAAAGGAGTTAAAGGTAACTCTAATACTTACGAATGATACTTCTAGATTGTTGTACTTGAAAATTATGCGTTGGCCCGAGGTTTACTCAAAGCTGAAACAGCACCAGGTGTATTTTCTAAAATCTTAAAATAAACTGAACACTTGCCAAAAATATAATTTATAATCCGTTTATATTTGCAGCATGTGCTGAAATTTTAAAAGCAGCTTAAACTTGAGTAAAACCCGAACCCGGGCTCAGATAGAACCCAAGTCAAGTAGACGCTAAGACCGGGTTTAATTTCTTTTAAAATCAAGATCTGAAATCGTAAAGCTTTGACATTTCAAACTTTCTATCAATAGTCAATCTTTGAAATAGCAAAGGTTTTTTTCCATCTGAAAGGATTAAAAATTAGTGTGCTTAAAAAAAATTAAATGTTTATATCTAGAGCCTTCAATCTGTATGTATTGGACCATTGACTTTGTCTATGTCTAGAGCCTTCAATTTGCGTGTATTTGACCCTAGACTATGTTTATATCTAGAGCCTTCAATCTGCATGTATTGGACCCTAGACTTTGTTTATATCTAGAGCCTTCAATCTGCATGTATTGGACCCTTGTGGTGGAAGACGATCTGAGTCTGAGCTGGATACAGAGACGCAGCAAGAGGATCTAGAAAATTCTGCCACGTCATCTCGATATTATTTATTTCAATATTTTAAAGTTTAAAATTTAGTTTGTCAGTTAAATAAAGTACTCTATATTAAACCCAGGCCTTGTTAAAACGAGGGTAGCTAAATTGGTGACCCGAGCTCGAATACCATAGACTTTATAGCTACTCGCTCGTCAGTGAAATGCCTAAGGACAGTGATAACGTCCAAACCCTAGCTGAACCCAGCTCGTTGGACCTGTTGAATACTGTGTCAGTTAAAGTTCCAGCCTTTTAGGATACAGAGACGCGGCAAGAGGATCTAGAAAATTCTGCCATGTCATCTTGATATTATTTATTTCAATATTTTAAAGTTTAAAATTTAGTTTGTCAGTTAAATAAAGTACTCTATATTAAACCCAGGCGTTGTTAAAACGAGCGTAGCTAAACCCTAGACTTTGTTTATGTCTAGAGCCTTCAATCTGCATGTATTGGACCCTAGACTTTGTTTATGTCTAGAGCCTTCAATCTGCATGTATTGGACCCTAGACTATGTTTATGTCTAGAACCATCAATCTGCATGTACTGGACTCTAAACTCTTTTTATATTTAGGGGCTGGAGGTATTGGTCCCTTAACTGTTTTTGCAGTAGAGCAGGTTTTGGCTGGATATTCTGACAATTATAGAAAAGTCGGTGTCGTCAAAATGGGAGAACTAAAAAATTCGACAGCAACAGGTTAAATTAAATTCTCTAGTTGTGAAAGAGCCGGAACACTAAAGCAAAGAGACACTAGATAACTCAGTAATATATAGCAATATCATTTTCAATTTGTTGAGAAAAAAACTGAATTCGGATAAGAGTTTTGACTAGAAGGGTCTGTTGACTTATTTTCATCCCTAATTTTCAGAGTTATGCCTGCTATATTAACATGAAATCCCTTAAGATAAAGATCTTAATATTGATAATGTGTAGGATGTGCACATTAAAAGGTTTCCACTTACATCATGATCTATGGAACTCTAAAAATTAGCAATAACATCTTGTGGATACATATTTACTTAATACTGCAACAACGAAAAAATTGGATTTGAAAATTATTTAATTTTGGTCATAGCCGTGACCCGACGTTGCAAATTGCAGTCTAACGTTAGAAAAATTAATTGTGATTTAATTGCATATCGTAACGAAAGGATTTCTATTTCAATGTTCTAGGTTCAAAAAGTGAAACGTTGTATAACTAAAAAATTCATTTCTGTTTATAAACGTTAAGAAACGTTTTCCCTAATAGTATAATGAATAATCAGGAAACGAAATTTTTTATACAAAGTATAAATACCAATAGTGTAACGTATAACATTTAAAAAATGTAATTCTGTAAATCAAAACGGCTCTAATCTATCAATGACTGATGAATATGACTGTAAAGACTTATGGTTTTTCGTTTCAAGTTTAAAGGAAATGAGTTTATGCCACAAACTCGAATTTTCAATCACTATATCTTTTCACTTTTTTATACAGGGTAAATGCAAACTTCTGACTTATTTCAGTATAATATTTCTAGATTTACATTCAATAAGAGAATAAATGGTAGGCGAAAAACATTTTTTAAAGAACTCTTTTCAGTTCGGGTTTCCATGATCAAAATTAAATTTCTAAAGGGTTGGTCTTGCCAATTNAATATATAATATTTGATACATTTTTGGAAGGTACTTGGGGTCTACTTCAATAATCTGAAGAAAACAATGCAAATTTGAAATAATTCAACCATTTATTGCAAAATCCAGTTATTAAGCAAAAACTAAAAAGGGAAAATTTTACTTCGTCTTTGCCAAATTTCTTTGCTATCTTCGTCTTGTCAAATGGTTTCCTAACAATGTTGAAATTAAATGATTGGAAGTTAGTATAACCATAGCTTTCAGCGTGCTTAAAGATAGAAAATTTAAAGTAGATTTGAACAGTCTCAGACAAACACTGTTCGATTTATGTAAAAAAAAAAACGCGCTGTTTGGTGGGAAAACTGATCAAACTCTGTTTCAGGATTAATTTTACATACACAGTATCGTATTCAGGAATAGTTTTACATACTTGGTTTCTGTTTCAAGATGAGTTTTACATACACAGTATCGTATTCAGGATTAGTTTTAAATACATGGTTTCTGTTTCAGGATTAGTTTTACATTCTTGGTTACTGTTTCAGGATTAGTTTCACATTCTTGGTTTCTGTTTCAGGATTAGTTTTACATACTCGGATTCCGTTTCAGGATTAGGTTCACATACACAGTATCGGTTTCAGAATTAGTTTTACATTCTTGGTTACTGTTTTAGGATTAGCTTTACATACATAGTTTCGGTTTCAGGATTAGTTTTACATTCTTGGTTACTGTTTCAGGATTAGTTTTACATTCTTGGTTCTGTTTCAGGATTAGTTTTACATACACAGTTTCTGTTTCAGAATTAGTTTTTCATACTCGCTTTCTGTTTCAGGATTAGTTTTACATACACGGTTTCTGTTTCAGAATTAGTTTTTCATACTCGNCTGTATATATCTGCATGTTAAATTTTAAAAACGAACTGTAATTAAACATAATAAACTAACCCACTTTTGCTTTAAAAGGGTGTCTAGACGTAATTTATAAAAGTGACCCTCACTGTATAGAGTGGGAAGTCTCATTTACAATATTACGCTTATATAAATGCATGTTTAAAATCTTGAAAATAATTTGCATTAAGTGTTAAAGTGCCTGGCACAGTTATTCTGCGGGAAAACAATTTACAGGAATTATCAGAATTTAAATTATTTCCATCTAGAAAACCTACGTATTCTTTCAAATAATTGATAAGATTAAGGTGTCCAGCTGGACCCTAAGGTACTGTAGTGAATCGGGCCTACCTCTCTTCCAATGAGGGGAACTTCATAATTATAACAACAGTCGCTTTACATACATACACCCAGGTTTCCTCGTAAAACTTTAAACAAAACAAAGTCTAGAATCAACCTCCACAAATAATTATGAGGTTATAAAGCATGTTAAAATTTTTGTTAACAAAATTTAAAGTTTTGAAAAATTGTTACTTTTACACATATTATATGGATATATCGAAAAATTGCTATTTTTACACATATATCATGAATAACTCGAAATAACTAGACTGATGTGTTTTTTAAAAAATGTGTTTATCTTACACTAGAAAGGAATTGAGTCTTTGCCACAAACTCAAATTTTCTATTTCTTATATCTCTTCAACCTGATGATGTAAACCTTTGATATTTTAAACTTCAGTTATTATTAGTTAGTTACGACATTAGGTTGCAAAGATATCGGGATTTGAAAATCTGAGTTTGTGGCAAAGACTCAATTTCTTCTCTATTAGTTTTGACATGCCTTAGAGTAGCACTCATAATTAGGATATTTAAAGATTTTAAAAGATTCTAATATATTTAAAAAGACTTGTCTTCAAAATAGCAGTATAAACTCAAAATAAAATAGTTTTAATCATTTTGGCTTGGGAGGCAAAATTTGGACTATTAGAAAAAAATCTAACGTTTTTTTCGTAATATAAGCTGACGAAAGCATTTCAAAATTAGAACCCTTGTATTCGAAATTGTGAATAGAATGTTAAGAATATCACACACTTTTTAATTTCTCTCATTCTCTACGTAATGTCAAACCAAATATTTTCTATTTCATAACTATTTTGTTAAATTCAATATCAATAACATAATCTCATTTGTCATATGTGTCTTTCAGCACACCATTTATTAATTTTCTTAGCATTTCAATTAAATAGCTTGAGGAGAAATATTAGAGATCAGGGTGCGATTTTATCCTATGCAAAATAGTTTATACATTTGTTAGTAAAACTGAATTTTAAGATATTTTCTGACATGTACTAAACAAATATTAAAACATAAAAACATATTTAATTAGTTTTATATGAATAAAAATTCGGTTTATAACATTTTGTAAGGTAATTTTTAAGAAGAGAGTTTAGTAGCATATTTTTAGATACTTAGATACACTTAGAGAGTTCTTTCTTTTTAAGTCAAAAGGCAGATTATTCCATATCTTGTTCCAGCAAGCTGTAGGGGCCTTATAGTTCCCAACATAGCCGGTTTTCTCGATCCCAAAATTATGTTTTGCCCCTAACTATAAAAAAATGCCCCCTTTTGTAAAAAGAAAATGCCCCCGATTAAAAAAAAATTAAATGAAAAGAAAATAATATGACAACTCTGTAATTTTATAGATTGTTGAATTAAATACCATTGAATTGAATACAACTTGAAGAAACTGAAAACATCTAGAGTCCTGGTTACTCCAGGCCCCAGTGTGTTATGGGCGTTTTAGCTTTTTAAAACTTTTTTTTCTGAAAATGTATTTTTTTTAAATAGTAATCTTTTCCTTGTCTATGGTATTGAAAAGTGCAATTAAAATGTTAAATCTTTAATATTCTACTAAGAGTAAATAAGAAATAAATTCAGTAATAGGATAGAAAATCAATCAGATTTGTGGGATAATATTGATATAATCAGATCTTTATATACAAAAGCAGGGGGGCTTATATAGTATAATATATTTGAAAGGTGTATTAGAAAAAGATTATTGGTCAAATCTACTTACACTATGATTTTTATAACACCCCCTTTATCTTAAAGGGACTAAAAGCAATTTTTAGCCATCAAAATTGAATAGGGTATAAATATATGTACAAAAATAACAAACTTGAACCTTAGCCCGATTTGGCAATTTTTGTCTAATATAGATGAAGGGGGGGGGGGTTCCAACCACCCAACCCCTATGATTTTGCCCTTAGAGTTGAGATAGGGAAGTGTGATACAGATCCCTAATCCAACTTTTCAAGGCCAGCTCATTAAAAAAAAATAAAACCCTTAACTTTAATTGTTAGGGTGCAAGAAGGCTTTAAAATAAGTTAAAGAAAAGTACGCCAGAAAAATGTTTAGAAATACCAGTTTTTAACTTTTAACAATTATTAGCATGTGAGTGTGATACATGTTATTAGTTTTATTTTTCAAGGACTTTTCAAATAGATTAACTTTAGATCTGTAGCTTCATTTGAAAAAAATGTATCAACCTTTTTTTTGCTTTGAAACACCGGCATCCACTATGCATCAAGAACATTTTTTATTTTTTTTTTAAATATGAAGTTGGATAGGTGGCCCCCCCCCCAACACACACAGTCGTGATTGTGTTGAGTAATTAGATTTATGCACTATGCAGAGTCCGTCTAAACAATTCATCTATTTTATCCATTATAGAAACATAGAATAGCAATAAAATTGTACTGGGTCATTAATACTCTTATCATGAATATTCAATTCCTTGCATTCTCCATTAACAAAAATGGAAATGAAATAAAAAATAATAATCTAATGGAAATTTCTTTAATTTAAACCTGCTCGGATTAGTAATGAATAAGATTTAATCTTCTTAAATAAAGAAATTTAAATCTGGGAGGGAGGGAGAGGGGGGATGGATTGCAAGTAAGTAAGTGTTATTAACAATTTAACCATAATATAAACAAACGTTTTTTACTAATATTTTGAAGAAAAAAATATTAATTTTTGTAGTGTTTTAAAAAAATATGTTTCACATGGAAAAGGCTTTTCCAAGCGTTTTAGAATTTGGGCTAAAATGTTAATACTTGTTTTCAAAGTTAGCATTTTTTTTTAATTATCTGTCCAAAGAGAAAATGGCGACAATTCAATCGATTCCATCAATAGATCAATTTCTGCAAACTTTCTCAGGTAAATTTTAATTACAGTTTTCTGATCGGTGGCATATCATTTTAAGAACATACCTAGCTTCTGGGGAAAAAATATTTTTAAGAATATATACAACCCTGGTTTCGATGTTGACGTCATTAAATGGGAACTATTTTATCAACATTAATGGATAGGGAGACTTAATTAAACTATTAAATTGAACCATTTCTTCCAATCTTAAACACGAAACTTAACGAAAAATGCGTATTTCAACAGCTTTACCCATTCACTGAATCTGGTCACAGTTTCTTTAAAGCAACATGTGTTATGCCACAAACTCAATTTTTTTATCTTTCATAATTAGAACCTAATGGTGTAAATCTTCAATATTTGACTAATTGATTTCATAGTTTGAAGTATTAAACTTTTACGACATCGGGTTTGGTAAATACATTTTTTGGTTTTAAACTTGCTGACCCGAAAAAAAATACCTTAAATATTAGACATATTTTGTACTTTTACAAACTAAATTACACTAATATTTAATTTCACTAGATGGAGATGATTTATAGTATGTACTGTCCCGTCTGCTATGTTATTGTATGTGTACCGTAAAACTTGTACTTGAAATGAAATAAATTATTCCTTGAACATCACGGACACAATTAAAAACAGGTTTAATGTTTACTAATAAGCTTTATATCTTAGGTGTTCTGCAAACTGATGAGGATAAGTATGGTATTCTTGTTGGTATTGAGAATCTACTCTACTCTACTCTACAGGTAAAATTAAATATTCATTATGCAATAGCTGAAGTATTCAGTATTTTCTTACAGATGACACCAAGAATTTCTTTTTTACTATCTATAGTTTCAGCCAAATGTATTTTTTTACGAACATTTTTTTATAGGAATGTCATTCATTATAGGGACTTGAAGATTCAAGTTTGAAGCGAGAAATAAGTTCATTTATAGATTTTTGGTATTACTACAATCTGTAATGTTTTCTAGGTTCTGGATTGTTATGCAGAAGACCTAGTTATGGTAAACCTGGACTGTAAGGTAAGAATCCAGGGAGTAAGGAATAGAAGGCCGAGATATAACTGACGCGATTCGCCCTACCATATGATTGTACATGCTTTGCAGGGTACTCCATTTTTATAAGAATATATTCAGATAAGGTTATTGTATACGCAGTAAATGTACATCAGACAAATATTTCTTATTCAAATGGAGTACCGTCTGCAAAGCATGTACAATCATATGGTAGGGCGAACCGCGTCAGTTATATCTCCCTTCTATTCCTTGCTCCTTGTTAGAATCATAGAAAGCTAAATTTATGAAAGATGTGATTTTTGAAGGGTTGTCGAAGTAACCTATAAAATGATCCTCTATTCAAAGGTTTTTCTGATGCTTCGCATCAGTATCCTGTAAACTTTTGTAGAAGAAAGATATCTTCTCAATTTGTCTATAGTTCATATAGTGAAGTTCAGTTTATGTAGATGTTTGAATTTCATAATTTTCAGGACGAGCAACTGAGCGTGTATATCGTTATAGGGCAAGATTATACTTCAGGTTGTATTTAGTAAAGACAATGCGTACAAATTTTGGCAAATATACTGATTACTCGCCTTTAACTGTTATTTTTCTATATCTTTGCAACAAGATGGTGTAAAGTTTAAATAATTTCCAACTTTCACAGTAGACCTAGTTTTAAATTGGAGGTTGCAAAGATATAAGGATAAAGTAGAGGATAAAAGTAGGAGAGAGAAAGTTTAACAGTTTAAAACCACATTTCAATAAAACCAGTATTGAAAACCAATTCGAAAGAAAATATTTTATTTTAGATCTTTTCTTAGCTGTAGAGTACAAGTTATCATAAAATAATCATGTTTTCAGTATACCCCGTAACTTTAGAAACGCTTATTCTGACGCATATAGATTTATAGTTCATATTTTATCCAATTCAGAAATATTGTTTACTATCGTAGGATTAGTATTTTACTGATTTGTTTTCGAGAAGGATTAAATAAATGTAAGGACAGTATAGATCAAAGGAAAGGGGGAACGGAACCCCACAGCTAGCTGGATTATAAACTAATTAAAAATAATGACACACCAGTGTTTTCATATTCTATGCATTGTTTTCAGATCTTTTTATTGTAAATATTTAAATTGATATTTACAGCTGAAAAGCTTTTTTATCATTTGTCTGACAAACACAATTTTTTTGAAATTTAAATTTGTTATTTTGCATGGGTTAAAACTCCAATAAAAGCATTAGAGATTTTGTTTTAATCCACCTGGAAAAAATACAGTTAAATAAAAATGAACAATTAAAATGAAACTGATAAATTAAAAACAAAGTAGATGTGTATTAAATTAAAATTTAATTAGTAATAATTTCACAAAACCGTAAATGTTTAAAAACCATTTTTTGTATTTCAAGTAACCTTTTATTTAAAGACAATTCCGTATTTACAATAGTACCAATTCACACTTTTTTCTGATTATTAATAAATGGAAGATATCACCGTTTTTCTAGAATGAAAAGTTTGGAATTTCTTCATATTGCATTAAGCAGCTTTGCAAAGGAACAATTTTTGAAAGAAAAAAATCAACCTTCAATACGAATTAATTGATATCTTTTGCTTTCTTGATCAAATCAAAGATATTAAAGGTGTTTTTGTAAATCAGACATCCCATGGTATAAGGTAAGTAACTTTCAACTCAATTGTCCCTTTATTAGATAAAAATAGATAGATATTTTTAACTAAATATTTAAATAATATGATTTAAAAGTAGTGCACAATTCTTACAGTTTAAAGTTCAGCCAGGACCTCTCTAATATTCTTTAATATTCTTGTTTTTTGTTTCCTTGAAAATTAGGAAAATCTGGAAGACGAGTGGATAGGGTTGAGTATATGACGACTTTAAGAACCTTGGTCACACTGTGTGATATTGATATCGAGATGAATTCTTCATATTACAGGTTAATTAGTTTAAAGGGTGTGTACGGAGGAAGGGGGGGGGGAAGGTTCTCCACTTCAGTCACCTAAAAGGATCCATCCCACCCTTTCTTAACCCTAGAAACCCCTTATTCCTCTCCCAATCTCTCAAAAATGAAAAAATCAAAGTTGCACCATTTTTTCCCCCTTTCTAGCCTTCTTTTTGTCCCCCCCTCTCCCCCCTTATAATGAATCCTGTATAGAATATGCATCTCTGATATGTTATAGATTATTTTTTAAATGTTGACGGTTCCTTTTTATAACTTTTGAATTTGTATTTTTTTAATTAATCATTTTTTTTTGATTTATTGCTGCTTTCATAGATAACTTAAAAAAAAGATATGGGATGATGAGATTCAAGATATAAATCAATAAGTCTTTTTATTAATCATCAACGAANTAGTCAACCGGCTGGTTTCTCAGTTTAGGAATGTCCGCGAGACCTTAAACACATTAATTTCACACATTAATTTCACAGCTATTCCGGTAAAAAACTAGCATTAATATCACAGCTATTCCGGTAAAAAACTAGCATTAATTTCACAGCTATTCCGGTAAAAAACTAGCATTTTTTCATAAAAGTTCAAGCTTCAACCATCTAAAAACAACTTTGATGTTTTTAGTCTAGAAAATCAACCTGAAGGCTCAATTCCAGGGTTTAGAAATAGATCATTGGACAAAGGAGTTATTCAAATCAGGTAAAATAAATAAAAACAGAAACTGCTTTACTCAAACTCTAATTTTCAATCCGAATTACTTTTAAACCTAGGATATTTCAAAAAGGTTTGCAACATTACATTTCAAAAAGTAAAAGAGATATAAAAGTAGAATTTTTTAATAATAATACGATATTGATGCAATCTAAAGCTTTATATCTAATAATACCGTCCTTAATTAGTCAGCTGTTTTTAAATTTACTAACTACCCTTTTTTATTGTTATTAATAATAATTAAGTCAGAAATTTCCTTTTATCGATAAAACGTTTGCAGATTAAATGGACCAACCGGCCCAAATGCACTTTTAAAAAATTAAAACTAAGTGGAACAATTCTAAGATACTGTTTATTTTCTATTCTATCATGTTTTTGTTTGTGTTTTTAAATTAAGGAAGATAATTGAAATAATAATTGAAATAATAACAGACCAAAGGTTCTAGAATGAAGGAACTCGTAGTGTTATTTTCATTAGTCAATTTGTAAAATATTTCAGGATTTCAGGGATGTTTGTAAAACGAGAACTAAAGATGAAACAGGAGGTATTCTCTAACAACCAGGTATTATTTCATAAAACCAAATATTCAAATATTTAAAAAGTGGGGCACGAAGCACCGTAGCGAATAGATAGTATCATATCTTTAAGTTTCGGGTGTTTCGTGCTCCTTTTTTGTAATAATTCTAATTTTAGACTTTTTAACCAGGAATCACACAGTATAAATGAATTCAATTAATATTTTACAGTCGGTTAAACATCATTAGTGAATTTTCAAAATATATTTTTTTAAAACGTTATTTTGTAGATTCCAGACGATATTCCTGGGACAAATATTTCAGAGTTGTCTTTGTCAAAACGCAAACAAACGTATACGGGAACAAATGAAAGGTAATTCATTAATTAATTTCACACCCTGTGCCTATTGATGAAAATGATACAGGGTGTACGACAAATGCATGACAATTGAGAAAATCACTAAAAACTCCGGTTAACTTGAAGAAACAGACTGGTATAGCATAGCTAGAGCCAATTGTACAGCATGAATGTTGTATACAGACTGTGTACGGTTGAACAGTACAGTACACCAAATTAATCATCTTCTTCTTGCGAAATTACTGTGTAATAACTATCAATCATAATACAAAACATAAGTTGGAGCATCAAAAAGGGTGCACAGTTTGTTTTCTTATTACATGGTCACCTTCTTGGTAATATAACAAATCACAAAAGATATTACTTTTAGGCGTTTTTAGGATTCAGTTAATTGAAATCAGAGCTTTTTGATTTTGAACGGAAGAAGGCAGACCAGTTTTTGAAATGACAGGACACATGAAACCAAACAGCAAACATTTCTATGACGAAGACAATATGCTTTTTTAACGAGTTTGTCGTTTTTAGGTGGTCATCCAATAGTAAAATGCATATGCATGACAAACTATTTTCAATTAATATATTTAGCTCTAGTCAAGTGAAGGTTTCTATATCAAGGTACATGTCCCTGTGCTGTATATTCCCCATGGTAAAATACTGTCTGGGGTCTGGCTCGGATATATCTACGGCAGAAATGAAAGCTCTAATGGAAAGAAGAAGGCGATGGGCAGTAAAAAGAGGTAATGCATTAAAAGTAATCTTTTAACTAAAATTATTTCTTTGCTCCTGATTTGTTACCATTTCAAAAATATCTAAATTATTGATAATCATATTTTTTTCCAGAAGCTTGAATTAATTAGAATTATACGACGTGCTAACGCTGAAAATGAGTCTTGACTATTGATTAAACATTTTTGATAAAAGCTGGATTATGTTTTCACGAATCTAGATTATGCAAGGTTCAACAACATTACGGTGGATTCCAGAAAACAGAGGAATTATTGCCGCTTTCTGACTTCTTTTTAATGGAAAATTACTTAAGATTCAGCACCCTATAACTGATGTTTTCCCCAAAAAATGTGCCTTAAAAATATTTTGAAAAAGGTCAAATTACTTTAAAAAAAATACATAAAATACAGAAATTAGTCCACTTGCTACAAAGGTGCATTAAGTTTAATATTGAAAACAGTCCCTTTGAAACTTTTGTTTTGTTTAGGAATGAGTATTGACTGCTCATACTTCGATAGTTCGGAATCTGAGGGGGAGTTTTCCCGTAAAAACTCTGAAGACTTTGAAAACGCTGAGAGGCTGCTTGAAGTCCATGAGGATCTACTTGAAGAAACTGGTAGTCTGTTTGAAAACTCTACAAGTATGATTGAGCATTGTGAGAGTACAATTGCTAGGGCTGGAAAGCTTGATGAAAACTTTGGTAAAATTGTCTATCAAAGCCTTGACACTCTTTTACCTTCTCAGGTATATATTATTTTTTAAACAATAAATATAAATATAAAATGGGATAAATTTTAAAATCCGATTTAAGAAAAGTTTCTGTGCCCTTTCCCTTTGTGTTATATTTAGGGATATTAAGTATTTAATATAAACAATCTTATTCTATTAAATATATGATAATTGATCTAATTCCCCCCCCCCCCATTCCATCCACCTTCCCCTTACATACCTTACACCTTCATTAGCTAACTACAGTACCCCGTCTTTTCCTGATCCCTCACCGCTCTCCCCCCCCCCTCCGGCCCCCATTGTAACACTGCCACAGCCATTTTCTTATACTAGCTTGGGAATACAGCTTTTCCTAGAAACTAAAATTTCTCTATAAAAGTCTACCCACTAATTTTAAGCTATAAACATTACTATTTTTTATCTACAGAATTATTTAGGTCACTTCCGTAGATCTTGAGAAGCATGTTTTATCTCGTAAATCCTCAGTAACTTGGAAAGATAACCAAGAAAATGCAACTGAGACGGAAGAAGTATTTGAAGCTAGGAGGAATGAAAATGATGATGAAAAAGAACCTGGTATCTTGAGTATACTGGACAAAGAAATAAAAGAATTGGAAATATTCACAAGCCAGGCTGAGACTTTCAGTAAACGTTTTCATGAAAACAAACGCTTGAATTTCTTCAAAGAAATGACAGCCCCGGAAACTTCTACCCCATCACCCGGCTCTTTCCAGACAGTTACTAGTACTGAAAGTCATCTGGATATGCCCTCAACTGGCAGCAGTAATCTTCAAGATTTTAAGATCCCCCTCCCTCCGCTGAAAAACAAGGCCTCTTCCATGGAAAAACTGGCGGAACATTTGGAAAACCAGGCGGAAGATGTTACCAAGGAAGGAACTGATCGAAAAAACTCCGTCAGCTCGGATACAGACTCTACAATGAAAGAAAAGAAATCATTCTTCCGGCGAGGGAGCAAAACATTGTCACTAAAACGGAATGCATCTCTCAAAAAGGATATTACTTTAAAAATGGACTTATCTCTAAGCAGGGATGAAAACGTTTCTGGAGATTTGAAGAAGAGAGAAGGGTTAGAGAAGAGTAAAGCTGAAGAGTTGAAGCCGGACGACGGGAAGAAAAGCAAATCTATTTTCCGTCGTGGGAGCAAGGAAAAATATTCCTTGTCCAGAGAAAATACTTCTGAGAACATGAAAGGCAAGGGCTTAATGTGTTGGACACCTATACTTAAACCTGTGCGTAAAATTAGTAAAAAATGCATCAAATCCTCAATGTTTCATATTTTAATGTAAACGGGTTGCAGACGCAACTTTAATTAACTCTCCTAATTTACAATAAGGAGGATATTGTCGTTTCTCTAATATAATTTAAATTGTTGTCTTCATAAATCCGCAAGTCAGTTTTTCAAAGAAACCACAATTTAGAATATTCTATATTCAGCAAGAAATTCATGATATTACATTTATGCAGGCCTTTACCAGATAAATAGTTAAATATTAGACTGAAAAGCCACTTTATAAATGAAGGGCCACTTAAAATTGCATTTACAGTCCCTTTTTAACCAGTTTTTTTTTGTTAAAGCACAAACATTTTATTTCCTGAAACTTTAGGGAAGAAAGATGAACAATCCCTGGGAAGTGTTGACACTGAATCCATGGCGTCTGCACAAATATCAGGCTCCGAGCCGTCCTCCCCGAAGGTTTCTTTGAAAAGAAGAAAATCCCTGTTTAAGAAATCTAAGAGTTCAGGAAAGGAGAAAAATGATGAAAATGATGACAACATGAAACCCAGGGGAGAAGTTACAAGAAGGAAATCAATCTTTAAAAAGGAGAAGGTTCAGTCCTCGGGTCTGCAAGAGGAACAGGAAAAGGAGAATGGAAAGGGGGAAGAAAATGAGAAGAAGAAAGGGGAGAAGGAAAAAAAGGATAAGAAAAAGGAAGGAAAGGAGAAGAAAGGAAAACAAAGTGTTGTAAGAGAGGTTGATATATCAAACAATTAAATTATACAAAACACTAAGACAGATTTAATTTTGATGAAACAAAAAGATCTGAGCCAAAATAGGAGGATGTAATTTTTAAAAAAGTGAAATGAAAGTGAAGTTTTCAGTTTAAGTCAATTTCCAGCTATTTCTTAGCACAGGGTGCAATGCTAAGTGATGATTACAAAATAGCTTATTTTTCTTTTTTATAAATGTCTGCATGTGTGAGTCATTCTAAAATTGTTAACCCACAAAGCTATGGAAAAGTAAAAGGACATTTAAGCAATCCTATGTGTAGAATTGGATATTTAATTTTTTTACAAAAGCAAAACGCTTTAAATCAACTTAGTAAGTGAACTAGAGAGTTCTGTATACTGCACTTTTATATGATTTTAGAACTTTTGAAAATCATAATTTGAGTCTGACGGTTGTCCTCCTATTCCATAGTTTTATGTGTTTCGCTGTAATGCTTATTTATTTCTTAATTAATTTTTTTTTCTCGCACTCCATTTTTTTTATGTATAAAACAAAGTGAAACATTAGATATAATTACTAACTAGCTAACAGGCGTTAAGATTAAAATTAACAGTAAAATTGACAATTGCTATCGTCTTCTTAAAATCATAATTTATATTTTAACATTTTTCTTCTTTCTCTGTCTTATGATTTAATGATATATATTTATTGTTTTAATAATTAGATTAATTTATGATATAAGTGTTTGATAAAAAGTTATAATTTGATGATAAGATAAAGATTTTATCGGCTGCATTGTTTTTATTGTATCAATTTTGTTCTTTTATAACTTCTTTTCTACATTTTTTTAAACACAAAAGTTTTATTCGGATTATGGGAAATACTACCATAAATAAAGTTTTTGTTTTCAATTTGTAGAGCAATGTTCATTTCATAGTCCAAACATTTTCAAAATGTACTTTGATCTTTTCGAGATTTCAAAATCTCCTGATCGAAAGGGAAATAATTTATTGAACTAATAAAAATGTTTAAAATGTTTTTCTTTCTTTTAGATTTCAGGAAGTCTTGTAACCTTTTTTTATAACAAAGGAATTGAGTCTTTGCCACAAATTCTTTTTTTTTAATCCCTATATCTACTTAACCCAATGTAGACCTTAGATATTTCAAACAATGATTTATGTTTAATCAATTAGTCTAAGTTTGAAATTTCAAAAGTTTACACAATCAGGTTTCAAAGATATAGGGACTAGAAACTTTGAGTTTGTGACAAAAATTTAATTCCTTAATGAGTAATTAAAAAACTAAGTTGTTTATCAGCTATATTGTTAAGTGAAGGGTACGGAAATAGCTCAAAATCAAACTCGAGGGCGAACACAGATTAAGGGGGGTGGCGAGCCCCCCCCCCCCCTGAGATTTTGTGGCAAAAAAATTTCCCAATTTGATAGAAAAATGTTCTTAATTTAATTAATCGTATGTGCCCCTTTTTCAAGTAATATGAAAAAATTATGATATTAAATACAAAACAAAGTAAATCAAAACATAGATAAGAAGATACGTACTTAAAATTAGGAACAAAAACAGGTAAGTAGAGCAATTTAGGATTTTAGGAACAAGATTAACAAAAAAATGTATGAACTAGAGATGTCACCGTTTTGATTTTTCTAGATTTTAGCTTTTATTACTATAGTGTTCATCAAAAGTATAAACGTTTGAAACGTTACATTGCACAGTATGACATTTTAAGACAAAGAGTTACGCTAGGTAATGAATTTTCTGCACTTGAATATATACTTATACAACGTTAAGCTTGAGTAAATGTTAGTGAAACAACACTAAACTCCGTTACGCTTTTGCATTTCCCGTTTTAAAAAACTTTCCCAACGGTGCGGTAAAGATTTAGTAATATAACCACAATTTTTAAATTTTTCAGAGACCTTACGTTACAATTTCACTTGGTTTGGAAACTAAAACGTGACGAAGGTTTTGCTTTAATAAAACATCATTGGAGCATAGTTCTGCATGTTGCAATGCATTTCAGTGCAAAGAATATTTTTTGTTAACGTTACGTTTTATCTTAACTTTTCCAATATAAACTCTTATAACTACGCTTAGGAATTTTACTAAGATGCAACTTTTCTTACTTTACGATTTATCGAAATGTTATTGTGATAACTTTTTTTGTTACACTATTTTAACTATTTTACAACGGGCAATCAAAACTGTTTATTTGTTTCTAAGAAAGATATGAAAAAATGTTCTATACGTTACGTTGTATTAAAATGTTCAGGCCTTGACGTTTCTTAAAGTACACTTTATTAAAAATAATATTGGTTCTAAATAAAAAAAAATCAAGATTTTTTTCCGTGATAATTGTATTCCTCCTTTCGTGTTTATATAAGAGTTGTTAATCCTTTTTTTTACTCACCCAGTATGTTGCTGTTGCATTGTTAACCTTTTTAGATAATGTGTAGAAGAATTCAGCAATATAAAGATGTTAATTGAACGGTTTTTATAATGTGAAATTTCAATTCAAGGGTGTGTCATAAAGGGACTAGACACGTAATTTCAATTGACCTTCCATTTATGGAGTGGCATGTCCGGCATACATTTACAAGATAGGAAACGCTGGTATTTTCAAATCATCATCAGATAAAGGTATACACGGTAGCATGGGGAATAGAGCATATGGCCCTCTTTAAATGGAGGATCACTTGAAATTTTCATCCTGTATTTGACAATAATTTGTGGCGAATTTTAGTTCTTTCTGTGCTTTTGTTATGTTACTTACAAAGAGAGTAAAAAAGCGGCATTAGCTTTAGTTTACGAACAATGAAAATGTTTTAAGGGTTCATGATCGGGGGTTAAAAAATATCAAAATAAAGTAAGACAAATGCTAAATTTGTTTAGCACAAACAACGCGAAATAAAATTTTCTATTCTGTTCTGAAGTTTCATGAAAATATATTGATGAACAAAGCATAAAACACATTTTCCAATTGATAAAATATTTTTGCAGTTAAGTAAGTATCTATATTTCTAAATTTTTTAACCTAAAACATAAACCTTGTCAACTGAAATAGTCAAATAAACATGAAACACAGCTATTGTCTTGTGTACATTTAATAAAATGATTTTTTGCTATTAGTAGATCATTTGCATTATAACAGAAAATTTATATGTTAAATTTCTTAAATGTCGTTTACCTTTTCCAGCGTTTTAATGGGTTTCATTAAACAATGCAAAAATCAAAAACCTTTAATGTCCAGAAAAGTTTATAGGATTTGAATTTTCACGTATAGCATGTTACAAAAAAATCGTTTACACTTTAGAAAGGAACTATAAGTTTTTGTCAAATATACTAATCCATATCTTTCCAACCTGATGGGTATTGCTTTTTCAATATTAAAGGTCTACGACATCGGGTTGCAAAGATATAGTAAATGAAAATTAGAGTTTGTGGCATAAACTCATTTCCTTTAAACTTGAAATGAAAATCCATTAGTCTTTGCTGGCATATTCATCAGTCATCTCTTACACTGATAGATTAGAGACGTTTTAAAATGTTTTGATTGCCAGAATTACTGTTTGAAATTAAAACTCAGCTGTCAGTTGTCATGCTTAGTAAAACTTTGGGTTATAGTTTTTATAATCGACTTTTACTCTTGATAATGTACACGAATTTGGATCAATAGTCAAGATTATGAACATAAAGCAAGTTAAGACCAAGAAATACTAGGAAAGCTATATGCATGTAAATTAGGAACAATATTGCAACTTTGATTAAGGAGTACAGGGTATTTTCTACGCAAGGGGGCTCTGTATCTCTTACAACAAACATCCCGCCTTGCTCACTACGTTTCACTCAGTGATCCTGGGCCCATATTTAAACACCTCAGAATTGATTGTTCCTTTTTATATATTTTTGTGTACCTGAAAAATCTCCCCCCCCTGTCCACTCATTCAAACTACCTACTTTGTAAATAAAACTGCTTAACTATTTATAAATTATTACGAATAAAAAAATTTATTTTTTAATAAAAAATTGTTCAACGTAAAAATAAATAATTAAAATTATCCGGTTTATCAAAGTGGTAAATGACAATCCTAAAGAGCTGAACATGGGTTTGCTTCAACGAACAAAACAAAGTTTTTTTAGAAACGAAATGTTCTAACATTTAGATTTTAATTCACTGCTTAAAATAGGAGTTTTAATCATCAGAAAAAAAATTTCTTCGGGATTTAATGAAAAATGTTGCACCACAAAAACTTTAATACAGCAATGCGTTTTAGTTTTAATTGTCAGTAGGATTTCCATAATTGTACATATCTGTGGTTTTGAATATATTGGATCCAAGATAGTTTTCAAATATCACAACCTCATTTTCTCCAACCTTTAGTAGAGCTCCAGGAATATAAAGAGTCTTCTGGGGACCAGCCTTAAATATTTTCAACGATTAAAAACTGAATTCTGAGGTTGTATTGTCATCTATGCATAAAAGTGTTTTAAACATTAAGAAAATTATGTTTTCTCCAAAATACGTATTTTCTGAAATTCACTAATTTGGTGCTTGATAAGTAATTCTTTAATAATTTATAACGGCTTTTCTTTTTCTAGTTTCATTTTTGATCAATATCGAGACAAAATGCACATGTTGATAAACGCAAAACTTTTATAAAATTAATCATTATCAAATCAATTTATGATGTTAAAAATTAACAAACACTATCTTTACAATCTTCCAAATCATGGCTAACCCCCCTAGATGGTCCGGTACACAACTAGGGAATTCAACATTTTACTTACATTACTTACATTGTCCTTATTTCTACTAATATCGGTTTTCATAATAGTACGTTCTTCTCCTTACTTTTAATATCTTCTCGTCTTACTTCTACTCTTATTGGTCTACCTGAAATATCTTCTCTCCTTACTTCTACTCTTATTGATGATATCTTCCTCTCCTCACTTATACTCTTTTTGGTCTACCTGATGATATCTTCACTTCTTACTTCTACTCTTATTGATGATATCTTCCTCTCCTCACTTATACTCTTATTGGTCTACCTGATGATATCTTCGCTTCTTACTTCTACTCTTATCGATGATATCTTCCTCTCCTCACTTATACACTTATTGGTCTACATGAAAACATCTTCTCTTCTTATTTCTACTCTTATTGGTCTACCTGATGATATCTTCTCTTCTTATTTCTACTCTTATTGGTCTACCTGATGATATCTTCTCTTCATATTTCTACTCTTATTGGTCTACCTGATGATATCTTCTCTTCTTATTTCTACTCTTATTGGTCTACCTGATGATATCTTCCAACATTGAACCCATTAATAAACACAGCTCCGTGCTTCCATTCCAAACACTCGGTACAGTTGTAGTCGAAATATGTATCTCTCGGCTCATCAGAAACATTCAGGGTTCCTCTTAGTAGTTTAGGTCCCAACTCAAGCTTATCTTTTCTGAAATTAAGGTCAGATTAAAAAGTTTTGTGTTGGATTATGGAATTTAAAGAATTTGAGCCGCGGTTTAAATCCGCCAAAATCCGCCAAAACCCGGTTTAAATTAAGCGCCGGCTTAAATCTTGAAACATTTGATACAATTTTAAGTGGAACCAACCATATTTAAACCGCCGCTCAAATTCTTTAAATTTGGCCACTGGTCGCTTGTTCTCAATATCAACTATGGACACTTTTAATTTAAAGAATTAATGTTTAATATCTTCATTTTAGTTATTTCAAGATATGATTACAATGCGGGATATCAAATCAAGATCAAATCAATTTGCAGATAAACAAAAGATAAAAAACAAGCAGAAATCTCAATATCCACAAAAGGAGTTTCCAGCTCTGATCGTATGCAAACAATCGAAAAAACTTGTTCAAGTGGTCGTATTCTGGAAAAGCAAACATTTTGCATCTTAGATTGTGTATGAAAGCAAAACTTTGAAATAGATATTTCGGTATTTTTAACGTTTTTATTAACACAAAAAAAGTTTACTTAGTCTACTTCGAATATTCCATTTTTGATTTTTCATCCTACAATTGATTAAACGCAACAAAGTAAATCCTTAAAGCATCATTTAACTAAGGCGTCCGCGTAGACTATTGTTGCAGGGGATAGGCTCTCAAAAGGAATTGAGTCTTTGCCACAAACTCTGATTTTCTAATCTTTATATCTTTGCAAAGCAATGTCGTAGTTCAAGTATACGTTTAAGATATCAAATGATTACACGATTAAGATGCAAAGATATAGGGATTTCGACTGAATCGACAATAGGAGGACTAAGTAAACCTAGCATCTATGAAAGTTTGAACTGTCTTTGGTATTAAAGATATGTCGATCACCAGGTTTTTCAGATTTTTTTAATATGTACGTATTACTTTTTTAAACCAACAGAGCTAGAAAAAATTTACTCAAATATGAAATCTCAAAGAGACAACGAAGTGCCCACAGACGTGTGGACAAGCTAGCCGATAACGGGTTAGAAATGACGAAATAAAATGGCACCAACAAACAATGTTTAATCATGTTTTGTACTTTATAGAAATGATAAATTACTAAATAAAATAGCCCCCTCTAAGTGGAAAGTGGTGTCCATGCTGAAAATGATTTGATCATATTTCCAGTTAACTCTACAGGAATATGTTCCCAATCATTAACTACTTCTCCGTCAATAATTATATCCCCCTCCCAGATTCCCTTTTTCTGATTCATGAATACATGCGGGGTTCCAAAATTAGCTCGGCCCAGATTTTCAACCATAAGCTCCAATGTACAGGGATCACAAGATATACCTAAATAATCACATGCTAGTTTTATGGAAGCTCTTTCTATGCTTTTTCTTTGTTCGAGGTCAATTTTAAGAAAAGGAACAAGTATGGTTTTTTATTTGACTTATCGTTTATCATTTATTTTCAGGTCGTTATTCAATTTTCAGTTTGTGTGAGCAAGCCTGGACTCCCTGGACTATATAATTTGATTTGTATTTCAATTTAAACTAATCGTAAATGTCTTAACTCAATACTTTTATACAGGGTTACCCAAAAAAAGGAATAAGAGGACAGTCTAAAACTAAGATGGTTTTGTAGGTTGAACTAAGTATCGTCTAAATCCAGGGGTCAATATAATTCCCTTTTCAATCCCATTTAATCTTTTTTGGGAATTATATTGACCCCTGTCTAAATTTGATAAACTAAATGACTTGGCCAAAAAATACTAACTAAGTTTGGTATCACATCATTAAAATCTCCCAACATAGATTTCTTGTATGATGTCCCGTGATGCTGTAAAAGTCTGTTTGTTCACTGTAAAGCTTGTCTTAGCTGCCGAAGAGTCGGTGCTGTATTACAAATAAATCGAGTTTACGGCACGGTGATTTAAGAGTTAGCGAGTTAGCTTTGACTTTCGATCACAATTTGGTCAAAATAAAACATGATGTTGCGCATTTCCTCTCTTGAACTTTTATCAGCAGATACGTTTTCCATGGGTATTGGGTAACCCTATTTAAAGACACTGTCTGCCATAAACAAAGTTATTCAACGAAAAACTTATGAAATCAATAATTTAATTGTGTCTGACCTTCGGGGAAGATAAATTGACTGTCCCGTATTGCCCAGCTACCAAATGTAGTTAGAAGATTTCCAGAGTTTAGGATGGGTTCGGAAACCATATTACCGTCTAACATAACCTGTTTTATAAAAATATTAAAAGGGTTGGACACTTAATTCAATTAGAGTCTGAGTCTTATTCACTACAGTACCTTTAAACTTTTATCTGGGTAATAAGAATAAAATATTCTCGCTTAAATATCTGAAAGGTTTAATTCTCACAATTGTCTTCTTTGTGCATCTAATGCAAAAAAGCAAATTACTTTTAAATAGATGAGAAACATCGATGAATAATAAATGTTAATGTAACCAGAAATAGGACTAAAGTGTACCGTTTAAATCGAATATGCCACTTTGAAAAAAAGAACCACTTAAAAATTGCTATTGGTGTACGATCGAGGCTACTCGATCATCTACCTTGCTTGATGTTTGTCACTACTGATCGCGTCTAATTTTGTTATGGGACCTCACATCATCACTTAAAATCCTTCTCGCTTTGTCTCCCTATATCTTTGCAAACCTTTGCTGTGCGCAAACCTTGATGTTTAAAACTTTGACTAATTGATCTTGAAATATCAAAGGTTTAAGCCATTTTTGCAAGTAATATGATATACTATAAAATTGGGATTTTTTACTTAGGAACTGAACACCTTTCAAGGCTCAAAATCGAATTTTAAAATAGTAATATCTTTGCAACCTGATGTCATAAACCTTTGACATCTGCTAGAATTTGCCCAAAGTTTCAAAATCTAAAGTTGACACCATCTGGTCTCAAAAATACAGGGATAACAATTTGAGTTTGTGATGATTATTTTATATTGTGTACCTTTAATCATTTCCAAATCCTGAAAATAAAACAATAAAAAACGTATTCTACCTGAGCCAGATCTCTGATATGTCCTCTAATGGTTAGTTTACTTCCAGATTGTAGCTTCAAGGATTTTCTGATAGGAAAGGCAATATTTTTATAAAAATTTGTTTATCATTTGGATAAAACGAAGATCTTTGATTTGTTGATTTAATTAAAAGTCAGAACTCTTGTGATGTGTTGTGAACCTCTTGATCCTTATTGAAATCCATGATCATGTAGACTTGCAGATTTATTTAATTTTTCATTGATATCTCGTGACTAAAATGAAGAGATCAAGAATAAATTGATCTCAAATTTTAAAGTGTTCATAATCAAAATCGATATCAAGCGTTAAATGGGGAGACCGCCTTGACATGGTAGTTGAACTTATAGTGCAATATTATAGAGAACATTTTTAGGATTCATTTGATACCAATAACAAGCTTTTACGGTGTATAATTGTTCAGCAAGAACACAAATTTAATCTTTAAAATCCTCATGGATTGTCTATTCTGGATAATCCATTTTGAAAATCGAATAGAAATTTGTAATTAAATCAAAGTTAGAATCAATTATTTCTTTATCATCAATATATTGAATTTCTTATTCTTCAGAATTTGTTTCCCGATTTTTTCCTTTAAATGTCCTATTATCATTGAAAATATCGAGCAAATCTACGGAAAATTTTCGTAAAAAATGAGACTTACATAAAGCAAAAACTGAATAAGATTACTTATTTTCGATGATAACTGATAATGAAAAGAAATCTAAAATAAAGATATTGTTCCTGTATATAATATATCCATAGCTTTGACCATTTCCATCATTTATTTCAAGTTCCTCCATTGATCTAGGTTTAGTGAAGCTGGATATTAGGCTGGGATCAATACTATTTACTATATCAGTAAAGGACATGATCTCAGTTAGATCAACGGTTGTATACTCGACCGGATCATTTATTACAGGAGGTTCAGGATGATCAAGAGTATCATAGAGAGGATCATATGCAGCAATCATCTCTTTCGTGGCATAAAACTTGACACAATATAAATATAAAATTTGATCAATATATTGTTTGTTGTTAAAATAACAGAATGTACCTTGTCTGTATATCTTCCACTTTCTCCAATTGGTGCATCATAATCATAACTGATAAAAAATATATATTTTATAGGAACATTATCTTCACTTCTTTCTACGGCAATCAAATTCACATCAAAATATTGAAGTTTAAACGATTAACAACTTTACAATTTGCACGTGATTTACCGTGTACCTCCAGTCGTGCAACCCTTTTTTTTTAAATTTTGCCTCAAAAATCAAAACAGTCTTTAAGATCCGGGTCCCCTGATCCACAACATTTTGGCATCTTGGATCCGGATTCAGGTCCACGAGAATATGTACAAGAAAAATAGTTTGAAACTTCTTCTTTTGTTAAAAAATCAGTAAATCTTAAAGAAACGTTCATGGTCTGGATCCAGATCAGGATTTAATCTGGATTTGTTTTTTCTAATGCAGATCCAGGATGCGGTTCCGCATCAAAATTAACTGGATCCTTAGCACTGGATAAAGACGACCTGCAAGTTGTCTCTCAACAATAATATTTAGTGGGACAGATGATGCAAATGTACCTTGTTACATCTGGAACATAAACCGGAGGCACCTCCAAACCTCCGAACCCAAGAATATTTGCTCCGTTCATAAATCCGAAATTAGTTCCTCCATGCATCATGTAGAAGTTTACGCTTCCATTGGCGTTAAATATGTTCCCTAGTATTGTCCTAAATTTACTTTAATTAAAAACAAAAAAGTTTTAGGTAATTCATAAATAGTTTCAAAATTGGCAAAATGGTGGGCATTTTGATTTGCCCTTATTAATCAAAATTAATATGGACATGTAAAACGTTAGAGAAGATACCTATACTCTAATTTTCTAATCCTAATATTTTGCAACCAAAGTCAAATGATGATGTTATTTCAAAGTGAATATTCGGCTTAATCAAAATCAAAATGTCACCAGTTTTCAAAATTTTAGGGATTAGGAAAAAGCATGTATTTGCAAAAAAAGCACCTGAAATCTTGTTCAGACAATGTGTTGTGGGTTTCTTCAAACCAATGATCAAACCAGCCAGGCCAAAACTCAGAAACAAGAATAGGGGCATCTGGACGAAGCTCCTGGGTTTTAAAACAAACAATGAAAAAAAGCATTTTCTCATTATCAGTCAGGGGAAAAGTTAATTAAGAACAGGGTTATACCAACCAAGATTATATATTTAAAAATTGATACAAACGATCTGAAGTGTTAAATTAATGGGCAATTAAGTTACCAAGTTGCAGAAATAAATAAGAAATGGGTATGCCAGCTCCTCCCCGGAGCCCCATTGTTGTTCCTTAATCATGGCCAGCTTCTCTTCCAAGCCCCCTTGTTATACCTTAATCCTAGACTGCTTTTCCTACAAACCCTCCTGTACCTTAATCCTAGCCAGTTCTTCCTCCGAGCCCCACTTGAAGTTTGCTGTCATCAATTCATAATCAATGTTTCCCCAGTCTCCGGTTAAGGTTGGGGTGTCAGATGTGAATAGCAGAGACTCAATACCTATTAAGTAAAACATATTTCCCACTTAATTTGTTGATTATCTAGTAAAAAATCAGAGACAGAATTAAAAAAATTTGAACTGTGTCTCAAATTTGTGACGCGGCTTAAGCATTGTTGGAATTCCACTTAAAATTGTATTATGTGTTTCAAGAGTTGAGCCGGCGCTCAATTGGAACCGGGTGTTTATTGTAGTTTCAGTAGAAGTAAATATTTCCATTTACCGATATAAGGATTAATCTCTTATTGGATGATGAGATAGAAATATAGATGTTACTGCCATGCAATTTCAGAATAGACAACAAACAAATGACTGAACCCTGATTGGTTCAGGCGCTAATGGAATCGCAAACAAGTGTGATTTTTGCGGTTCAGCGGCGCGGTTTAAATCATTTTTTGTTTGAAGTGATAAGGTTTTTAATCCACATGAAAACGGAAGTTTTATATCCACAAATTGGTTTAGTGTTTCTTTTTAAGAATACAAAAGTTAAAATAATATTTTCATAACTGACCTCCAGCAATGAGAACAGATTTAAGGAAACGTAAATGCTCCTAAATTAAAGTAATCAATTTACATAAACAATATAGATTGACAAACAAAATCCCAACAGTAAGATACTTTCAATGCGTGAGATTTTAAAAAAATGATAAAAGATTAAAATTTACCTTGTCCCTTACATAATCTGTGTACCCATAATTCCCATATTCATTTTCAATCTGGGTCATTATTATAGGACCTCCTGAATATATGACCATTATTATAGGACCCCCTGAATATATGACCATTATTATAGGTAGGGTTGTTAATCGTTTTTGTAAACGATCGTTAAACGATCGTTAAACGATCGTTAAACGATCGTTTTTTTCGTTTTCAAAAACGATCGTTTCGTTTTCGGAAAAAACGATCGTTTTTAAAAACGACCCACTCGTTTTGAACTTTTAGAAAACGAATAGCGATCGTTTTTGAAAACGATCGTTTTTATTAAAACGATTTGCGGCCGTTTTTTATACGATTGTTTTTTTTAAAAAACGAAAGTTAACGAAAGGTCGTCGTTAACGATCGTTAACGAAGGGTTGTCGTTAACGAACATTAGCGAAATGACGAACTTTATCAAAACGGTTGTTTTTGGAAAAAAATTACTTGCTACTTCATTGAATGTCGTCTTACATGAAGTTTAACAGTTTTCTTGAAAACTACTCAATGATAAGTACAGATGCCCTCAGGTCGGTTTCCTTTCTTCGTTAACAATCGTTAACGAAGGGGTCGTCGTTAACGATCGTTAACGAAGGGTTGTCGTTAACGATCGTTAACGAAGGGTCGTCGTTAACGATCGTTAACGAAACGATCGTTTTAAAAATGACCATTTTAAAAAGCGAACTTTTTAAAAAAACGATCGTTTTTAAAAACGATCGTTTCGTTTTCGGTTTTTCGTCGTCGTTATCATAACGAAACTATAGTTTTTCTGAAAAATGAAAACGTTAACATCCCTAATTATAGGACCTCCTGAATATATGACCAGTATTATAGACCATTATTATAGGACCTCCTGAATATATGACCATTATTATAGGACCTCCTGAATATATGACCATTATTATAGGACCTCCTGAATTTATGACCATTATTATAAGGACCCCCTGAATATATGACCATTATTATAGGACCTCCTGAATATATAACCCCTATTATAGGACCTCCTAAATATATGACCATTATTATAGGACCTCCTGAATATATGAGTATTATTATAGGACCTCCTGAATATATGACCATAATTATAGGACCTCCTGAATATAAACCATTATTATAGGACCTCCTGAATATAAACCATTATTATAAGACCTCCTGAATATATGACCATTATTATAGGACCTCCTGAATTTATGACCATTATTATAGGACCTCCTGAATATACGACCATTATTATAGGACCTCCTGAATATATGACCATTATTATAGGACTTTCTGAATAAATAACCCCTATTATAGGACTTCCTGAATATATGACTATTATTATAGGACCTCCTGAATATATAACCCCTATTATGGGACCTCCTGATAATATGACCATTATTATATGACCTCCTGAATATATAACCCCTATTATAGGACCTCCTGAATATATGACCATTATTATAGGACCTCCTGAATGTATAACCCCTATTATAGGACCTCCTGGATAAATAACCCCTATTATAGGACCTCCTGAATATATGACCATTATTATAGGACCTCCTGAATATATGACCCTTATTATAGGATCTCCTGAATATATGACCATTATTATAGGATCTCCTGAATATATGACCATTATTATAGGACCTCCTGAATATATAACCCCTATTATAGGACCTCCTGAATATATGACCATTATTATAGGACCTCCTGAATATATGACCATTATTATAGGACCTCCCGAATATATAACCCTTATTATAGGACCTCCTGAATATATGACCATTATTATAGGACCTCCTGAATATATAAACATCATAATAGGACCTCCTAAATATATGACCCTTATATATAGGACCTCTATAATTGTTTATAATAGGACCGCCAAATATTTTATAATTAAAATAGGTCCTCCTCAATAACAATTATTAAAATAAATACTAAACGACGACTTCAATTTCTAATTCAAGCTTAAGTAAAATATAAAATTATAAAAAAGCTAGGCTTTTAGGGCGCTCCAGATTTTTTTTGTTTAATTGGCGCATTTTTAGGCAAGTTATATATCGATATTTTGTTCCGAAAAAATCGTCTCATTTTTGACAGTCATAAACATTAATAAAAATTGGACTTCATCGGTCCAACCTTTTTGAAGTTGGATACATCCTGACAGATAAAGAAGCCAAATAGTTATAAATATATTGATAATATATATTTCCAAACATAATAATGATGTATTATGATATGTACATATGTACATATGTACATATAGGACAGTTGTCGTAAATACAAACATAAACTTACCCAGACTTCCTTCCTTGGTAAAAAATTGATAATCTCTAACTTGATCTAACAAAGTTAAAAGAAACAGCTCAGCTCTCTCTTCATAAGGAACAAACGATGATCTAAATCAAAAGGATTCTTCAGTACGGGGGGGGGGATACATACAGTCACAATCTAATTTGTTTGACGAAAAGATTAATTTGTCTTTATCTTTCATATGGTAAGATAGTAAAAGGCATTTTTATAGCTAAACTCAAATATAGAGGAGTAGGCAATGTTTACAATGTTATATACTTTTTCAGAATTTAAAGGGACCCAAGGCGTAATTTCGATTCCACGAAAACCCCTCTAAATTTCTTCAGTTTAAAAAGTGATATCTTCCACGCGTTGTATAGCATATTATTTTGGGAACTTTTAAACTTATTTTACTAGATAGCATTAAGTGAGAGACCGGCTAACATTGTAGTTGAGCTCAGAGTTCAGTATTGTTGTTGTTATTGAGAAATTGTTCATTGATTCATATGCTTTTTACGCTGTATAATTGTTCAGCAAGAGGCGCAAATATAATCTTTAAATTCTCTTCCTTTAAATCATACTAAATTAAGTATTTTTTAATGTTTCCCTTTTTAGATTTGTAAACCGTTTCAACATTTGCCTCTTTTTTAATAGAATTTATGAAAAGCAAAAAGTAGTTTAACTAGGTGTGGTAGTTAAACTACAGCCCAAACGATTGATCGAGTTAATCTCTGCGACACAGAGATATAGTAAATCAGGTGGAGCTAGTTCTTCTCTGATCTCAAAGAAAGATTTGCATTTTGGGTAGCGCGGCAAAGCGGGGCGGGGGTCTTAATTTTTTTATCAAAAAGAAAAGTGTGTTAAAATTTTAAAATACCTGAAAAACATAGGATGTTGGTGAAGTAACCAACTAGGCATGCCACCAAACTCCCATTCTCCACAAATATAAGGTCCAGGCCTGTAACAAATTAATTCCCTTAAAGGGGCTAACGGGCAATGCCCGATTTACAACGGTCCCTTTAAACTCTTGACTGTACACAGAGTAATTATCTTGAAAACCACTTTAGTCCCTGTAAAATGCGGCATTACCATCTTGTCATGGAGGGTCACTGGAATTTACGCTTACAGTCACTTTAAAGAGGTTAAGATTTATGCATAACTAGCTGAAGAGCCCGACGTTGCCCACGGAAAAAAATAGTAAAAAAATAAAATAAATAAAAATTTCAAACAAATTTGAAAAACAAAGAAATTTTGTTTGCCTATAACACCCCCCGGCCACGAAGTGTCCACAAAAAATGTCAGCCCAATCGGTCCAGCCGTTTGGCCGGCTATAGGCAACACATATACGAATGTTTTGTTCTATTATATAGACTACCTGAAGCACCCGGCGTTTCCCGTGGAAATAAAAAAATAGATTATTTTAGATTTTAGGCTGTAACACCCATGAGTATTCACAAACAAAATTCAGCCCAATCGGTCCAGCCATTTGGCCGGCTATACGCAACATATATATGTTTTATTATAGACATAGAAATATTATCTTGATCTCAAACTTTGTTTTATACATTTTACATCCTGAGAAAATATTTTTTTTTGATCTTTGGAGTTAAGTTGAATGTTTGTAACTATGTCGTGCAAGTTGTGACCATTTTTGAAATATTCATATTTTAATAGTTATTTTCCGATTTGATTCCAAAAAGTGCAAACATTGTGCTGGCTTAGTCTAACAGCTAGTCATAGGTTCAGACGGGGTTAACACAAAGTTTCTATACCTCTAAAATCGTGCAAAAGGTTTACAGAAGGTTGAACTATTCGTCATATTGTAAAAATTAAAGAAAATTGTATTAACCTGAAAATGACAAACATATCCTCCTCCATAGCCATCTCAAGAAATCTGAAAATTTAGAAAAATTTAGAACATAAAAAATCACATAAAGAAAGATTTGAAAATTACATAATGTGACTTGTTTTAAACCCGATTTTTAAAAGAATTTTCTTTTAAACATAACTTAATTTTTATTTATTTTTTTTGATAAATGATATGTAACAAAGTTTTACAACTTTTATTTAAAAAACAATATTTAAAATCTTAAATATCATTTATTTCGTTTGATTGATTAATAAATAATATTGTACTTTTGATATTTATCATAAAAAATAGTGAAAACTTTGAAAAAAATCAGATTATCAATTAAACTTTTTTAAAACTATATTTTTCTTTGAATGATTCTTAAAATACCTTGAAATATTTAGAAAAGGAGAAAATTGACTAGTTTCCAGGTTTCCAAAGTCAAACACATCTTTTCTAAACAATAAAAGTATATTTAAATATCTATCATTTTTTTTTAAATATCTAATAAAATTGCCTTAAAAACGTCAAAGTTTATGAGTTTATTTCTTGTTTATTTACCCTTGCATTGTTTTATGTCATTAATTCTTTCTCCTGAGGTAGAATGCAGACAAGCATTTGCTTGTAAAAGCATTCTTTTATCTGTATATACATAATGTTGTAATCTCTATTCATTTGTCAGATCATAACTCAGGAACCCCTTAGCCGATATACCTCAAATTTTGATTGGGATACTTGGGAGAATCGTGGGAGTGTTTTTTAGCTTGGTTTTGATATTCTAAATTGATTGGTTCGACTTTATTCGACTTTAATATCAACAATTTAGTTTCCTGGTAAAGTCGTTCAAGTGCGGGTGAACGGTGGGAGTAAATTTTAGCAGCGTTGGGTTTCGTGATTAACCCTGTACCTTGGTTCATGAAGGTTCCATGGAACGTATACATCAAGTGTGTTCAATCCGGCCGACTGAAAACAATATGTAAACAGAACATATTTTGAAAATTAGAAAGTTTAGACATTCCATAACTTCTACTTTTTAATCTTATTAACTTCGAAACTGTGTGAAGGGATACATTTGATAGCATTCAAAAATAGACAAAATAATTACCAATTTTGAACTTTTTTCTTCATTTTAGTTTTTAACAATTAGTATAAATTAAATAGATGTTGGTCAATGCAACTAAAGAAGGTGCTCACACGTCTACACACACCCCGCCACAGTTCTCATTGTACTTTATTTTTTCCACTGCACTCTTGTTTTCCAATGGTTTTTTCCTGTGCTTCAATTTTCCATCATGTTCTTTAATACATTTTGAATGAGACGTATTTTGGACGTCCCGATAACCAACAATATATTTTCGGTTCTTGAATTTTGTTGCAAAATAAAACTATGTCCAATATATAAAAAAAGATCTTCTGTTTGAATACAATCGTTTCTGGTCGTTTAAAAAAAATGATGAAACTTCCAAGATTTCAAAACTGTTTACGTTTGCTTACACTTAGCAATATCTTTATCCTAAAAAAAAATGAAAAACGATCCAAAAACGACCGTGACAACACGTAGGTTTTGCATTGTTTTGGGTCGTTTTTGGGACGTTTTTGGGTCGTTTTGGGGATGTTTTGGGGACTTTTTTGCATAAATCTTCTGTCAGGGTCAAAGTTTGAAATAGTATTTAACAGCAAATGTTTAGAACATACTGCAGGTTTTTCACCAGTAATAATTTCACCTTGTACTGTCTCATTCGCGTTCTCCAGTTGGTAGGATGCACCCTAAAAGATTAAAAAATAAATTCCCATATATATAAATCTCTTTAAATATTTGAAAAACCTGAAATAATGAAGACTTCCTGACAAAATCTTGATCTCCTTTCCATTAAGCTTAAATTCAGGACCGTTAGCAGATAACCCCTGGAAAATCGTTTTTAATAAAATAAGAGGTATTCATTTTGAACTTTTTTTCGAAATCAGCTGACCACCCACCGGAGCTGAGGGTTATAGTAAACATATTGTAAAGGCATTCTCAATTGAATAACGTTTTCCGCGACAGGTTAAAAATAAATCAAAAAATCATTTATTTTCAAATTTAACTTCAGCATAACATTTCCAAGAAAATGAGATGTAACATGAAATTTCCAGATTTCTTTTTAGCCTAGTATAGTCATTATTTGTGTTATTTTTTTGGCCTATCAGTTTTTTTAACCTAGAAGGCTTAGCATATAAAGTCTATTCTATATGTTGGGCGGTTAGCTAATTACCAAAATGTCCTCGATCACAATGTTTATAGCGTGTCCACCAAAAACCAGTCATTTACTTTTTGGTCTACATATATTAGAGAAAATCATCGAAATTCGGCGAACAAGTTTGTACAATGTACATGCATGAAAAATGAAAAGATTAAGACCTTCTTCGATTAAATGACGCAAGTTGTGCAAATATTCATTTGCTATTTCGCATATTTCTTTTGGCATATGGACTGGAATTTTTCTGATGGTAATTTCTCTTCCTCTTCCTTCCTCATTTCTAGTTCAACGGCAATTATTTTAAAGGGACCGTTCACTAATTTGATGGTTACCTAAATAGCTTATTAGCTATTCATTGGTATTAGTCTTACGCTTTTCAAAGGCAACTGTGGCCGGAGAAAAAGCCAATTTTTCATTCAGAATTCCAGCGCAAAGGTATGATACCTTTGTATTTACACTAGTTTATGCTTTTTGTCATGCCATGGATTTTTAACAGTTTTCAAATATTATATCAAACTGTAAATACTGGTTTGAAGGAGAGAGAAGGTCGTCTTTGTATACACATGTTAAACCATGCTTGAATATGAAAAACGTTAATTTCTTGCTAATTCTAAAATAAAAAGTTTTCAGACTTTTTTCTATGATGGCTAACTCATGATGTCAGTGCAAAATATGATAATTTTAGATTTTAATAAGCTGTTGTTAACGCTTGAATAGTGTTTATGTAAAGGTATCATACCTTTGTGCTGGAATTCTAAGCGATAAGTCTTTGGTCATAGTTATCTTTGAAAAGTAAGTCTAATATCAATGAGGTACCAGGCTATTAATTTTACCAAGAAATTACACACATAACTAAACGGTCCCATTAAGTTAATCTACTTTTTAAGAATATGGATTAAGATACGATTAATGTTGTCAGTTTAAAAATATTTAATTAAATTTTTCTTTGATTCGTCAATTAAGTTAAAGAAAATATGTTACTATTTTAGAAAGAATTATTTTCATACTACCCCCTGCCATTATGAAATTTTACCAGAAGAAAACAATATTTTTACCTCTGTTATTCCGCCTGAACTAAAATAATCATAAACTGACAGCCCTCGACAGCTGGTGATCGCCAGAAGGAAAATAAACCTATGAAAAGCGAAAACTAATATATGTATTTGTTTCATAATTGAAATGATAAGTGAAATATTTTTCAAAAATATTCTTTAATAAATTACAACTTTTTTTCGGAAAAATTTAAAATTTTCATTACCTTGTTTTCTAAGACAAAAATTAGTCAAGGGAAAAAGTAGTTGTATAAGTATTTTAAAATGAAAATGCGCAAATTTAACTTTCGAATAATTCGCAAAGTGGCTGGTTATTTTATGGTAACATAACATCCCTCTGTAAGGGGATATCATAGAATGGTAATGTTGGTAAAAAAGCCGTATAATATATGATTATCTATATGTTATAAGTTACATTACCTTTGCATGGTTAAGTGATGTAACTTCAAGCTACACCGTAAACTATTCTTGCGCGCCTGCGATCTACCTAACACAAATGACTATCTTGTAAAAAAATATCTTGCAAAAAAAACTGACTTTCTAATTACGTTTGAACAAAAAATGAGTAATAATAGATTTATATTTTGATTCTCTGATAATTTTGTAAGACTTAAATTGTTTTAATATTTTTTCCTCCTTCCTTATAACGTCAGAACTTTATCAAAGATGAGATAAGAATACAACTATATGTAAATACTATACAGTTCAGAGGTCGTTTTTATTAAAAGAAAAAAATAGTTTAACTTGAACTTGAATTTTATATTTAAAATTAACACTTTATATTTTTTTTGTTAACATTCCCTCTAGAAACTGCCGGCGTACACACTTTTATTTTGTTTACATTCCCTTCAGAAACTGCAGTACCAGAGATAAGAGTGTTACAGAGATCGATTAACACCTATAATATGCGATATTTTCCACAGCATGTTCTATTGTGTACAAGTACTGTACACGACCAATTAGGAAACATCTGTATTCAGGGATATTTATTTAAGGATCCTTTGAATGGGGAATGCAAAACCTTTAAAAATAGACAATATTCATAAACGTTATATTTTATGTTTAAAATTGGAGTATTTCTTTAAAAGTTGTAAAACTTAACCCCTGAATGCAACAAGTGGCCGTAAGATGTCAGTCAAAAAACATTACATGGAACCGTAGCATGGCGTGCCGCGACACTATAGACCTGCTCAGCCTATCCAGGTAGAGTGTATGAGAAGTCTGTGTAGTCTGTGTGCAGTACACACTATTTTTGTTTACATTCCTCCAGAAACTACAGTGCACACTATTTTTTGTTTACATCCCTCCAGAAACTGCAGTGCACATTATTTTATGGAAGTTGATTTCATATTCCTTGTTTCAACATATGACACTCCCTTTAAAAATTGGCATCTCCTCCCTTCCCACCTCCTCTCCCTTCTCCCTCCCCTCCCTACCACCCCACCCCTCCCTCCCCTCCCCCAGTCTACGGGCTTACTATTAAATAAATTACGACCAAAGAGGACAAGTGTAGAGTGAAATAAGTTTTTAAAAAAAGTGTAAAACCGTAATTTTGTTGTTCTGCAGGTGCACTTCTCTTTTGGGCCCTGGAACACCCTGCAGGTGCACTTCACTTTTGGGCCCTGGAACATCTTTTTATTAAAAATAGATGATTTCCATTCTATTCTAATCTCTGTTCTGTGGTTACAACTATACATACAGTATTGTAAACTAGAGCTGATGAAAAACGGTTTAAAAGAGACACCGGAAGTAGGGATGCAAACTTCCGGCCTTGTTGATCGATAGTGAGACAAATAGGCAGAGATTTAAATCATATAATGTGTAAATCTAATTTTACAGCGACGACTTTTCAAAACTAGTATTATTAAATTAACAACAAAGATTGTAAATAAAGGTTAATATTGTTCAGATTGCCCTTGGCAGGCTAGTTATGATTAAAGTAATATATGAGGATCTTCTATAAAATGGATCTGTACTTGAACAAAAGTCTATGGGCAGGCGCGTATACAAGGAGGGGGCAGAGGTCCTCTTGCCCCCCGGGGATTTCCAGGGCGGGCCTGCCCCCCCCCCCCAGGAAACTATGTTTAAAAATCAACACCTGGCAATGACAAAGACTAAGGGTTTGTCTAAGTTCCCTGTTAGTGCAAAGTTTTTCCTGAAACCAGAAAACTTGCAGCTTTTCAAAAACCTTTTGCCGGCTATAGGAGGAGATAAAGAAATAGGGCAGAGAGACTATAGAAAGACTATTTTTCGATTATGGGCAAACGTCGACTTGTAGATAAATTAAAAAATGCTGATGTCCAGACTGCAATAGAGACTTAAAACACAGAATGAATAGGACTAAGCCATGGACTAACAAACACTGAGAAATAATTAAAAAGGCACTATGAGAAGAACAGAACTGTTTTGTGCTTCTCGCACACATTTAACGAGTTGACTCATTTCGGTCATTTAACAGTACAGTAACATGGAAGTTAAATTTTTTAACACAAGAACAAGCCATTGAATATTATAAGAAATAGTATATTTTCAGCCCAGAGCCAGACCTGCATGCAGCAGTTAAAATTTCTGGGTTTTTTGACTTTAAACCCTTTAAAAGCTTTTATTTTCAAAAAATGCTTGACACGGAGGGGCTACCCCCCCCACTGTACCCTCCCACGTAACCCTTGAAAATAAAATTTGCCACCCCCATCTCAAAAGTGCTAGTTGGAGTTAAGTAAGAGTATAAAGTTAGATTTCAAGCAAATTGATTTATAGACTTTTTAAGGTTAGTTAAGCACAAACATTTAATGTGATTGATTTATTTTTATAGTGTTAGCTGACTTTTTGAACAAAACTATTCTAGGGGGGGGGGGCAAAAATCGGTCAGGGGGGGCAAAAAAATCCTGTATACGTGCCTGTCTCTGGGACTGAAAGGAATGTAGATAGAGCTTAGCCTGAGTAGCAAAAAGCGTGTTTACATTCAATCCTCCCCAAGACAATTTTTGTTCGCTAAACGCATTTTATTACTTACAACAACATTTATTAGTCTTAAAACGTAGTCTATGTTATAAAAATAGGATTTATCTCTGTTTGTCTGATTGTATTTCATGGTTTATAATTCATAGAACCCATGAATCGATTTGCCTCAAATTTTTATTGGGGAACTGTATAAAACCACGGGAATGTTTTTAGTTTTGTTTGAATGTTTTTTCTGAGTCGGTTTACTTTTATAGGAAAACCTTTGGTTCCAAGCAAAGCTGGGTTCTCAAGCTAGTAGATAAATATAAACACCCGTATCCCCTCATTAAATTCATTTATCTTTGTAACCCAACTTCAAACCGAACCCACCTAATTGCTACATAAAAGCATTGCGTATAGAAAGGCATGACTTATCTTTTTATCATCATGTATAGTATTTTCACTATTTACTGGTTACCGAATAGTAAAATAACTTAATCCACGCCGCGGAATGTTTCAAGAATATTTCCAAAAATTATTTATTTTATAAGGGTTTGAAAAGTTGTCATTATGGCTATTTTTTTCGCTGCAGAAACTAAATTTGTTCATGCATGGATATTTTCAAAATACTTTTTTTAAAACATAAAGTTTTTTGATTCAAATAAACTGCATGGTGATATAAAGGATATCCTGTGTTCGAGTAGTAAGTCTGACACAGGTGATAGAGTTACATCATTTGTTGTAAATATAAAAATATCTGTATCATCGATCTGGAATATGTCACATTAATTTCACTAGAACGGTAGGATTCATTACTATCCCGTTTTACCGTCTATATAGTATGTACTATTCATTTACATACAATATAACTTCCCCTAGCTGCCTAAAAGTCGGTCTGGCACTTTAAATGAACTGGAGTTTCAGAGACTTCAGTGACGAATTTACAGTCTTAATTTTTCGATTTTTCAAAATTTTGATTCTCTGCAACAATAAACTTTTTTTTTGCTAAATCGTTTACCATTATACAGGGTGTTCCAATAAAGCTGTAATCTGTAAGAGTTTCGTCTGCTATGTTCACATTTTGTTTGTTTATGTTTTAACTGCATAAGGGTGCACTTAGTAAAACAAGAAAATTGCAGTATGCAAACAGAGTAAACTTGTCCGTCTTCACTGTTCATCTTGCGGAGACATTATAGACACATCTTTACAGTAATTTAAGTTTTGTCTGGTATAGCCTTGTAAATAAAATGTATTTAAGTTTTGTCTGATATTGACTTGTAAATAAAATGTATTTAAGTTTTGTCTGATATTGACTTGTGAAAGTCAACGAAATTGTCCATCATTTTTTTCCAAAACAAAAAAGTTTAGGTTCTTTCCGTCCGTTGACGGAAATGTGCTCCGAAGCTCCGTTCAGGTCCATTTGGCGCAATTCCATGTTTGGGCGGGTCCTGGTTTTATTGTAAAACAAACAAATTATTTTCATGATACAGTGAACCCCTTCATAACGAATACATCGAAAGAATTCATCAAATGTCGTATTCTTCACTTTCTGATAATGGAATGTTGCAGATATTTAGTTTTTTAATTAAATGATTATATGGAACTGTTTAAAACTGTTCCCACATATTCATGGCTTTTTATTTATTTTCGCAAATACTGAAATTTACGTAATATTATAGTATAAAACTCATTGAAAAATTGTCAAGACGACATTTAATACATTTTTCCGATGCATTCGTTATTAAGGGTTTCACTGTATGAACACAAATTGACTATACAATGGGTCACAAAATAATATGGAATCCACTACCGTTTTTTTTTAAAGAATGAAAACATATTTTATATATATTTACATGTAAAACATAAATTAGGTTAGGAAAAAAATGAAAACCCCTGATGAAATATTGAACTAAAATGAAAAATGAATGTCTACTTTTCTTTTTTGTTAATAGGTAAGTGTTAATTAAGAATTTAATTATTTTAAATGATAAATCGCGCACATTTTTTAAATTGAATTTGTTCTAAAGGAATTAAGTCTTTGTTAAAAAACTCATATTTTCTAAACCCTAAATTTTTACAAGCTACATGAGTCGTAGACCTTAGAATTATAATGCATCAAATAATCTAACTTTGAAATATTAAATACACTTTTACACCTTCAGATTGCAAAGATTTGGAGATTAGAAAATTTCAGTTTGTGGCAAAGACCCATATTGATTCAAATCTGAAATAGAACTTTTGAAATGACCCAAAAAACATTTAAGTACGTTTTACAAAAGATATTTTGGAACTCTATTTAATAAAACCATATAAACATTCTAATAATACCATGTGAAAAATGCTTTAACCTTGCTAGTTTTTCTTTAATATTTCTAAAAATAAAACTGTTTGTCAAAGGCACTTCTTGTATTTGTTTCTACACCAATAAATTAGGATTAATTGTAATAAATATATGCTCAAAGAATATTAATGTTTTATCAATGCATGCAGTCCATGTACTTTTATACGTGTTGTTAAAAGTACGTTTTTCTTAAATATTGTGGATATTTAACTTGTCGCTTTATGTGCATCGGAAAGTAACAAAAATAGAATTGGTTAACATTGTATAATGTTTTTAAACCTTTAATTCTTTAAAGGTTTAAAACACGTTGCAAAAATATAGGAATACAAATTTAAATTTTGAAGCAAATTTTTTTTATACAAACATGGCATTCATCATTCTCCAGTAAGCCCAATTTTTTATTCGGTCAGTGGAGGGTAGAATAAATCAAAATATAATTAATGACGCTAATAGCTTTTAGGTAAATACATATAGATAGATATATAGATATAAACAATGAAATTATTTTTAACCGGAGCTGAAAGTGTAAAATTAAAAAAATTAGTTATATAGATATTTGATGTTTTTAAAAATAATTTTAGGAGTAATTCGGGCTCAGAGAGGTTCTCCTACAGTTAGAACTCCTCAGGAAAAAAACATAATTTTTCAAGACTGGGTCGATTTAAGAAAAACGGCTTTGGCCATTAATGGTTTTAGGTCACTAAGTCATTTTTTTAGTTTATTTACTTCTTTTAGCTTAAGTTTTGAAGGACTTTTTATTTAACAGTTATTCAAGTTTTTTTTTTAAATTGACATATTACAAAGCATGTTCAGAAAAATCAACAAAAATTAAACAACTGTGTAACTTTACTAAAAGAAATAGGCGTTTCAACATTTTTGTGTGCGCAAATTTATTGGTGTTTTTATTTAATCGATAACAATTACTTTTTATAAATCTGTTACCTATCATGTTTTGATGAAGGGAGACTTGCTAGGTAGAGAGCAAATAATATCAAACAAACTCATTTACTCATTCAGGTAAATTTATTTTTTTTAAACTGAGGTTATAATTCATAGAGTGATGATATACACTTATCCTTTACTAAATGTACATGGCCATGTATTTCACTTCCAAAGGTCAATTTGTATATTACATTTCTCAGGGGTGATTTCTGAAAATATTTAAATGGAGAATTTGTTTTCCATGTAACTATCAAAATCCACTAGCTCTTTTATCGTGTGCAGGACTACATTTACATTTTCACAGAAAGACGTACTATTACAGTCTTTTACCGAGCAATATTTCATCGTTAATAAAAAGTTCTAAGAAAACTGAGTAAAAGGAATTGAGTCTTTGTCACAAACTCTGATTTTCTAATCACTATATCTTTGGAACCAAATTTTGTAGACCTTAGATATTTCAAACTATGAATTCTGTTAAATCAAATAATCAGAGTTTGATATATCAAAGGTTTACAACATCGGGTTCTAAAGATATTGGGGTTTAAATATTTGATTTTGTTACAAAGACTATGCGAGAATATCGAATCCAAACCAAATTAATACTGGTAGAACTGGTTATTTAGGGTAGATCATCCTACCTAAATCTACCCTGCGGGTAGATTAGCTAACACCGCTCTTAGTAAAACTGGCATTTCTGTTAATACCGGTATTAGCACAACTTATGAACGCGTAGGGTAGATGATCCTACCAACCAGGATTAGTTAAGAGTGCTATTAAGGGACTCTTGACCAGGCCTTCATACACTTGTACTCCGAAAGCGTACTGCATATTTGTTGTTTGTACTGTATGAATAGGCCATAATCTCTTAACATCCTAAACTATCCTAAGTGTACACTCAGGATAATGCACATGGAGAGGTAGCTAAGATCCATCCCCCCTTGGTTTTAAGTTAATTTACTATATAGGTTGGATTTGATATATAGTGAAAAGAAGTTAAACTAGATAGGGCTCGTTAAACTACTTTTCTAATGAACTTTTGAGCTCTTTATAGAAATTGTTTTCATTCATCATTTATAATTAAAATATTTTTTTTTCACATATTTTTTCATTTAAGTACAACATTGGAATTCATAGGAATCTTGACAAATAATGTCTTTATAAATGTAGGTATAAATTTAACTCAAATATTCTGTACTGAGTTAGCCGTGGCAGATAACAATATAACTTTTTGCAAAGAACAACTTTATATTTCAAATCAGTTTTGTTTTCTTTCTAGAGGCATAAAGTATGCAGAGTCACCTACTGGCCAGAGACGTTTTAGACCAGTTGCACCCTTTTCAGATACGTGGAGTGGAATCAAGTCTGCACAGGTAAAGACTAATTATACTCTTCACAGATACATGGAGTGGAAGTAAATATGTTCATGTAAAGACCAGATATAAAGCTCTTAACAGATGCATGGAGTGGAATTAAGTCTGCGCTCAGGTAAAGACCAGTTATACTCTTTACAGATACATGAAGTAGAATTAAATATGTTCATGTAAAAATCAGAAATATACTCTTCACAGATACATTAAATCTGGTAAGGTATAGACTAATTATATAATCTTCATAGACTCACAGCGTTGAACTTCAGTTGCCTACTGCTTACACTCTTAGCAGCTCCCAGCTTCACAGTTAGGAAGAGCGCTGTGTAAAGTTGCTCATGACGTACCCTACTGGGGAGTAGCAAGTGAAACATAGAAGTTAAATAAAACAAGAACTCCACCTTCAGTTTGGCTCAGATGAAAGATGGGTATAAAAGCCATGCACAAAGATACTGGTTTTTTACTCGGCCGGCTGTGTGCACTGGTCTAATGTGGAAAATTCCACCTGATGGGGCTTTAAGGCTTCAACTCCCCATTTTGAATAAGGGATGAAGTTTTGGATTTCCTTAAAATTCCTCTTAGTTGGAAAGACTTTAAAAACAGGGAGCAATACCTCATACCTCCTTATCTCTCTCCTACTGGCTCCACAACTTAATGTCACAAGAACTATGTCAAAGCGTAGAAAAAATGAGAGGGAGTGACAGCAATTATCAAAAATGTCAAAAATAGGAATTTCCCAAATGCCTGGGTATCTGGGAAATTTCTCAAATGCCTGGGCATCTGGGAAATTTCTCAAATGCCTGGGTATCTGGGAAATTTCTCAAATGCCTGGGTATCTGTGAAATTTCTCAAGTACCAAGGCATTTTAGAAATTTCCAAAATCTTAAAAATATATGAGTGAACAATTCAAAACAGAGTTCAAGAAAAAAAGCAAGGTCCTCTCAGCATTGTTCTAGCTTGGAGCACGGCACACTGCAAGGATATCCCCCAAAAAAATTATTTATTTTCAAAATTAGTTGATATATGATTGAAAGATGTAAGAAAAAGGAGAAAATGAAGAAATGTCAAATATTTTCATCTCATATCATATACATATTTAAAGAATATTGTAACAAAATTTAAAATTTAAAAGTAAAAATGTAAAAGAGTTGAACTTAATCAGTATAGACCAGATATATGCTCTTCACAGATACATAAAGTTGTGTCAACTCTGTTAGGCTTAAGACTAGTTTTGTACTTGACAGATACATTCCCTCAAAATATTGCATTGAGTCTCGTCATATCCATTATATACATTGCTTGTAAGATGTGAAGAAGAGTTTCTAGAAATGCAAATACATATATAGGAAGAAGGAGCCCCCTGTCCACAACCGTTCACAAGAGGTAGAATACCTTACGAGGAGGACTGCTTGCATCTGTCAGGTAAAATATGGCCCCGATAAGTACAAAATTAAAAGAAGTGTCGCACTTGTGTGTGTGTGTCCTAAATCTGTATAATTACCATAGGTGTTAGGTATTTTCCAAAGGCATTGTCCCAAGAGTTGCAAGAGAGGCAACTTTCCAAATGTGCAATCTCTCAAGCAGCAACTTCATAAAGATTAGGTTAAAGGCCTTCTAAGGCATTGCAGGCTGCAATGTGGGCCAAGCCCTGTGGCTAGAACAGGTTATAGGGGTCGAGGTAGTCTTTCCAAGTCTGTCCTATAGGGCAGACTTGGGAAGTTGTCACATGGGAAATTGCACTGTTGGGAAGTTATCATTCAGGAAAATACTCTTGGGAAGTTACCACTTGTGAAATTGCAAATTTTGAAAATACTCTTCGGAAGTTTCCGCTTAGGAAAATTGCCTTTGAGAAAGTACCTAACATATCAGCATATGCGTCCTTTCTGTGAGTCCTCTGATATTTTCAATTATAAGGATACGCTCATTTCTAAATCCTCCTTGCTTAGACACTTAGGTTTTATATTGTGAAACGGAAATGCCACTTAACAAGTGTCGGCTCTTTTGAAATCATACCTACAGTTCCTTTAACGATTACCAAATTTCTAGTATGGACTGATTCTTTGCCGACACAATCTGGACGAGAACCTTTAAAACCGGTTTTATTCTACCTGACAGGGTCACTCTTCACCACAGATTATAATCAGCTGATTTCTCCAGAGGTACACAATGTGACCTACAATAAAACTTTGAAAAACGAAGACTACATTTAAGCAATTATATGTGTATTTGAAGTTGTTAAACAGATGATAGTTTTCAACTTGTCCTCTGTACACTGACAATTTTGCTGTGTTCCATGCAAAGAGAATAGAATATATATTAGAGGGGAATTTACTAAAAAAAACGTGTAAAACGGCCATTTTGTTATACTGTTTCCATACTGCAGGTGTACTTCACATATTTATTCTAGATAACCTTTTGGGCCATAGAATATCATTTTATAGAAAATCTAAAATTAATGTTAAAAGAAAACCAAATTATACCAATGATCATTTCACATAGACTCTATGCCTTTCACTTTACAAACGATGATTTTCCGTTATAACTATAAATCAAATAATGTTTTTTATTCACCTAATTCATTATAAAGTTTATTTAACAGCTTTAAAAGATTCTAAATTGAAATGAATAGTCTAGGGAACATACTGTATCAATGTACTCTACTACAAATAATTTGTGAACATTTACATGATTTGTACACTTTGAACTCCCTTTCAGGCTGAAAGGGACTGAAAAAATTCATACCGAGAGATTCCCTGAATTTCCCCTCTAATATATATTCTATTCGCAATGGTTACATGTTGTTTGGAAGCTTTTTTGAATCGTGACGAAGACTTAATGATCTTACAATCATGACTTGACCCCAAACGCCCCCCAGGCTATACATAGATTTAAAACCCACAGCCTCTATAGGGTTAACACTTTTCTTCCTTTTTCACATTGTATGGGTTCACTGTACCTTTGCCATAGGTGATATTTGGCATTAAACGGTTACATTTGCCATTACTTTGTCGCTTAATCTGAATTGCATATTTTCATTAGGGCAATTAAACTTTTTTTCTATCATTTTTTGCCTATTTGTAGTTCAAATTGTTTTTAAAATTGTTTATCCTAAACATGTGCTTTTCTTACATTATGACAAATTTTGATTCTTATAGAAATGAACAATGAACCCGATACAACTCAAAAAAAAAGATCTGAAAATAAACGTGCTAGACTGATCATTTTTAACTTTTTAATATAAAAATATTGCAAAGTTTAATAAAAGCAAACCTTGACTTGTGAAATTTTGTAATCTTGGAAGTTTTATTAAAAGTTTTAAAAAAAAACATCCAAAAATGATTAACAACTGCACTATAACTTGGTATTACAGCTTCGCTTTGCTAAATTATAATCTTGTTTTACTAATGTAAAACACTTGTTAACTTTAGTAATCATGATAAAATTGATTATGTATGGCTACTATAATTGTTCTAGCCAGTAAGGTTATGACAAGTGTAATTGCAATTGTCTGACATACACTTTTTATTTTGGAACCTCTTCAGGATTTGGTTAGTGAGCAGAGCTTGGTTGTTGTTACAGTGTCTTACAGGCAAATTTTTAATTGTACTCTCTTAAACTTATTCTATTGATATCTTTAACGTACTTTTAAGGAATCTTAACTCTTAAAGTTTTTATGATCGAGAAATAACTTTATTTGAATATGCACACAATATTGTTGAACTCTTACAGCCTGTAATTAGTTCAATACAAGCTACAGTTCACTACAGTCGCTTATTAAACTTTATCTGAGATTGCCTTCTCTATTTACTTATGACACATAATCATCTGTTTCTGGTAGTTCTGTTTTGTGGAATCTGAAAATGCACCATCCATTAAGATTTTTAATTAAAGATTCAACTTAAATGATGTCAATCTTAAATGATTTCCCCTAATTAAAGTTTTCGTGCATTAATTAATATCTATATATAAATTTGGCTTGTCTGTCTGGGTGTTTGTTTGTTTGTATCCAATAAACGTCAAAACGGCTGAACCGATCGGGCCCAAATTTTTTGTGTGACATCACGTGACCACAGGGAAGGTTTAGAATGATAAAAATTTAAAAAGAAATGTGTTTTAAAGGTTTTTAATTTTGTAAAAAAATTAAATTCTTGAAAATCCGCTATTTTTTTTTAAAAATCCGCAAAATATTTTTTCTTCTTTGTTTTAAAATGTTAACAAAAAGAACATGTTTACAATTTAAATAGAAGAGGGGCGCGAAGCGCCCTAAAAGCCTAGTTAATATAAACTTCTTTTAAACTTTTTATATGTTCTAACCTACAAGAAAATATTTATCTCGTTCAGATTAAATGTTTTTGGATTTTTGAGCCTGGAGAATCCAGTCTTTCCAGGAAATATGGGACTACTGGGTAAAATTTACAGTTTTTATTGAAGATCAAATTCAAACTTTTTCTCCGATTGTTTTAAAGAAACTAATTTCTTGCCCAATTACACAAACTATAATTTTGTATCATTATATTTTCGCCAGCAGTTTTATTATTAGTTTGCATTCCAAAGAAATTAAGATATTTTTTCAAAATAGAATAAAATGTAAAAATATTGTCAGTTTTGAAAAGTATGAAAAAAATAAATCAACCAATAATTGTAAACAAATTTTAGATCAATACTTTGCACTATACTGGGCTTACAAAAATATTCAATATTTCGGAGGCGACCCAAGTCAGGTATAACAATTTATTAAGGCATTCTTAATGTGAAATGTAAAAAGAGAAAATGTATGAAGAAAATGGTTAAAAAGCTTCTTTCCCTACATGGTTTGTACATTGCAAGAATTATAAATTGTCCAAATGAAATAAAAATATGTACTTACTGACTGTAAAGATAGTATTTTTCTTTAATTCCAATGAGAGGTCAACAACAATATATCAAGCCACCAAGGAGAAATCATTACGTTATTTATTTCTCAAAAAGTTTTTGATAGCACAAAGTTACACAAACCTGTACCAAGCTTTTCTGGTTAAAGATTAAGAGTGTATAGAATAATATATGAAAGAAAAGATAAGGTCTAAATTTAAATAAATGAATGTGTGTAATAAATGTATCATTTACTCTCAGACAAATTAGAATCAATAACAAATTATTTTTATTATTTATTATCATTTTTAAAAGGGGCTGGATTAAATGAAAATTGTTGCATACCAAAAAAAGCAGCTTTTTATAAAGGAATGCTGTTTTAACATACCTTTATAGAATGCGTTGTACATTGTCTAAGGATCTAACTGCGTTAATCCTTAAATACGTAAAACTTGTAATGCAAATAGACTAACTACGTAGTGTAATTAGATTATAATGATGTGAATACGTATTGGAACTTAACATGTAATATATAGATTTGTAAATAGAGATCAGTTAGAATCAGAACTTTTTGATTACAGTGTAGAGTAATTGCAGACCTCGTTTTAACATTCGGAATGAGATTTCTAAAGATAAAAATGACCCGCTTTTTAAAGAGGGGTGTACTCGATTCACAACAGTACTAGTTAAACCTTTTTCTGATCAATAATTTGGAAGATATTGTTGTTTTTATATAAAAAGTGTTCATTACTGTAAATGTCGTTCTCTATCTAAAAATCTACAAATAATTTATGTAGAGAACCCAAACGTATAGATTATTAGCTCAAATAAAGGTTTAATGGATATCATTGTGAATCTGACATTAAATAAAATATCACTTGAAATTTTGTCTACAATTCCCTACAATTTAGATTAGTTTAGCTGGAAGTGGAGCAGGAGCTGCAAGTGCTTTAATCCACGCTTTATCTCCAAGAGCAGCTCCACTGATAAAGAGGTAAATATTAGTTATTCGAGTATAGGCTTGGGTTTCAGCTTTGATTGAACTATATGTCGACCAATTCAATAATTGATCGGATATGCAGACAAACAAACACTAGACCAGAAATTTTACTCTTTATAGTTTTTATGCATTTAGATACAATTTTAATCTTATCTTTCATGCTGGATAATAGACAAAATCAAAATTGATAATTTAGAGTTCTAGCTGTGTCAGGGGCCCCTACAGCTCCTTGGGCAATGTCTAGAAACCCTCAAGAAAATGGACTCAGGTACAGACATAGATTACAATTAAATGTTGAATATCATTAAACGACTAAGAAATTCTTAAATTTGAGAATCAGTCCGCATTTCAATTGAAACTCTCTAGCAGTTGTTGTGTGAAAATACAGAAATAAATTTTTTGAAATTTTTTTTTTCACCCAGGAAACGAATTTCTCAATCTCACCTCAGACTTAACTTTTCTAGTCTTTGCCACGAATATCGTAAATATTTGATTTTTCAAATTAAAACTGTTCCAAGTTGAAAATATCTAAGTTTTACACATTCAGGTTTGAATGACAAATAAAGGAATTGAGTATTTGACACAAACTCTGATATTCTAATTCCTAGATCTTTGGATTCCAATGTCGTATACCTTTGAAATTTCAAACTCGACTTCTGTTAAACCAAATAATACAAGTTTGAAATATCAAAGGTTTATGACATTGGGTTCCAAAGATATAGAGACTAGAAAATCAGAGTTTGTGGCAAAGACTCAATTCCTTTAAGTTTGAGGCAAATGTCCAGTTTCTTTGTATAAAATCCATTGTTTACAATCTAGGTTCATCCAAAGGCTTGATTGTGTTCAGTATTCAAGTGCAGAAGTTCTGAACTGTTTGCAGAGGAAATCAGTTCAAGAGATTATCACCAGTTTAGAGGTAAACCAAAGGATCCGAGCACTATTCGCCACAAATTCAAATGTTCTAATCCTTTTAGCTTACAACCTCATGGTGTAAACCTCATGATGTGTCTTACTTTGAATGTGTGATTAAGCAGACTTTGTTTAGATTTTACCACCATTTAGATAATTTCAAATTTTTCTCTTTTTTTGAGTAGTACGTTTGACAAAAAGTCATTAAACATTTATTGAACAATATTATTCATTAAGAAAAAATATTCATCTTATCGTATTTTTTTCATAGATAATAACATTTTTTTGTCATGCCTGTTTTTTGTCCTTATTCAATAAACGTCAAAACGGTTGCATCGATCAGGCTCAAAACGGTTGCATCAATCAGGCTCAAAACGGTTGCATCGATCAGACTCAAAACGGTTGCATCGATCAGGCTCAAAACGGTTGCATCGATCAGACTTAAAACGGTTGCATCGATCAGGCTCAAAACAGTTGCATCGATCAGGCCCACCTTATTTTTGAAAACTTACATGATCCCAATAAATGTTTATGTACCGTCAAACATGAATAATTTAGCATTTATTTATACACCAGCTTAAACCGAAAAATCCGAGAAACATTAAGATTTACAACAGCAAAGAACAAATGGCTACTTGAAGGGCAATATTTAAACGCTAAAGTCAACGAGTATGGTTTCACACCCTTTGCTAATGGTAGATGTCAAAGTCTACTACAGACAACGAGTATGGGTTCACACCCTCTGCTAATGGTGGATGTCAAAGTCTACCGCAGTCAACGAGAATACATTGCTACTTTTGCTGAATCAATATGTATTTATAAGTTCAATGAATGCATTCCTGAAAATGTTTTGATTATTTGAGTGCTGACTAATTATCTACTATTAAATGCTTAATGAATGTATATTTAGTAGAGATTTCAATATGTATACTTTGTTTCAACAAATACGATCAAAAAAAATTATCAAACATTATATTTTCAATTGCTTTATAATAAATTTTCTTTTGTGTTTTATTTTAAGCAGAATCATCATACATTATTATTTTGTATTTTGTGTTTGAAAATAAATACTTTAACTTTAACTATATCCGATATCATGTCATTATTTATAATTTAACATTGACCTTTATCGGCATTTATATGAAACAGTTGGATTAGAATTATAACAGAATAGGGCCTATGTATATTACGTATAATAAATACATCCCACCTTTCCTTTTCATTATTCATTATATAGGATGACAGGAAGTCCAAAAACATTGAGAGTAAAATGACGACAATTTCTTAACATACATTATAAATACTACTTTTTAGTATGAGTATTAGAAAATCATTATACCCCAAAAAAACACATAGAAGGGGGAAAAAAGAACAACATAAAAACGAAATTATATTATTCTTTAAAAAGTGTCCCTTAAACAGAAAAAAGAATTCTTTGTCTAAATTGATATAAGGGTTAAACCACCTAATTCAATATTTTCAAAACAGGGGCGTTGGCAGAATTTTTTTCTTGGGGGGGGGGGTGTTTCCCCTGGTCAGAATTTTTTAAATAGAGATGATTTATGGGGAAATACAATTTTTTTGTTTCACAGTAATTTTGTTTCACAGGGGTCAGGGGAAAATGAGATTTTTTGGGGGACCACCGTTGTAAATTTATAAAACTGTTATTTTTTATTTTAGCAACATTTGTCGAGTGGGAACACCAGTAACATCTTTAGTCCTATTGATGACTCCTTCCTGGGAGTACAGGGACCTAATTTAATCCATTTGAGCTAGGTCGCTGAACTACCAACCACCGGATCAAGTCTTGAATCACTGTTTAAAAGTTTAAATTCATGAGAATTTGATTCGTGATTCAGGATTTGAACCGGCGGTAGTTAGTTCAACGACCTCTCGAATTTATTAAATTCGGTCCCAGGATCAATACCTGGGAGGAGGGGCACTAGATCTTATCAACAGAGCTAACTTCAGGTAATACCAGTCAATTAATTTTTTCCCTAGGCCAGGGGGTGGGGATATTTACCTTTTTTGACATTTCATGGGACTTTGAAGGCTGAATCTTCCCAGATGATTATGATTTTCAATTCTCAGTCTCGTGTGTAAAATGAAAGTTGTTGAACAGATAAAATGATTAGAAAATTTTAATTTGTGGGGAGCATTGATGAGCTCTTTTATCTTATTTTTGTTCTAAAAAGGATACCTGTTGTACTGGGAATAAACTCCCAGGAAGGGAAGGATGTTTTGGAATTTTTAAGGTAATTTTTTATAAATTTTAAGAATAAAAACTTGAATGCTTAAATCTAATTTATTTGTTTTGCTCCAGTAAATTCTGCAGCTGAAATAAATGATTCATGAGAATTCTATCTTTGTTTCAAAACATGACTTTTAAAATAATTTAGCTTTTATAATTTTTTTTCTGAAATGCGTGATTAGGGATGTATCGTTTTCACTATTCCGAAAATAGACTTGATTATTTTGTTAAGAATTTAAAAAAAAGAAAATACGAAACAAGAAGAACCGGTTTTTTTATAAAGGAATAAAGTTTTATTAAATTTATTTTCTCCAATTTTCATATAAATTGTGTCAGACGAGCTGTCACAAACGTTAAAAAATATTCCATAAAATATTCAAAAACTGCTTTTGCTACGCAATGCTTTCAAAAATCAAATATTGTAACAAATCGAATTTACTATTCGTTAGTTTTTTTTTAAAAATAGGTTCCTAACTTCGTTTGTTTGGAAAACCCGAAAACGAAACAATCTTTTCTTTTTTCGTTGACTATAAAATTCAAAACAAAAAATTTATATTTTTGGTTTGAAAATGTATTTATAAAAAAAAAAAAATCAGCGAAAATTTGTTAATTATTTAAAATTGTGACCTTCAGGGCAACAGTTAAAATAACATACTAATTTATTGAACATTTTCCCTCTCAAAATATGTAATATAGTAGGGTGTCTGTAAAGGTATAATATATGAGAGATCAAGTATATTTTAGCTAGATCTGTTTAGGTACAGTGAAACCCTTAATAACGAATACATCGGAAGAATTTATCAAATGTCGTCTTGACAATTTTTCAATTAGTTTTATACTATATTACGTAAATTTCAGTATTTGCGAAAATAAATAAATAGTCATGAATATGCGGGAACAGTTTTAAAGAGTTCCATATAATCATTTAATTAAAAAACTAAATATCTGCAACATTCCATTATCAGAATGTGAAGAATACGACATTTGATGAATTCTTTCGATGTATTCGTTATTAAGGGTTTCACTGTATAATATAGAGAGATCAAGTATATTTTAGCTAGATCTGTTTAGGTATAATATAGAGAGATCAAGTACCAGAGATTTGATCTACTTGATCGAGAACACACTCATCCCATCCATCCTCTCACCATACCCGGGTCTAGTCAACAATCAGATGATTCAAGTAAATTCACTTATTTATATTGTTATTATTTTATAAAAAAAAAATCAGCTTTGTTATGTTCGGCAAACACATTTTTAGTGATGCATGAATAAATTTATTAAAAAACAAATAAGTTTGTTTTCCATTTTTTATTTTGTTTAGAAAACTTGTTGGTATATTTCTTCAATATTTTCAAATACAGCTGGGCACGCTATAGCTAGTACTTTTTACTATATTAGAAAACGGTTTAGTCTATGTAAGATCAATTTAAAAAGAATATGCCATCACTTATCGTTTTTTATAAATAGCTTAATGATGAACTTTCCGCTCGTTGACGAACTTTTCCGGTTATTTTTCAAACTTTCCTTTTAAGTCTTAATTTTTTAGAGAGTCATATTTATTTCAGTGACAGGGTTGCCCACAAACGCTAAGACCTAAAACTCATTAAATGTGACGAGATTGCGGTTGAATTTTCTGTGTTATTTCTTGAAAAAGGTCTTTTTAGAGTAGATGAAATAATCTGGAAAAGGTAGACACAATTGTACAGTTACAGAGAACCTTGAGTGCAGGAAACAAGACTAAAAAATTGTCCGTACAGTCGTTTCTAACGTCTCATTCTTGTTAAAAAATTGCTTAAATTGTAGGAAATGATTTTCCAGATGTTCTTCAAAACAAGAAATACATTCAGCGATCAGGTAAATTTCCCTTATAGGACTGCATTCGTAATTCATGTGATAATTCAAACAAAATAGGGGCATGCTCAATTCACAACAGTACCTTTTAAACCTTTATCTGATCAATAATGTTGAAGATATCGTTGTTTTTAAAGCTTAAAAAGTAAAAGCAAAAATCCAGAAGTCATAACATGTATAGATAACCCACATTAGATTTTTATGATAAAAATACTTCGATGTCTCATTCATTCTCAATCATACAAAGCTTTAAAGGGTTTTTAATATGAGGGTTACAAATGAAATTACGATAACAGTTCTTTCAAAGGGAGTATTACAATAAACCAAAAGACATTGAAATTGATTGATACTTTAGGATTTCTTTTAAATCAAAAGAATTCTTAATATTGCTGTAACTCGATTTCGTGGATCTTTGCTATTTCAAACTATGAATTCAGAGTTCGAATTTAATGAATTTGAGCCACGTCTCAAATCCACCCAAAACCGGCTTCAATTGAGCGCCAGCTTAAATCTTAAAATATTGAATACAATTTTAAGTGGAACCAATCATATTTGAGCTGCGTCTCAAATTTAAGCCGCGGCTCGGATTCTTTAAATTTGGTCCCTGGATTTGTTAAATTGACAAAATTCTAAATATTAAATATTGCAAACTTACATTGATTTTAAATTCTGTAAGCAGTTTTCGGGGTTTTTAAATATATAGTTTAACAGAGGACTTTGGAGACATCGAAAGAATTTTAAAAATGTTGTTATGCCAATTTTCACCATTTAATTTTAAATTTCATAGTTGACCATAAAAATATTTATGCAAACAAATACTTTAGGATAAAGGAATATTGCTGGCAGAGCTAGCAGCGTTGTACACTGAAGTTTTTTATACTGCTCCTGTACTGCAAACTGCTCAGCTTATGTACCAAAGAAACTTCCCAATTTACATGTTTGTCAACAAGTTTCCGGTTCAAAATATTCAAAATAATTTGCTTAATAGGAAAAAATGGAATCCATACTGTTTAAGTTTTCCGGAAGTTTATAAACACTTATGTTTTATGTTAGACTAAACAATAAGTTTGAAATCCAACAAGTTTAGGGTTAAAAGATTATAAAGAAAGGAATTGAGTCTATGCCACAAACTCTGATTTTCTAATCACTATGTCTTTGGAACCACATGTTTTAGATCTTAGATATTTCAAACTATGAATTCTGTTAGATCAAATAATCTGAGTTTGAAATATCAAAGGTTTACAACATCGGGTTCTAAAGATATTGAGGTTTAAATATTTGATTTTATTCCAAAGACTCAATTCCTTTGTAAATCAGAGGGTAAACTAGTTTTGAAAATTTAGGATTTTGTAGTATGTAAAAATTAATTGAAAATCTAAAGCATACGGTACTTTATAGGTTATGTTTCAAAGCTATTGGCCTTAATTTTAGAACTCACTAATAAACAAACCTTTTTTTGTATTTATTATAAAAATGCTTTTATGTTAGACTATAAAGGCGTAAAAGCCGTCTACTCTATTTTAGACAGATTGTACATAAGAGCTCAAACTGCAAAGTAATAGCGATCCCAGTCCTAGTTTAGGAACCGGGAAGATATCATTTTTGGAGTTTACCAAAAAATATTCCACAATTCCGTTTTATTCCACTAGTTCCGCTGATTCTACATCATTTCTAGCTCTTTTATTTGGAACTACACAGTTTGAGAGGTAAGTCATATTGTACGATTGTACTAAAATATGAATTCTAATTTTAAAAACAACTAGTTATCTATATATAAATTTGGCTTGTCAGTATGTTTGTCTGTTTGTTTGTATCCAATAAACGTCAAAACGGCTGAACCGATCGGGCCCAATTTTTTTGTGGGACATCTAGGGACCCCAGGGAAGGTTTATGAATGATCAAAATTTCAAATATTTGTCTCATTGTAAAAAGTTTAAATTCTTGAAAATCCGCGAATTCTTTTTAAAAATCCGCAAAATTTTGTTCTTCTTTGTTTTTAAATGTAAACAAAAAGAACATGTTCACAATTTAAATAGAAGATGGGCGCGAAGCACCCTAAAAGCCTAGTAAATTATGTTATTTTGATTAAGGCTCACAGGTGCAATAATGCTGAGAACTGAAAGAGAAGTTGCACAAAGGAGAGTTATAATTATAATTTGATGCTTTTAAAAGAATGTTGAGATAATTTAAAGTGGTCGTTAATTTAAACATCGCATTAACAATAAAGGAGACATCTCTGTATTACAAAAATAGTACTGCAATAAAAAGAATTAAAAATATGAAAATCTAATATTTACGTTATCAGGCAAAACTGTTAAGCACAGTCCCTTTTCATCCTCCAAATCATCTAATCATTTTATTTTTATTAAAAAAAGTCTCTTTATATTTTGAATAATCCAAATTTTAATCTATAACTCGTGCTTACAGGCTTCAGGCGGCTATTTTACCATTGCTAAAGTTTGGACAACCTTCTCCAAATTTACGCTGGATCAAGTTCGTATTTTTCAGCTATATTTATTACATAAATATCTATGATCTTCAATATCTTTACATCTTATCATGTTTTTAACAGACTTTTATAGTATACGTTCGATCATGTACGTTTGAGTATTACAATTTAGGACAATGTGTTAAAAAAAAAAATTGAATTTTATGTGAAGAAAAACTTGCAAAAATTGTCAAAGCAGTTGTATAGTTTGATATTTTAGAATGCTATATACTTTGGAGAAAAAAACTCAGCGGGAGCGGTTGAACCAGCGGTTGAGATCTATCCTAGACTCTACGCAGTTCAGATTAAGAAATTAAGAAGAAATTTACAATTTGTTCAACCGCTAAATCGCATTTTTTTAACAAATGAAATAAAGTTCTGAAAAATCTGAAAACCAGCGGTTGAAATCAGAAAAGTTAGCGGCTGAACAAATTTTAAATTTGAGCAAAAAAGATGCATTTCTTATTCTGAACTGCGTAGAGTCTAGGCTAGATCTCAACCGCTGGTTCAACCGCTCCCGCCGAGTTTTTTTCTCCAAAGTATATATCATTCGATATTTTACTATTTTTTATGTTTAGCTATGAGCCAAATGCTGGAGCATATCTTGATCTTGAGACACTGAATGTTGGTCAAAATTACAAGGCTCGGGAAGCAAGTTTCTGGAATGATCTTATTCCGAGGTATAAAACATCTTTAATAATAATATCCAAACTTGATAAAAAATGTTCTCTAAATTTTATGGTTTTAGTATGAGTATTACTGCTTTAGCCTCTAGTTCCCAACCAACTTGTGATGTTAAATCCAATGGACAGGTAAACTAGTGCTTTGTATCTTTCAGGAATTGTAAAGGTATTTCTAAATGACTGTCCGATTTTAGAAAAGTATATCCCCAATGTTTGTGGTTTATATATATATTTGGTCTTCTTTATTTTACTTACTTTACTTAGCAAGGCGAGTTGACTTAGATAGGGATAAGAAAATTGGAGTTTGAGACAAAGAATCAATTGCATTGTTTGAAATTTACAAACCTTTGGGATCCAAAAATAAAACAAATTTTTGTAAATGTTTCTGTTGAGGTTGACGTGTACTCTACTTTAACCTGGCTGCTTCTAACTGTTGTTCTTCTCCTTCTTGTTCTCCTGGCAGTTCTCTGGGTCAATGGTAGAAGAAGAACAAGGTGACAAGCAAACTTAATGCTTGACTCAAAAATATTATAATCCATATATATTTGCAACTTTATGAAGTAAAAATTCGAATCATACATGGAAATGGAGGTATTACAACATCGGGTTTTGACCCTTAAAACCTTAATAAAAATGTCTTATCGATTGTTGTAGAACTTCGTCTGTGTTTACATTGGGCAGTGGCCTAGGAGGAATTGGAGGTTCTTGCCTTGAAAGAAATCCACCAAGGTGTTTAAACTACATATTTTCATATGCTAAAAAAATATAGTAATAAAAAATAGAGCGATAAAGGGACTGTAGATGTAATTTCATGTGACTTTCGATTCTAAAAGTGACATGCATATTTAACAGCGGTACCCTTTAAGCCTTAGTTTTTTGAAAAATATTAAATTTCTAATATTAAAAGTAGACAATTTTACATTGCAGTCTCTGTACACATATGATTTTCGGATTTATGCAGCAGATACCGCAAATGAAATTGACAATGAAATAACGTTAACGGTCCCTTCAATAATAAGAATATCTGTGATGATTTATATTTAGAGCAGGGTCAGGGCCTAGAGGAAGATGGAGAGAAACTTTGACGAGCAACAAACTCTAAACAACTTAAACTACAGAATTGCAAAGTAGAATTGCAAAGTTACGGATGAGAAAAAAATTATAGATTTTCATTTGTAATTATCTCAAAGTGAGACAAAATTTCAATCTACAACAGTAATCTAGAAAGTTTTGTCTAACCAAGTGTGTATACTGAATTAGATGTCCATGTCTTGTTTTTGTTTTTTAACTATTTTCAATTTTGGTTTCTATGGAAAAGTGACATATGTTATTGTATCAATTTTTTCAAGGGCTTTTTCGAAAATAAATCTTAGATCTGTAGCTTAAATAGTAAAAAAGTTATTGACTATTTTTAATTTTTTTGAAACACTGACCAACTGTTTGACCGTCCTCCACCCTACCCTATTCATGAAATAATTTTTATTACAAAAATTGCTCACAACTATATAGAGTTGAACAAAGTGTGTATCCGATCCCACCAATGGAAGGGTGTCAGCAGAGCTCTCTAAGTCTGTTGAGAGAAAGGGCGCTATGTAGGCTGTACTAGATATAGAAGTCTATACAAGGCCACTTCTCTGCACAACTGAGTGGAAAGCACTCACAATATATACAGGGTGTCCCACATCAAATTAGACCGCGTCAATGGGTCTAAATTACAATTTGGGGGATAAATCAGAAAATTTAAGAAAATGAATCCATTTTATAAATCTAATAAGGCAAATAGAATTTTTTTTTTGCTGCAAATGCTAGATTTTTTAGTATTTTGTGCGTATTTTGGCGTTAAAGATTGGAGATAATCTAAAATGATATGGGTTACTCTGTATAATATAGAATAACAGGTGGCAGCATTTGGTTTGGAAAGTGTTGGACTGTGGAGGTTATGCAGTACAATACATAAATGTCCAGATGTTCAGTAATCTTGGGGGGGGAGGGGGGGTTTTTAAGATTCACTTTCCAAACTTTCTCTTGTTATTTTATTATATTTACTTCAGTCATCAATTAATCAAACATGTATTTTCAAAACTGTTTCAAATAGTTGTCTCCCATACAAAATGCGAAACGGAAAACCAAAACAAAATGAAAATAATTGGGCCCCAGCAAGCATACAGAAATGTATTTTTTCACATTAAATGCTTGTTATCTGTGTAACTTCAAAATACAAGTAATTACCGATTATAACATGCAAAAAAATGTGCACATTAAGGTGGCCATAGCACTTGGCCAACAAGTCTGTCCTTCTAAATTTTAAACCTTGATTATAAAAACTAAAAACAATAAAAATGTCATAATTCTAGCGTAAACTGTTTTTAATCATGATAGGGTTAAGGTTACTGGGTATCTATAAATAGCACAACTTTAACATAAGGAGCAACCTTAAAAAATAATGCGCAGACAGTTTGAAAATGTAATAAAGTTTTTATTTCTTTAAATTTACTTTAATTTATTTTCGTCATTTTTGTTAACAACTTTTATAAACACCAAGTTATAGTATTACAGTATTAAGTATTTGTCAATATATGGTGTTTCTTCATAATATTGTTTATTTAGCAGTTAATGGATTTCCAAGTAGCCAGACCTCGTTCAATAATCCACCTAAAAAAATGTCATAATCATGTGCGAACCATAGAAAATGATAGTGTATAATCTATACAGGGTGTTGCCAAAAGAGGATAAGGACGCTTTTTGAGCGATTGCCTTTTTCATGTATTACAAATACTCAAATTTATGTGATATGTACTGGTTACAATGAATTCTGAAGAGGGTGTTTTTCCATGCAATTTTTTTTAAACAGTGGGAACACTACCAATCCCAAAATATATAAAATATTATATGTTCTCAATTTTTTAAAAGTGTACATTTTCGACAGGAAATGTATTATTTGAAATTGAGAGCAACCAAAATTCTGATTTGTTTACCCTCGATAAAAGCCGGAAAAAAATAGTTAAATTTATGGTCAAGCCCAATTTTGAATGCTTAAAAAGTTTCTAAAATCTTCCTTTCTTGAGGTTGAAAAAGTAAAACAATTGATTTAAAAAAATCTCGAATCATTGCAGCATATATTTAATAGTTTACACATTTTAATTTTCCAAAATGGTTGTATTTTATATAGTACATTATTGTCAAAATAAAACAGTTTTTTCGTTTTTTTAGTCTATAATACTTCAATACTTAAATAGCATTCCTAAAAAATGCAGAGGCATGCCGTTTTTTGTACGCATCAGTTGTTGCTTGTAAAACAAATTGTTCGGTTTTTAACAATTGTTTGTTGGATTAGTAAATTTTTTCAGCAATCGGTGTTTTTAGCTTCAAGTAGATAAAAGCGGTGTTTTTAACTTTAAGCGGTTGAAAATGGAGATGGCCCGTTCGTAAAAATTTGTCCGGTTTCAGAATTATCATTAATTCATTTTGTTTTGTCAACAATCGTTTAATTGAATTGTTCCATCAAGAAAATCATTTGTTATAAAACATAATAAGTTCGTTCGAAAACAATGTTTCTTAACACTGTTCGTTCAGAAAATTTTGTTCAAAAGTTCAATTTAAACATTTCTAGATAAAGGGTTGATTACTTACTTAACGATATCTAGTATAGAAGTTCCTATAAAGAGCCCAATGTATCCACCAATAGCTATGATTATACCATCCCAGCCATACATCAGTACCTCCTAGCAAAATAATTTAAAATTTAAAGAATTTTAAAAATGTTTATAGAAAGACCTTAGCATAGAACAGTTTTCCCCCAGACCCTTCGGCCTGTTAAGCTAAGATCAATAAATCTTGTTTTTTCTTTATGTATTTGGCTTAAGATTTATTCGGTCTCTGAAATGTAACAATGATGGTTTTCGGTTGGTCAGAATTAATAGTGTTAAACCAAATTTTTAAACTTTTCAATGAAAACAATACAATCTTTTAATTATTGAAACTTAATTTTAAGATTAAGGCAAAAAACACTTCACCTTGGTTTCCCTGACTTTTTCAGGCATTCCATTGATAGTTAGACTGGTTGTATCAGCACCCTTTATCACAAATAAACTTATTACTGGGCACATTTATAATTTTCTAACCCTCATATTACAACCTTCTGTCGTAAATTTGATATTTTAAACTACTGATTCTGGTAAAATTGACTTAATAAAGTTTGAAATATCAATGGTTTACATAATCAAGGTACAATGATAAAGAGATTAGCCAAATTTAGTTTGCGCCGATTGTTAATTTTTTTTAAGAAAAATAATACCTGTACATCTTTGCAACAAAAAAAACACATATCGTATTATAGAAAAAAAGCGCTTAACATCAGATTTAAAAAGCCCTCAAAATTAGTTCTTTAAAAAAATATTTCAAAAAATTAGAAAATACATTGGTTCAATAAGATTAAATTTTTAATTATTTACTGTTTTCACTTTACCGTTTGGGAGTTTTCCATTGGATAGCTTTCCTCAGTCCATCTACAGACTGGCATACACTGAACACAAATTATTATAAAATTATCAGTCCATCTACAGACTGGCATACACTGAATACAAATTATTATAAAATTATCAGTGTCCGAATTTAATTAATTTAAGCCGTGTCTCAAATCCCCAAAAAGTAAAAACTGGTTTCAATTAAACGCCGGCTTAAATCTGGAAACATTAAATACAATTTTATGGAACCAACTACATTTGAGCCGCAGCTTAAATTTAAGCCGCGTCTGCAATTCTTTAAATTCGGCCTCAGTTAGATTATTTTCTTTGTCGGTCAAATGTATAAGAATTGTTAATTTCGAAAGCTGGTCTTTGGGGTGTGAAAAAATCTTGCTATTTTCAATCATATTGATTGATTGTTGATAAAGAGATATTGAAAAGAACTAAATGTTTTGAATTTCTATAATATAGTCAAATAAAGGAATTGAATATTTGCCACAGTTCCAGCTACTGCACTTTTAAATTAATTTATCAGCTAATATTTTACTTAAACATTTTATGTTTATTGTTCAAAGTTTAAAGATAATTAACGATATATTGAAGATAATTAGGTGCTTACATCTTCTTTGGATGCACATTTATTTTGAAGTAGGCCAAATCTTCCATTAGAAAGATTATTATTCCAAATCGTGATGCTGTCATTCTATGGTAGAAAAATCTTTTAAATGGTTAAAAGTAAGACCATAAAATTTGAAAAAGATAAGATCTTCGTCAAACATTTAGTTATTCTATTCTTAGTTTAGATTACTGTCCCTTTACCTTAATTAAAAAATAATGATACAGCCTCTTAAAAAGTATAAAAAAAGAGTATTTAACATCTAAACCAAGAATTGTATTGAAAAGATTTCCCTTGTTGCACTTCTCCATGTTAAGGTCAGAAAACATGTTTATTCCAATAGGTTCACATTTCATCTAAACAATTACAAACATAAATATATATATATACTCATTTTTTTCCTTTTAAATATTCAAAAATTTTACTGTGTTTTTTATTTACTGACAGTTTCTAAAGAAATTGTTGGTCTCAAAAACAGATTGAAAAACATTTTCTTATTTATTTCTTTTTCAGTTTTTAAACTTCACATTTTATTAAAAAGGAATTATACTAAGCATAATGTTTCCCGCCGAATGACGATCCTCATGCAATTTTTTTTTTATTTTGTCCATTCATAAACCTTTCCTAGGGCCATGTGATGTCCCACACAAAAGTTGGGCCCGATCGGTTCAACCGTTATTGGATACAAACAAACACCCAGACAGACAAGCAAAGTAAATAAATAGATTAAGTTTATTTTCTTACAGTAAGATGAAATTATTATTTTTTATTTATTAAAATCTATAAAATCTTTAATTTATGTAATGTCTCCATGATGATTGGTAAAAAAATGTGATATTAAAAAATTCAGTGTAACAAAAACTGCTCAATGTGTATATTTGGCCTTTTTTTGTTTTCATATTATAAAATATTTATAACATAAGAAACATTCAGTTCAAAAATCTAAGGGAGTTAAGAATTTAAATTGTTATAATTTTTTAACTCTAAATTTTGTTCAAAAACATTTGATGTTTATTTATATTCACCAAATCAATTATTTTTATTTTTTTAAAAGTGGCTCATTATAAAAATGGTTCCCCCACCTCGTACAGTTTAACTGAAATGCTAACCCCACTTCGCAGGAATAATTAAGAAAATCAATTTTTAAATGTTGTCCTTATATGTCTGATATTCTCTCAGCCTAGTGTTTGTTCTGTCTGGATGATGTGACCTTAGATCTTTCAAACTATGATTCTGAATCAAATAATCTAATTTTGAATCATCACAGGTTTACACCAACACAGGTTGCAAAAAAAGAGTAACCTCGTGAATCGATAATCGTGAAATCGCTCATCTGTATTCATAAAATTGTTTCTTTTTTTGTGCAAACTCTCCTGTATGGTGTTTTAACAATAATTTTTGAAAATTTGTATTTTTTTTTGGTACTCGACCAATGGCCCAAAAGAAAATTCAAGAACCTTTGTTTCTCTCAAAATCAAAAGTTCAGAAAATCAAAAATGTGTATATAAATTATTTTATAGAAATTTTAAAAAATTTAATGATTAAATTAAAGAATCACAGAAAATTTGCAAAATTGTAATAAGAAAATTCACAATTTTTAGTTTTGGTCTAATTTTGAAGGAAAATATTCTCTTACTCCTTTTGCACCAGGCGCCGCAAATCACACTTTTTTTGGTTCACCCTGTATAGTAGATTATGTGTTTTTTTAAATATCAATCTTGGCATTAAATATTTCTTAAAATCTCCTTATTTCATTTATTAAAAATCTCAACACATTGAAATTCACCTGTTCTTTTCGTACAAAATTTTCCAGAATCCTTCGTTTATATAAGTTTGTGTCAGTTTCATGAAAACAGTTCTCCCTAGATTACTATTCTTGCGACTTTGTATATTTGATATTTTTCCACAGCTCAAAATTACCTTTTATAGGCTAGATATCCTTTTGTGGGCAAGAGGTTAAATTTCTCCCTAGAAATGCCCAGTCTAGGGTTTTCAGATGAATGATTACTGAAGAAAAAAATTAAATGTTGATAAGAATCAACAAAGAACTGTGTTTTTTTTCAAAAATTGACTTACATAATTTTTTAGTTGGTGAAAATGTGGGAAACGGCCTAAACAATGAACTAAATCAAGTATTAAATGGGTTAATGTATTAATTCAAATTTTGTTTAATTTGGAAAAAAGTAACAATTCTTTTTTAGTTGTCTATGTAAAGAAAAGTAATCAACATTTTTTCCATGTGTTTGCATGCAATATATATATATACTTATATCTGCTATAACTGAAACCTGGTTTTTGGTAAAATATAGACCTCATAACTACTATTTTGCTTAAATCTTAGATTCCATCCTATGAAATTAAATCATATGAACTAACAATGACGTTTAAAGGCTTTTTAATTGTTATAAATGATTTGATGGATTGTATATATTAATATATTTGATAGTAATAATAAAAACGGAAACATTTGAATCGATGATAGATTTCATTGATTGATTGAGTTTAAAGATTTGATTTATTTAATTGCTTTTAAACACTCATCTGTATGTATTTTATTCCATTCTATTTTACATTAATGTATTTTTGTTCATTAACCATCTCAAAATTTGCAGCTTTTCCCGTTCGGTAACCTAGAACTTGATAATGGAATGTTAACCAGCCCTATCATAAGACCTACCCTCAGACGTTACTTCTTGTGTCGCTGTTTCATTGGTTGATAAGCTGAAGCACCGACCATAGTGTGTATCAACTTCACGTACTTTTACTTCGACTGAAATCATGGAAATTATTTGGAAACCTGGACGATACAAGTTTTATTAGGTGGTGGGATTTTTTAGGTATAGTATCGCCAATAAATCACTATCAATATGTAATATCAAATATAAATCACCTTGACGTGCAGGACTTTAATTGTGGCATAGTTGTTTAAATGTTCGTCAAAATGATGAAAAATTGAAGTTTGCAGTAGCATATTTGGTTCCCTACATTGGAGGGAAATTGTTTCAGCGGAGGGAATGCACAATTATGATTAATGACTTCATTGAAGGGATGTTAATTAACACCTGGAACACTAATTACTCTATGATATGGATTGTAATTTACACTCAGAACACCAGTTACTTCATCGGAGTAATAAGTGTTCCAATTGTTAATTAAAATCCCTCTGATGAAGTAATTATTGTCCTGAGTGTTATTAATCATCCCTCCGATGGAGTAATTAGTGTCCTGAGTGTTAATAATCATCCCTCGGTTGAAGTAATTAGTGTCCTGAGTGTTAATAATAATCCTTCCGATGGAGTAATTAGTGTCCTAAGTGTTAATTAATCATCCCTCTGATGGAGTAATTAGTGTCCTGAGTGCTAATTACCATCCCTCTGATGGAGTAATTAGTGTCCTGAGTGCTAATTACCATCCCTCTGATGGAGTAATTAGTGTCCTGAGCGTTTTTTACCATCACTCCGATAGAATATTATAGTGTCCTGAGTGTTACCATCCCTCTGATGGAGTAATTAGTGTCCTTAGTGTTAATCAACATCCCTCCGATGGAATATTTAGTGTCCCAAGTGTTAATTACCATCCCTCCAATGGAGTAATTAATGTCCTGCATGTTAAATTACATCCCTTCAATGGAGTAATTAGTAACCTGAGTATTAATAAGTTTATTTATAATAGTATCATTTTGGTTTTTGGGGATGTATTTATTTACAAAACTATTATTTTGGTTTAGAGTTTGTTTGAAAGATAATTTTAAAGCCTATTCAAATTAAATTTTATTTCGAGCTTTGAGAACGACACAAATATATTCTTAAAATGCGAGAACTTTTGAGGTGTAGAGAAAATTTGAGTCCAACACTTTTAACACTGTGCCAAATATGTAGGTATTTTTATGAAATGCTGTGTACTTGTCTCATGAATGGTTATTTTTAGATATAAATAATAAAATTTTTGATAAGGCATAAAAAAATAACAACAGTTTCTGTATTATTCTTGTTTAAATAAATTTGTTTTTTACATTTTAGCGTGATGATTACTTTAAAATAGCACCGTTTAGATGAAAAATTTCACTATGCTGTATGCATGAATGAAAAAATACGCAATATAGGTTAATAAAATCAAAACCATATTTGACTTTGCATAAACTTACATTTCGGCAATGGAAAAAATGGATTAGGCAACAAAACATCTCCGTTGGAATCAGCACACATTTTGAATTCTCCTCTTTACAAATATTCAGATTCAAAATAATGATAACAAATTTCATGGTATTGTCAAGTTGTCTTAGGGCACTTCATGCTTAATCACAATTAGGGGGGGGAGGGTAAAAAACACCTCAACCCATCTATACTAGACAAAAGTAGCCCATTCGGAAAAGGGTTAAATATTAATTCAAAGTGAAAAAGATAAATCATATAAAGTGTGACAGGAGGCGGGGGGGGGGGTCCTTTTATGGAAATTACAAAATACTTATATTTGACCCTTATCAAAATATCTTAAAAGATCAATATTAAAAAAATAGAAAGTTCTATTATTTTCAATTCCTTGCATAAAAATTGCACATGTCCAGAACATCCGAGAGTTCTGGAACATGGTTGCTCACATTGTTTATGATGGTCTCTTCCAGCACCTTCTAAAAATGAATGAACTTTTACAGAAAATTAAAGATAACACAATTATAAAATGCATTTAGTAGAGCATGAACAAATGGCGTGCAGCTTAAAATCATTTAATTTTTAAAAAACCCATTTAAGGGGTGAGCTTAAAGTTATCATCAATGCATAGATGGCAATGCCCGTTTCAAATTTGGTATCTTTTTCTGATTAATAACTTGGGAGATATTGTCGTTTTCTAGGTTTAAAAGTGTTTGATTCTTTTAATTCATTTATGTTTTACTGCAGTAGAAATACACAAGTCACTTTTTATATCCCCCAATATAATCAGTATTAAAAACTCTAAACCATTATCTAATTTACACTTAATCACACAAAGCTTTTAAAGGTACTGAGTGAATCAGGCAATTTAATCTTTGCATGGAGGGTCACTTGAAATTACGCTTACAGTTCTTTAAATGGAAAAAGTATTGCCTGAATTTTATCATGATACTTCATACATACTTCATTCAAAAGATGATATTTTTAAATTCAGTTATTTGGCATTTTATTTTATAGAAACAGAGAAACAGAAAGAAAACACTTTTGTGTTTTCAATCCCGGGAATAAATGGTTGTCCGTAGCTATTGCTGCACTCTTGCGGAATAGTTTAATTTATGTGTAGATTTAACCTGTTCGTACCCTACAATTTTTCCAATTCTTATGACTTTGCGACCTAATGGTGCAGAACTCTAATTATTGTATAGTTAGATTTGTCATCAAATTGGCCGGATTCATAATTTAAAATATCAAAAGTTTACGATATTATGTTAGGAAAATAATATAGGAAAAGAAAATTTTAAATTGCGATTATTGTTCAAATCCAATAACAGCTGTTAAAGAGTTTAAGATTTTCACACAAACATTTTGACCTCATGCACTTTAACTTGCCTTAAAATTCTGAAAAGTTTTATTGTAGTCATTGCCTCCATCTTCTAGTGCAATGTTTGTAAAGAATATTCCAAATGAAGTTGTTGTTGTTGTATGTTGGCAAACGGTGATCTAATAAAATAATTTAAAAATATTTTTTGCATTGTCTAACTTTCTTTGATCGAGTAATGATTAAAAATATTAAACCTTGTTCTCTAAAAAACCGAATAAGAAAATATCTGAACAAGAACTGTTGTTAACGAGAAAAAATATTTTTTAGCATTTATAACAAAAAATAGTTAATTTTCTTCATGTCAGAAACAAAATTAAGAAATCATGAGGCAATCCAGACGGAAATACAATTTAAAAAATGTTTAATTATCACTTATATTATTTTCTCTATAAGGTTTGGAATATCATCCAAACCAAATTGTTAAAAAAAATTGTTTGCAAAAGAAAGACAGCCCCTTTAAGTAAACTGAATCAGTCCAGTACAAAATATGTCTTTGAAAAGTGTTTAATTTATTAATGAAGTATTGACGACATTCTGTTGCAATTTTGTTTTCTAATCAGCACAGACAAACACAACATTTAAAAAAGAAGGAAGATGTTGAAAAGAATTAAATTTTTCATAGATTTTCTCATGGTTCTAGAGTCTGATATTGATGAAGAAGTATTCCCTCCAGAAACTGTATTTATAGGTCTAGAGTCTAATATTGATGAAATATTACCTCTGGAAACTGTATTTATAGTTCTAGAGTCTAAAATTGATGAAATATTACCTCCGGAAACTGTATTTATTGTTCTAGAGTCCAATATTGATGAAATATAACCTCTGGAAACTGTATTTATGGTTTTAGAGTCTAATATGGATGAAATACTACCTCTGGAAACTGTATTTATGGTTCTAAAGTCTAATATTTATGAAATATTACCTCTGGAAACTGTATTATGGTTTTAGAGTCTAATATTGATGAAATATTACCTCTGGAAACTGTATTTATGGTTCATGAGTCTGATATTTATGAAATATTACCTCTGGAAACTGTATTTATGGTTCAAGAGTCTAATATTGATGAATAAATTACCTGAAAACTGCACTATGGTCCTTATAACTGAAATATTACCTCTAGAACCTGTATTTATTGTTCTAAAGTCTAATAATGATGAAATATTACCTCTGGAAACTGTATTTATGGTTCTAGAGTCCAATATTGATGAAATAAAACCTCTGGAAACTGTTTTTATAGTTATAAAGTCTAATATTGATGAATATTACCTCTGGAAACTGTATTATGGTTTTAGAGTCTAATATTGGTGAAATATTACCTCTGGAAACTGTATTTATGGTTCTAGAGTCTAATAATGATGGAATATTACCTCTGGAAACTGTATTTATGGGTCTAGAGTCTATATTGATAAAATATTACATCTGGAAACTGTATTTATGGCTCGAGAGTCCAATATTGATGAATAAATTACCTCTGGAAACTTTATTTATGGTTCTAAAGTCTAATATTGATGAAATATTACCTCTGGAAACTGTATTTATGGTTCTAAAGTCTAATATTTATGAAATATTACCTCTTGAAACTGTATTTATGGTTTTAGAGTCTAATATTGATGAAGTATTACCTCTGGAAACTGTATTTATGGCTCCAGAGTCTATGTTGATAAAATATTACCTCTGGAAACTGTATTTATGGTTCGAGAGTCCAATATTGATGAATAAATTACCTCCGAAAACTGTATTTATTGTTCTAGAGTCCAATATTGATGAAATATAACCTCTGGAAACTGTATTATGGTTTTAAAGTCTAATATAGATGAAATATTACCTCTGGAAACTGTATTATGGTTCTAGAGTCTAATATTGATTAAATATTACCTCTAAAAACTGTATTTATGGGTGTAGAGTCTTTTTTGATAAAATATTACTTCTTGAAACTATATTTATGGTCTTATATTCTAATATTGATGAAATATTACCCCTGGAAACTGTATTTATGGGTCTAGAGTCTAATATTGATGAAATATTACCGCTGGAAACTTTATTTATGGTTATATAATCTAATAATGATGAAATACTACCTCTGGAAACTGTATTTATGGTTATATAGTCTAATAGTGATGAAATACTACCTCTGGAAACTGTATTTATGGTTATATAGTCTAAAAGTTATGAAATATGACCTCTGTTATCTGTATTTACAGTTATGTAGTCTAATATTGATGAAATATTACCTCTGGAAACTGTATTGGTCCTGGATCATCAACAAGGAGCACCTCGTAATGGGAGTTCCCTGAAACAGGAACTTTAGGTTTAGTTGATGGTTTTTAACACATTCTGAATTATAAAGATTGTATACATTGATTTTTAAATGATGAAGAAATTCTGATAACAATGTTTAAGAGAAGGTGGTGGATTTGTTTCTTTTCGTAACATTTAGCCCAACTGTTACACTGGAAGGAGAGTGCAAAACAGTGTAAACGTGAAGACAGCTAAGCCTATTGAGCCGAAATGATTACTTTTTGTGTCACATGACCCACCAAGGAAAGGTTTATGACCGCTCAAAATTTAAAAAGGCTACTTAGAAAAACTTGTTTTATAAGATTGTTAGTTCATGTTGTGAAAAGAAAAAAAATGGCGGCCTCATTAAAATTTTAGAGGAAAAACGAACGCAAAGCCCGCCTGAAATGCCTAAAACTTAAAAATATTTTGGACTCTGATTATTATCAAAGTTTCATGTTTATTACAAAGTAAATGACAATTGTTCATGGGAGCCCATTAATATTTGAATAAGGTAAAAATAAAAATCTAACCTTCGAGAAAATCAAAAACAACAGTTTTCGAGAAATGTACCATCAAAACTGCAGGTCTTACATTATCCCTTTTTATAACTTTTTGTGTAATTTTATTGTGAAATATTTTGATATTACTTCTTAAAACAAAATAAGGGTTAATTTCCTATAGCTGTAATCTCAGCTACCCTAAATAACAATGTCTCTAAGGAAGGCATGTTTCTAAAAACTATTAACTGAATTAATACTTATAATTTATTGGTGTCTGCATAAATTACTTCTGATTTCTGTTTGAATTGAAAAGATCAGAAATATATGATGTTCCATGAATATGAAATATCCAAATTTTTCATATTTCATTTCTATTCTTAGTTTTCTTTTGGTTAGAAAATTGTGTAACTCTCAATAAAATGTGCAAAGAAACTGATTACTCTCTCAAATTTAACTTTAAATACTTTGCAAGCTGATGGCTTAGATCATTTTATATTTCAAGTTATCAGTTCAAGTAGATAAAAGTTTGAAATATCAAATTTTTACACCAGCAGGGACCGAATTTTGTGAATTGGAGAGGTCGCTAAACTATACTAATATCCTGAATCTCCAATTCAAGTCCTCATGCATCATTAACTTTAAATGGATGATTTAAGATTTGAACTGGCGCGGTAGGTATTTCAGCGACCTAGCTCTAATTCGGTCAAAGATTGCAGAGATGAAAATTTTAAAAGTAGAGTTGGAGGCCGGTGTTCAATAGAAATTTAGGGATATAAAAATAGTATCTCTTAAAAATGTGCGAACGCTGTTATCTAAATATATTCAATTATAATGACTTTCTAATAGCTTAAGTTATGGGGAACTAAGCTAATTCAGGTTGGGTTAAACCTCCCAATACAAATATTGAATTAAGCTCTTATTAAAGAGATCGAGTGTCACCTAGCAAAAATGAAGAGAAAATAACATTATAAATAATTTTAGAAATGTAGATAGTTTAAGAATAATTTTTTGTTTAACCACAAAACGGGTTTAGCCCTTTATAATAAATTCAGGGGAAGAAATAATCATGTTCTGAATATGGTTAAAATTCCCTTTAATTACAAATTATGAATATTGCACATTACGAAAGTATTAGATATTGGCGTTTCTTGAACAAACATTGAAGTAGAATTATAAAAGGGTGATATTGCCTAAGCTTACACTAAAAAAACTAATGTTTTATCATGTTTGTAAAATCGAACAACCGGTTTTTGAGATACTGAACATGTTTCTCATAATTTTGAATACGGTAGGCGATTATATAAATTCAATTAATACAAATTTTTCATTAAGTTTTTGACACCTATCTCAAATTACAATTTTATAAGTAATAAAAGAGAAGCTTTTTACAATGATAACTTCTCTTTGTTTCCATGTTTTTGTGTATCCATGCTGTTTAAAAACTTGATATAAATCAAAATTGAAATCGTCTTTATTATAATGATATATTCGCCTACCACCGTAAATTTTAAGCGTGTGGAAGAGGAAAACGATACGGAATGCATATAGCATTCGATGTTATTACTAAGCAAATAGTTTTACTAGACACTCATTAAATTACTTTTAAAGTGAAATTGGTTTGAGTGTACTGAACAATTGCAGTGTCTCGTGTTCATTGGACTATTCAAAGTCATAACTTGAATCTAAAAGTCGTCTTCTATTTTCTTGTTCTCGCTGTACATTTGTTTAAAAAGTTGTTTATTTTTTTCTTATTTATTTTACTCCCAATGCGTCATACAAAATTCGTATATTAATCTGGATCTGTTACTGAAAACAAAACCTAGCTTTATGGATTAAAATCAACGAAACAGGTTAAATTAAAAAAAAATAGAGAATAATAATTATATGCCAAAATTATTTTTAAAAGCTGGTAAATACAAAAACTTGTACCTATGAAGCAGGTTGGATATGAATTTGCAGAGTCGTCTCCAAATTCTCATTCATCGTGGAATATGGGCTCTTAATTAAGAAGAAGATTCAAAAATACTTAAAAGTTTTTTGAAAAATTACATGATATTGCAATAAAACTGAATCTGAAGTTGGGTTTATTAAATAGGAATTTGTTGAACTAGAAATGGCTAGTTGAACTACAAAGCGAGTAAAAAAAATGGTTTCACTTTCGTCTTGTGCAATATCATACTTTTTTGTGCAGTTAATATTGTTTATATATAAACTACAGGGTGTCCCAAAAAACATGGGAATTCAGTGACGAATTCGATATCGTCTTTGTTATGAATTAGCATTATGTAATACCTAATTTCAAAAGCCATAATATTGTTATGTCTGCTAGAGTTTATTTTATGAAAAGGGTAAACGACTGTAAAGATGTGTCTATAATGTCCCCGCAAGATGAACAGTGAAGACGGACAAGTTAACTCTGTTTGTACTCTGCAATTTTCTTGTTTTACTAAGTACAACCGTATGCAGTCAAAACATAAACAAACAAAATGTGAACATAGCAGACGAAACTCTTACAGATTACAGCTTTCTCCCTAGGTATCACTATACTAAATCAAAGAATTATTTAAAAAGACGATATCGAATTCGTCACTGAATTCCCATGTTTATTCGGACACCCTGTATTTTTAAAATTGTTTGTTGATCGGTATATCCACGTCACTCCGGTTCATTTCATTTATCGGGCCGATTTTAAATCAGCTAGAGCAAGCTGTACAGTACAATGATTGATTGATTTGATATATTTATAATAACAAATTTTAGATTTTTATACTCTTTTTATAATTTGATAAAAAAGTTAGTTTGGATCTTTATCTTGGGCCATGTAAGTTTTAAGGAGACAAAAAATATGAATAACGGTACATACAGTGATAACCAGAAATCTCAGAAATTTAATAAGAAGTCGAATGTAGACTCAAGTTATGATTTAAATAGTCTAATGAGCAGGATGCGCAGCCATTGTGTCGTGTAATTAGACCAATTTCATTTAATATGTAAATTAACAATTTACAAGTAAAGCTTTTTGCTTTGTAACGTCAAATATACCTCAGAGTGCTTTAATGTCGTCTTCCTATTCTGGTTAGCACTGTCGTCTTCCTATTCTGGTTATCACTGTAGTTTAACTGCTTTTTGCTTTTCATAAAACCCAAGGAGATATTGAATAGAAGAAGGGGGCGATAGGGTTTCCGTACACTTTGCTGTGACGTTTTTGGACTGCTGAAGAACTAGTTTTTGCGCAACAACAATAACAAAGGCAGCCGATCTAATGTAAACAAACATGAGTTAGTAAGCTGTGAAAGTAGTATTATCTTGCTAAAAAAGATTGAAAAAGTTAAGGATTTTAGTTTTATACGAAAAGAACCTTATTACAGCGACATTTTCAATCAAATTCAAGGTTATCCCCCCCCCCCCNTTATTGTTGCTACGCAAAAACTAGTTCTTCAGCAGTCCAATAACGTCACTGCAAAGTACAGAAACCCTATCTCCCCCTCCGTCTATTCAATATCTCCTTGATAAAACCCAACCTTTGTTTCATCTAGTCTGTAGTCTGTACTATATATATTATACATGTATGTGTTTGCGAGTTCACAAAAGTGAAATTTTGATGACCGTCCGTTTATCTCTACTCGTATCTTGAATATTGCGTGGTGTGTGGATTCAAGGAAAGTAAAAAGGGAAAATTCTAATTAATGAAACCAAAGCGTACAGTAATCATCATAATGGTAAACGCTGGTCTAAACTTTTAAGAAAGGGCAAGCGGGAGAATGCAACTTAAATGTTTCGAAGGAAATCTATCGGTTAAATATAAAAAGTACTAAAATTTTAGTTTCACTGTTTGTAACGTTTTGTTCTAAAAATCTAACCTTCATAATGACGAACGCTTTGTCCAATGATCATAACGTTAGGATACCTCTTGAATGTTTATGTCGATTTTGATGATGTCCTAATTTTGAAAAAAATGTCTATTTTTTCTAAATGCTTTGAATTTTGATGTTTCTTCTTTCAGCGTAAGACATTATGGATTACACACTTTAAAGATTATAACTGCAACATCCTTTCTTGGTAAATGAAGACCAGATTTTTGTATTTAGAGCAGTTGTATCTAAACATTCTTTCGATTTTCATGATTTGCATCTTGTAAAATTTCGAAACAGGGTGAATTTTTATTTTTCGGTTGACAAAAAACGTATTTTTCTGGTTTAAATGAAAGCAAAGCTACCTGAGGAAGGCTGGAGGGGAAGGGTGCTAGATGCTGCTCCAAATAAAATTTAAATGTGCGAGTGCGAAACTTTTTATTTGAAAGGAATAGATGAGACATGGCTAAATCCAAAATGTTTGTTTGTTCAAAAAAGAGTGAAAACATATAGGGTTGTATTATACAAGAAATCTAATAAATTCAAGTATAACCCTCCATGCAAATATGACAATGCCCGATTCAAAGCGGTGTCATCAATAAGAAATCAATATTTATCATTGTGAGAAATGATTATTTTTAATAGTGGTTTCTCTACTAATGTCACTTGCGCAGAAAAATATAAAGGAAGTATCAGAATCAAACAATTTTAAAATTAGACAAATGTCAATATCTTTTACATTTTTGATCAGGTACAGGGTTCAAGGGTTAAGTTGTGAAAATCAGCCATTGCATGAAGGGTCACTTGAAATTACGCTTACAATCCTTTTTAATGTTTTTTAATAATTAAAGTAGAAAATTAGTATGAAAAGATTAAAATAATAAAACAATAAAACTTATTGTATATTCGATTCATATTTTAAGAATTTAAAAACATATTAATGAATTTGGCTTAATTTGTTTAAACTAAAATTAGATATTTGACAGTATCTAAAAGTGACGTAACATGACTTAAATGAAACGAAATTGCAATATTTTTGAGAGAAGAGAAATGAAAGTAGGTTAAACGTCGTAAATTTTAGTTTGAGACTAATTCATTATTTTCATTAACCAGCGTGCCCATAGTATTAAATTCAGGGATGATTTTTAATTTAAGAATGAAAATGAATTTGAAAATTTCTCTTTTTATAAATTTTAACGTTTTAATGCTTTTTCTTCCGTTCAGAAATAAATGATAAATTTCAACCCTGCGTTAAATAAATAAGTGAATCAGTGATATTATGAATAACTGTGATGAGTGTTAACCCCTGAATTCTAGTGATAAGGTGAAGAGTGTTTAGCCCTGTAATTAAGGTTTGGGTTTAGGGTCGTGCTCTTCAGTCAAGCAGTAGTGAAGTTTCTATACTGTGAATAGTGAAACCAGTGGCCTGTCCCAGTCTAATAAACTTATACAGGTTCGTAGTTCAAAAACCTACAGGATGTCTTAAAATAAACTTACACAGTTTTCTAGTTCACACACCTACAGAGTACAGTTTGTCTTAATATAAAACTTGGCTGTTTCGTAATTCACTCGCTTACAGGGTGTTTTAAATAAGCTAATACATGTCCGTAGCTCACACATATACAGTACAGGGTGTTTAAAATAAAAACTTAAACTGGTTCGTAGTTCATTCATCTACAGGATGTTTAATTAAATAAAATTATACATGTGTGCAGTTCACACATCTACAGAGTGTTTCAAAATGAACCTGTATTTGTCGTAGTTCACACAACTACAGGGTGTCTAAAAATTAATCGAAACACGTTCGTTGTGATCACATCTACAGTGTATCTTAAAATAAACGTTTACAGCCCAAACTTAACTGGGTGAACTTATTTTTGCAAGCGGCAATGTAAAACAAAAATATTCAAACAGTGTTTTCAGGGACTCAAGTCTAATTTCTTCCTTCTTAAATTGTTAAAGCCGTAAGTAATTTTTACGAAGTAACTGGCCCTGGAAATTATCCGTTTTTCGAGAGAAAAACAGGAACTTCTCTTTCATGTGCCAAGATGAGGTTGAGTCGATAATTAAATAGAGGTTTTGTTTTAATTTCGTCTCTTTTCTCTCTAATAAGATAATTGAAATACAATGCAAATTAGACCTTTCTTTCAAAAGATTCAATTCCAAGTAAAAATCTTGAGATTAAAATATTTATAAACTTTTTAGACAATTTGCCGTTGGTTATGAACACCCTTATCTATGAATTGATTATTGAAGATTTAACAGTTTTAAAACTATCTTTGACATCATGACGTGTGGCTAGACACGGTAGTCGTCAAGATGATTTAGAGTATAAACTTTAGACCAGTTTGATAGATAATTTAAACATTAGTTAAAAATGTGCAGTAGGATTCTCTTTTCATTTAAATTTTTTAGATAGATAGATGCTAAAATACAGTGATATCCATCAAACTCTGGATGATGACTTTAGAATTAAGTTACAGCTTTAAATAGTCCAATGAGACACTTTTCTCTAAATTACTGATTAGTGTTTAGTAAAACTATTAAATGTTGTTATAATGTCGTCTTCTTATTCCATTGATTTCCGTTTATTACTGTATAGTTGGATAAATAATCAGTTTTATTGATATAGATGGTTTTATCGTTATTGTATATATATTTGCTAAGTTCATCGCAAGTTGTAATTTAAATGCAATGCTACTATACAGATAATGCTTGCATGAGTTGAATAGAACTAAATAGCTAAATAGTAAGATAGCTATTAAATTAAAATTGTATAGAAAGTTGAATAGAAAACCCTTAAATAATTAGTAATTAATACTATAATTAGTAATTATAATTAGTTGAATAATTGGTTGGGTGTGTCTCTGGAAAAATACATATAGTGTTTCTATTCCATTTTGAATACATTCTTTGTTTAAACCATATTACCATCTTTTTATCACTATTACCTATGAGTTATGACTCCCCAAAATCAGATGCACAGTTAGTTGATTTATAAGTTGCAAAAGGAAGAAAGAAAAATTATATTTTCATTCGAATTCTCTTTCATTAAATTTGCCTTTAAGCACTTAATTTTGCCCTAAACAGGAGAAACTATGGGATAATTTTACCTCACAGGCAGTTAATTTGTTTAACACAGATAAAGACTGAGTATTTTCTGATACTACCAAAAACATTACTTCTAAAATTACAATATTTCGAAATATTGACGAGAATTCGATTTTTTATATTTCAGATTCTTGAGTCTTTCGAGTTAATCTAGTTGTTTTATCACTCAAATGTTAATTTTTATTAAACCACGTAAAACAGGATAAAATTTTTTTACGAAAATCACAATTTTTGTATAGAAAATACACAAAAAAAGATAATTCTTGAAGGTAAGTTTTAACAAAGAAATTAAACTATGCAAAATATTGAGATATCCATGAAATTTTACATGTATATAGTCATTATTTTTATGTTAATGCCCTTTACGTTTTAGTACTAACTGACGTAAAATATTTCATCTAAGAAGCAATGATTGATACATCTAAGTTTTAACGACTGACAGTCCCTTTAAGAACGAAATTTAGAAATTGTTTCCTCAGTTAAATATAAGGCGGGGGTTTAGTATAGTTTCACCACAGAAAACTGTTTAAACATGGCTCCTAGAAGTCTGGATGTAACGGGATTTCCATGTTTGCATTGTAACCTACAGTTTATCACAGGATAACTAAAAACTGCTTATAGGAACTGGCGACGTACTTTCATTCAAGTGACCTTCCATTTTTTCGAGACATTTTCGATTCACAATAGTACCCTTCAACCCTATTCCTGCTGGGGGGGGGTCAATTTGACCCCCCCCCTGTAGTTTTTTTTTACACAACTCAAAAAGTATTGGTCTGAGGCTGTTGAAATTTTCTGACTTTTCCTACATATCCAATAAGCTATATATCGATCCCAAATGATGCGGACGATCCAACACTCTAAATGCCACACAGGGACACAAACCCAACTATCAAATAAGCTATATATCGATCCCAAATGATGCGGACGATCCAACGCTCTAAATGCCACACAGGGACACAAACCCAACTATCAAATAAGCTATATATCGATCCGAAATGATGCGGACGATCCAACGCTCTAAATGCCACACATGGACACAAACCCAACTATCAAATAAGCTATATATCGATCCGAAATGATGGGGAAAATACAACACTCTAAATGCCACGCAGGGACACAAGCCTAGCTATCCAACAAGCTATATATCGATCCCAAATGATGGGGAAAATACAACACTCTAAATGCCACACAAGGACACAAGCCTAGCTATCAAACAAGCTATATATCGATCCCAAAATAGTATGGACGATCCTACCTATTTTATCAAAATCAGGATTACTCTCTCTCAGAAAACAGTTACTCTATAAACTAACTGTATTCTAATATCTTATGTTACATATTTACTGCACAGTTAAAGTTTAATGTACGTATTTATGCAAGATTAGCGAGAATAGATGTAACGTAGTTAGCCTATCTTTACACATGTTTACAGCTTAATTTAAGTATATCACATGATTGAATCTAATCATGCTACATATTCAATTTAAACGCAGTTTCAATGAATAATGTCATTATGCACCATTAATGTGCAACATACTGTAGGTTTACATAAAATGTTTACGTGATATTTGCAATATGTTTTCAAAATGATCGTTCATTTTCAATCGATTTTCGTTCGTTTTTTCAGTGAAATTGTTTGCTCAATAAAATCCTTCTTTCAGTAAAAAAATTGTTCTTACAAATTAAATTAATTGGAAATGCGGGTAACTGTTTATTTCTATAGTCTTCATAAGATACTTTTTGTTTTCAGTGATTTATTTTGTAAGCTATGAAAGTGAGTTTTGTTTTGAATTGCGGATTATACTCAAAAACAAGAAAGTAGGTTTTGTCTTGAAAATGCAACAATGTTTCAAATTCAGGATATGTTAGAAAATGGAAAACCTGACATTGTCTTGAAAATGGGCAAAAGATTTTTTATAAAAAACTAAAATTACAATTTTTATTACAAAAAAAGTTTAAAATTGGGAATTGTTGTCCTCGTCATGTTTTATAAATTGTTGGTTTTAGTTTTTACTATCGACTTTTACTCTGGATATGGGCCAGGATCACAAAAACCCAGTCTTTTAATTTGTGCCCATTCACTCAGTGTTAGAAATGGACCAAGTCTTAGTTTTGGAACTAATGGCGCCTGAACTATCAAATCTAACAGTTTGATCGAACTACCGAAAGCATTTCAAAATTATTCGAAATTATGACTAGATCTCCATTAATTTAGTTAATTCTTAAAATTCGGATTATTATTTCGAACAAAACTATTAATTTATTCGTAATGCTTTTTGTTGGTTCGGTAATAGGAAGAAAATGAAAATTTCTTTAAACAATGCAGCGTAGTCATACTTTGCGTAGAACTCTGGTTTTGAAACAGTTTCCCTGTTCTCGGTAGAATAACAGTTGTGTTGTGACCAGTAGACCTGACAGTATGCTTTAAACCTTCTTCATGCTACCCTCGTTATACAGTGCATTTATTAGTTATACCTTCTACTTTTCTCAGTTTAAGGGACTAACCACGTATTTACAAATACATTGTCATAACTTTTTACTTCATTCTGGACATTTCAGGGATAAGGTCGTTCGATTTTTTCAATTTAAATTCAATCGCGATTTGTTCAACTTAAAAACTTACAGAGTTGTTTTTTGTTCCTTTTTTATTTAAAAAGCATCTACCGACAAAAAAAAGCAAATTTCGATCGCAAGTTGCACTCACAAGGTTAAGCTCACAATGGGATAAGAACGAAACTGTTAAATATTTGTGACCCATTTTTGGGAAAGGAATGCAACGAATTCAAACATTTGTCTTTGAAAATAATCAATCTATTTCAGGCGAAACCCCAATTTTTTTAATTCGTTGATTTCTTAACCCTATTCCATCTGGGGGGGGGGTCAATTTCACCCCCCCCCTGTAGTTTTTTTTACATAACTCAAAAAGTATTGGTCTGAGGCTGTTGAAATTTTCTGACTTTTCCTACATACCCAAAGCACTTCCTTCAGGCCTAAAGCCCGGCTTTAATGCAAACGGCCTGAGTCCTCAGGCACACTGCCTGAATGACAGCTTTTTTCTGTAACAAACTAAATCTTTGTTTTGACCCACTTCCATTTGTCAAATTTTGATAAAATTTAGCTTTTTGGAAAGCCTTTGACATAAGGAAACGAATTGCACAAGTTTTGCGAGAAAAAAATTGCAAATTTTTTGCAAAAAACCTGTTAAAGGAAATTTGCACATTTTTAGTTTTTCTTGATTAAAAATCAAGTTATTTAAAATTTTGCAAAATTGTTTGCATATTTGAAATGGCATGGTCAAAGGCTTTTCAAAAATGTATAAATTTTCATTTTTTGGACAAATTTTATTTTGCAAACATTTTTACTATATAACTAGATTTTGCGATAAAAAAATCAATTTTTGCAAATTTGCAAATTTTTTGGTAGATTCTAAATGTAGTGCACAAGAGCTTTTCAATGATGTATCATTTGTCTTATTTGGACATCAAACATGGGATTTAGAGGGGGGCCCCCCCAGCATATTCTGGTTTTCAAGTACCCCAGCAGAGATAGGGTTAATATGTTCACTGCTGTTTCTGGACTGTCCAATGTCCAACTTGAAATGCAAAGAGTTAAACTCAAAATTCAGTGATTTAAGGGTTTTTAACACGGTTTATCCTATCTAAAATACCAGGAAATTGATTAGAAACCTTGGTTTTCTAAAAAGACGCAATGATAGTTTTCCACTGAAAATATCGATAATTCTTGTCCTCAGGGAAATTTTTGAACGGTGTCATTGGTTCAGTTTTGTTCTAATTAAAAAAAAAATATGGATGGTTTGTGTATTTTCAAATAAAGCAAACATTCCCTTTATGAAGAAAACTATTTATCAAACTATTAACTTTTAAAGCGATATGTAAGAAATTAGGCAAAGAATTAACGAATTTATTTGATTTTTAATTTTAAGAAGAGTAATTTAAATTTTTTTTAAAGATTCGTCTGAATAAGATTCATGTGGTTGAAAAAACAAACATCATAACTCATAAGTCATAACGCATCCCTGAGCGTCATGTTTTTCTAATTAATTGATTGTCCTAGACACCTAGCTCCCCCCCCTTCCATCCCTCCCATCCCACTTTCTACCAGTTTCAGATCATTAACTAAAGTTCACCTAGAAACCAAATTAAGAGCTGGAGGATAAGAAATTGAAGAGGAGAAATAAAAAGAAGATTGAAAATAGATTCAGATAGAAGCAAAGAGAAAAATCACAGAAAAAATTCGGATAAAAAACACATAATCAATAAAATGTGAATTAAAAAAATTTTAAATTTTAGAAATGTTGAAACTTCTTGTTGTCTTCTCCTTACTTGGTGCAGGGTTCTCAACTCCAGGTATGATGTATGAAGGGTGAGTAAAAAAACCGCAATTATCGATGTTTTGGAGAATATTTTCAAAATTTTTGTTTGCTCCAAATTGTTATAAAAAATCGCGAAATATATTCTTTTGTTTTCCAAAATTTTATAAAAATTCATCAAATATTAAAATAAGATAGATCAGATAGATATTGATAAGATCAGATAGATATAAAATGTAAATCTGCTGTACATGCTATCAAATAAAACCAGTTTTGAACTGTTATAAGTGCAATTAATTGGTTTGCAATTTATTTGTTATATCTGAATCTTATTGAATTTTTCAAGTTCGATAAAAAAACCGTCAACTTAATCTTAAGAGACGCTTAATTAAAAGAGATACATACAGACCCTTTAACCATTGTGTAGCGGGATTAAACTTTTTAAATAACACATAGAATTAAGTCGCTTAGAATTAAGTCGAAAGTCCCTTGAGTTTTAATAATTATGAAATTATGTTTAAATGTAGATCTCCAAAGTAACTAATCTTTAAGTAAAAATGGACCTCATAAACTTTAAAAAAAAAATTCATGTTTTTTGTTTTAGTTGAGTTGAGGCCAGGAGACAGGTATATTAATTCTAATGATAAAATAAATTTAAGTTTTAACAATGACTCTCTATCCAATATTGTGAGAGTTAATAACTCTCAGGAGTTAAACTCATATATTCTAAACTTTATCGAACAGAGTTCTAATTCTCAACAAAACTTGACAGAAACAGATTTGAAAAAGGTTGATCTAGCAAATTATATACAAACAAGAGGTATAGAGAGTTCAGAAAAAAACTCTAGTTTCTCCGAGACAAATATTTACTCAACGGCAGAAACCCGTCTGGAAGAGATCAGCCGTAGGCTATCCTCTTACATCTCAGAACAAAGCTTAAACGCTCCTAAGAGTTTTGATGCGGTAGTTGACTCTACAGTTAGTCCAACAATAGAAGACTTATTAGAGAAATCTACAGAACCAACCACATTTAATGGAGATGAAACGTCTGAAAACCCAATGAAGGATGAAAATCAAATAGTTGAGGTGTATATAAATGGTGTCCCGACGTATATGGAGGAAAGTGCTCCAGTTTCCAATTACCAAGATGATGAGTCAAATCTTGCTGAGGAACAAGCACAACTCACAGGAATATAATGGTTAAATGATTTAACAGTTTTACGTGAGCTTTTCACGCTTTTTAAACGAAATTTGGACTTCTTTTAATTCCCCCCCCCCAGACCCCCGTGTTTTTATTCTCCATCACTTAAACACGGTTTACACTAGATTTATTCACTTTTCCAAATTCATGGTTCAGACAAATTTCACAAAAACGGTCAAACGTCATGTCGATGTCTCAAAAAAATAGTTCATTCCTTTTTTTGTCATTTAAGCTACAGATCTAAAATTTTGTTTTTTGAAAATTTTAAAAGATTAACGTTTGTTCTATTTTAATGATTTTGTCTTAAAAGTTGGCCTATGGACATAATTATTTCAATCCCCTATGTCAAATCTAAGTGAAAAATTATAGTGATGGAAGGGGCGATTGAATCCTACTTATAGAAAAAAGAAAAAATATAGAAAAAAGAACGTCAAACTTCCAATCACGTTTTGTATTTTTAAACAAATATATTCCTAGACGACGGAGAATATACATATCCGTATTTTTATTCTGATGGCTATCCAATAAACAGTCAATTAAATGATGCATTTGCCTATGATGAAGATCTTGAAGAAGAACTAAATAAGGAATTGCATGATTCTGAAGGTTCTGGTTCTTATAATCAACCTCAGGTGTATCCAGACACCGCACTGACCAGCCTATCTACTCTTTTGAGAAAGCATCTAGACGACAGCGCCTCTGGTGGTGCAATACCGAACTCCCAGCTTTTATCGTCTCAATTGGATTCAGAACAACTGATTTCAAAATACCAGGAATGCACATTCTTTTGATAAATATTTACAAATTCTTACACTGTTGGTAAAAACTTAAGCATTTTGTTTTTTAAATAGTATTTTAAAATTACGGACATTTGATTCAATGTTATGAACACAACGTTCATTAATTTTTTTAAAATCACGATTTAAGCTTAACGCTGTAGTCATTGTAGTCTAGTAAAATAGATTATCAAGTACAATAGGGGGCAACCCTGGGGCAACAGACAAGTTTCAAATATGACAAGTAAGACAAAATGTTCTTCAATTAGTTGACATATTTTCCAAGATTAAATAAAAAAGTTTAACAACAGAAAATAAAGAACACACAATTGCATTTATTTCACTGTCAGATAAGCACTTTATTATCACATTATTAATAATTTTGTCGGACACCATACGAATTCTATGTTGCCATCTATTGTACTTAATAATCTATTTGGTCCATAGTATCTTAATCCCACCTTAAATTAAAGCTGGTTGCATATTAGGCTCCGTTTGCTACTGATTCAGATACCTTGAACATCATTCTAACTCCGAACCCAAAAGACAAGGAAAATATTTTCTTTCTAAAATCGATTTTAAACACCGTATTTTACCTGGTTGTATTTCTAATTTTTAAACGTGATTACTGACTAAAGGGAATGTAAACATAGTAACCCTGTGAGTGACATGACCTATTCATAATGGCACCTTGTGAATATAGTAACCTTGTGAGTGACATGACCTATTTACAACGGCACCCTGTAAATATAGTAACCCTTGTGAGTGACATGACCTATTTACAACGGCACCCTGTAAATATAGTAACCCTGTGAGTGACATGCCCTATTTACAACGGCACCCTGTAAATATAGTAACCCTGTGAGTGACATGCCCTATTTACAACGGCACCCTGTAAATATAGTAACCCTGTAAGTGACATGACCTATTTACAACGGCACCCTTTAAATATAGTAACCCTGTGAGTGACATGACCTATATACAACGGCACCTTGTAAACATAGTAACCCTGTGAGTGACATGACCTATTTACAACGACACCATGTAAATATAGTAACCCTGTGAGTGACATGACCTATTTACAACGACACCATGTAATTATAGTAACCCTGTGAGTGACATGACCTATTTACAACGGCACCCTGTAAATATAGTAACCCTGTGAGTGACATGACCTATTTAAACGACACCCTGTAAATATAGTAACCCTGTGAGTGACATGACCTATTTACAACGGCACCCTGTAAATATTGTAACCCTGTAAGTGACATGACATATTTACAACGACACCATGTAAATATAGTAACCCTGTGAGTGACATGACCTATTTACAACGACACCATGTAAATATAGTAACCCTGTGATTGACATGACCTATTTACAACGGCACCCTGTAAATATAGTAACCCTGTGAGTGACACGACCTATTTACAACGGCACCCTGTAAATATAGTAACCTTGTGAGTGACATGACATATTTACAACGGCAACCTGTAAATATAGTAACCCTGTGAGTGACATGACCTATTTACAACGGCACCCTGTAAATATAGTAATCCTGTGAGTGACATGACGTATTTATAACGGCACCCTGTAAATATAATAATCCTGTGAGTGACATGACATATTTACAACGGCACCCTGTAAATATAATAACCCTGTGAGTGACATGACATATTTTCAACGGCACCCTGTAAATATAATAACCCTGTGAGTGACATGACATATTTACAACGGCACCCTGTAAATATAATAACCCTGTGAGTGAGATGACATATTTACAACGGCAATCATTTTCTTAGAAAAATGCCGTGAACTAAACACATCCTTATTTCTCAAACTTCATTGTTTTAAAATAGAAAGATGTGATAAGCTATATAATCTTAAAATAATCAGACACAGATTTGAAGGGTATCTTTGTAAATCTGACATGCCACTCTATAAATGAAGGATTACTTGAAATTTGCTGTGCGGTACAGTCCCATTTAATTGTAACCCTATTATAAAGCTATACAAGTTTGTTAAAAATTAAACAAAAGGCATAAAAAAGTACTGATTTAAGACTCCCATAATATATTTCTTCTAAATAATAAAAATGATTTGCTAAACGTTTATCTTAAATTTATTTTATTTCATGCATACATGAAAATTAGATTGGTAAAGTTTTATGTAAAGTAAAAGATATTTTCACAACAGAGCTCACCAAATATTGCAATACTACCAACATCAGAACTCCCAAGAATATCAGATAATATTAGGTATAATAATCAAAACTAACTTTTAGTGAATTTCGCATTTTTGAAAGAATTAACAGAATGTTTTTCTATGTTTTAAAAAAAGCACTTACACTTTCTCTGAACCTGTACAGAGCTGAAACTTTAGATTTGGATACCTTTAATCCCAATCGCTTAATCTTAATATCCAATGTGAAAGTTATGATTTTCGTAATCTCCTTTTTTGGTACACTCTGATTGCTAGAATTTTAGGCACTTATGCGGATTATAACAATCTATAGATTTACAAAAAGAGAAGATCAAGCACTCATCTCAATATCCACATTTTTAAAATTTTAGCTCAATAGACAAACGTTAATATTTTCGAAATTACGAAATATTCGTTTGAAATTACAAATATAATGTTTGGCACATCGTAAAGTTTGCAACCTTAATTCGATAATGAAAATCTTGTTATTACAGCAACTTTTTCAACGATTTTACTGTTAATATTTTGACACAAAAAGCATCATTTAAAGGGAAAATTAAGCGTAATTTTAAGTGACCCTCCAGGTAATAATGGCAAATGTCCGATTCACAACAGATACCATTAAAACATTGATATTTAATATTTAATTTTATACTTGATCAGTCAAAGCTTTTAAAAGTACCATTGTTTATCGAGCATCTCTGTATGGAGGATAAATAAAAATTACGCTTTCCGTCCCTGTCAGCAAACAATTTCAAAATTATATAGATTTTCATCTAGTTCTGATATTGGAGTGGACATTGAAGCCATTTTAAACTCTCTGGCCGGCTCAGCAGCTAAACTTAGGAATAAACAAAGAAATCATGATTTTTCATGTAATTTTTTAATTTTGAATTTTGGTATCTCTAAGATTTTAAATATCTACATAGATATTATAATGAAACTGAGTTCTTGACAATAACTCACATTTTTTAATCCCTGTATTTGCATCCGGATGGTGTAAACCTTTGATATTTCAAACGTGGCTATTTCATCTAATTTATAGTTCTGACGTTGGATTTATAAGTTAGAGGGATTAAGAAATCTGAGTTTATGTCGTTCCTTTAAGAAATTGTTTAATACACATTTGTAAACCTTAAACTAAGTCTACACCAATTATTTAGTCGCGTAAAACTTGTGACCAAAATTTAGTCAAAAAACCTGTTATTTTCCCTGTATCTTTACTTTGATATATTGTATTTCTTAATCAGATGATGTTTATACATATTTATTTAAGTTTTCAAGATTACAAAACATCAATTTTTTGAAAACATCTGTTTTTATATTAGAAATCAGCCCATGCTTGTTGAAGAAAACCACACCCAGCTAATAAAAAAACCAGGTATTTATGAAACATTTAGAATTAGAAAAGATAATATTTAAACAGTAAAAGGAACAATATACGTATTTTCATGACATATTCAACCCTGTTTAAACTCATATCTAAGTAATATTGCTGTTCTTCTATCTAAGCACATGCTTATTTACCTAATTTTTACCTGCAGCATAAATCCGCAAGACTCCACAATTAAAAATGATAAAATTTCCGACAGAAATGAATTGGATATTTTATACCTTCTTGATCACACAAAGAGTACTAATATGGATTGGATATAATAAATAATAGATGGTCACCAAAAAATACGTCTATCGTTCCTATCAAATGAAAAATGAAATAGAGCTAAGACGACATTAAATTAGGTCTTCCAACAACTGTGAGAGTAAAGGAAACATTATCCGAGATAATGGGAGAGGATTCCGATCCAGTTGTCAATGTAATCAGTAACAGGTAAGAAGTATTTACAAATAAGTATGAAAAACGATAAATACCAATGCTGCAAATTAAAAATTTGCTTTATTACATCACTAGCTCACTTAGACTTGTTTTAGTTTTATACAGTGAATCCCGTATATGTGAATATTTAGCAAGAGTTTTTTATAATGTTGTATTCTCAACATATTTAAGGTCAAATGCTGCGGAAAAACGAGTTTAATATATTAATTGCTGTCCTTTATATTTCAGGGCTATTAATTTACCTTGAATTAAAATTAAATAGCAGTTTCTTACGAATTATCAAAAAACTTTTGACTCTACAATAGTATTTGGATATATTTTTATAAATAGTATTCAACCCTTAGAAGCTGCATGCATCTCAGCAGCTTTTCTGTGAAGACGAGTAAATTTCAAGACGACATTTCATGCACTTTTAATATGTATTGCTTAATGTGATATTGGCTGTAGAAATGCAAATTTTAGAATTATAAACTTAAATTTTTAATTGGCAAAATATTCATATACTAGCCTTAGAGTGCGCTTTGCGCCCATCTTCTAAATTAATTGTGAACATGTTCTCTTTTCAAAATTTTAAAAAAATTAATGAAGATCGAATTTTGATGGAGACAAATATTTAAAATTTCAATCATTCATAAACCTTCCCTGGGGTCCCTAGATGTCCCACAAAAAATTTGGGCCCGATCGGTTCAGCCGTTTTGACGTTTATTGGATACAATCAGACAGACAGACACCAAGACACCCAAGCAGAAAGACTAGCCAAATTTATTTATGGGTGTATTTGTGTGTGAGTGGGCTGTGTAACCAATGACCATACAACATTTTAATCATAAGGAGAAATAACACACATTATTCTCTGAGAAATAGTGTCATACTTTGCTACTATCCATACAATTACCTTTTTGTTTTGTAAGAAATTTAAAAAGAATATTGTAGAGGTTGAAGCATTTCGGATTGTTGTGATATTAACGTTCATTAAAATTAAAAAAACTATAAAGGGAAATTAAAACTTGCATGTTTAATAACTCTTTACTTTATTTAGAGAGGAAGAAAATTCATTTTTGGATCTTGATTCATTAATTAGGTAAGAATTAAGAATTACTAAAACCACAGAGAGTCCCAATAAATATGGAAATTGAAATGACGATTTTTCACTCACAAATGGTTTCTTTTTTCATGCATATCATGTATACACAAAACCAATAAAGAAGTCACTATAAAGTTAGTTTTTACAGGCATGAAATTATTGTTAATGACGTTTTTGCCAAAAAACATTATTTTTTTTATAGTTTAAAGAACTAGTTAAACGAATTGACAAAAAAATTTTAGTTCATAGTTTTTGAGATTTTTCTCAATATAGTTTAATATATTATTACAATTTCATTTTTCCCTTTGTTATTGTAAAATCTGTTAGAGAGGTGACAGGAGAGAAGGAAAAGCTTAAGTTTGACAGCGGTAAATCTAGCAGCAGTGTTGGTTTGGAAAACTTGAAATTGAATGTAACAACAAAAACTAATATTGTTAATATTTTCTCCTTCAACATATACCCAAGTCAGGCAGGGAATACATATCAGGTATAATACTATTGTTTTTCAGTTGCCAAATCTAGAATTTACTGGACAAATTTCCGGTTTACGAAATGGAAACTGGAAATTTTACGGTTTCCATTCCGTGAACCGGAAAAATTTCCGGTTTACGTAACGTAAACCGTAAACATTCCGGTTTCCATTTGATCCGGAATTCCGGTTTACGCAACAAATTTCCGGATCATTCCATTTCCAAAATGGAAATTTTTTTTCCGGAAAAATGGAAACCCTAGAATTTACCCTTTTTTCACAAGTATCAACTCATAAGCCCTGTCTTTTACTTCAGTGGTTTTATGTTATGTTAGTTTTCCCGTGGGAGAATTAACATAACATTAAATTCTGTTTGAAGTTTTTCATTGAAAATAATTTTCTAAGTTCGGAATTTATAAAGGAAATAAGGGTGGTTAAACTAGTTATTTAAAGAAGGACATGTTTGATTCACATCGGCACCAGTCCTTTAAACCTTTAGTCAGTCAACAATAAGGAAGAAATAGTCAAAATTTTATCTGGGCTTTTACAAAGAAATCAAAATTTGTAAATATAAATTTTGATACAGTACAATTAGGGTACGATTGTGAATTAGGTATGCACTTCTTTTTATAAAGGGGTCACCTGAAAGAATGTATTTTATCCTTTTAGGTTAAAGAGTATTCACCTCAGGGGACTAGTGTAGATACTGATGCACATGTTTTTATTCAGGTGAGCACAAAAATTATTCCTGCTGGGGGGGGGGGGGTTAATTT